GCTTTATGACAGCCAGGACTGATCCCGTCATACTGCTTAAAGGCAGTGTTTGATATAGAAATGTAGCTGACATGGCTGGATGAACAAGTCTTTTTGGGTGCCATGACCCTAGACTCCGAAATTGGAATCATATATAAAGACGGCTTCACCTCGAATGGCCTCTTCGACGACTTTTCCCCATACCCAACTCCAAATCAACATCCTATATCACCTACCATGTCTTCTACTTCTTCTTCCACTTCCACTTCAGTTCTTACTTCTTCTTCTTCTGCCCCTTCTCTTCATTCTTCCACCGAGAAATCGGCTTCTACATCGTCCAAAAGCGTATCCAACTCTCTCGCCAATCTTCACTTCAAAAAGAAGCCAGTCCATGACTCCAGCGCGACCACCACGACCACTTCTGCTGCTAACGACAATCCCACAACTGCCAGCACAGCCACCAATGAGCGCTCGTCCGTCAATCAGTCTACCACGGTCCACACAGCACAGGATACTGGCGAACCCGTGGCCATCACCAATGCACATGCTACTCCTTACAACCAAGATGTCGATATGGTTGAAGCTGAGCCTGTTGCACTCCTGGAGGCTTTCAGTGCGAACACGCACTTCACTACACTCTTGCCCGCTGCCGAGCTTGATCACCATCACTTTGAAGCCACTTTGCCCTTCAGCGATCTCATCTCCGAGGCCAGGACTACCTTTGCCGACCACACACTCGCCACCACTCGCATCGACACGACCCGCCTGGTCACTTCCCTTCAAAAGCCATGGCCTTACCGTCGTCTTGGATCCATTATGCCCAGAGGATTCTCCCATGTCTTTCAAGGCTGAAACGTGTACTTTTCCATTATCAGCAAGCACGGCGTTGTGTACACCATCACTGCCTTCCAGCTGAAGGATATACTTCGCTTCATGACCGACCTCAACAAGACCAAGCACGACAAGGCCAAAAAGAAGCTGCTCATTGAGCCGATTGGTTACCGCGAAGTGGCACAGATGCTCAACGCCGATGACGCACAGGATCGCCGACTCCCCACCATCAACGGCGACAGTTCCGTGAACTATACCAAGTGGCACCACAGGCGATACCCTCTTCAAGTCGACGCGGCTAAACCAGAACAGATTGAGTTTGGTGTCAAATACCAGTGTCTATTCAACAACGTCGACCCTAGCTCTATCAGCACTGCCCTAATCAACGCAAACACCGCATTCGCTAGCTCCTCCAAGCACAGGTATTCGGACTCCAGGGACAGGGCGTATCGTTCCAAGAAGGCGCATTTCTAGGACATGGAGCTATTCTCGCAGAATAGCTGGAGGGTGTATGTGACGGACCGCTCTCGCTGGTTTGGACTTAGACATATTTTGGACTCCCATACGTTTATCACATTACTATATTTTGATTATGCTATTGTTATATACGGTATATAAGGGACTCGAGTACTATGTAGGTAGAACGACCTTGAATCCACTGCTTTAGCCTGTCTTTCGAGGTTCGACCGTGTGCCGGGACTCGTGTTAACAGCACACCCTGTCACAAGCAGAGTCTGCTTATTATTGGGAATACTGTTATCAAAGTGCTCAGTGTGCTTCTCTGACCAAGGTGAGTGTCCATCTGAGTGTCAAAGACAATTGAACAGAATAGGAAGACCATCTTTGAAGCTGAGGTTGGCAGCGAGAGCTTCGATAGACATCTAGATCTCAATCTGACGCCTGGGTCAGCACCTGCTACAAGCCCAGCAAATGAGACAGAGATAGGGCGGTCCTCAGTGTCAATAATGGGCCCATCATCTACTGGAACAGCCTTAAAGTAGTCATGATAGAGGTTGACAATATTGGAGACGTCCTCTTTAGAAGAGAGAGACAGGAGCATCTCACAAGTCACCTTACAAAGCCCTTGAAAGGTGAAAAGAGGGAGGGTTCATGTCAGCAATGTGAACCACATAAAGGGGAATGAAAAAAAGGAGCAGCGATGGAGCACTTACCTGTGGATTTTGCAGACTTTCTCTTGGCCAATTCCTCATGGGGGATGCCAAGTCCCTCCATAAGGCAATCCAGCTCCTCTGTCATATTGGTCATCATCTTGGCGTGGCCAGGTACAGTCACATCCTTCTTCTGACACACAAACTTGATTTTGGTGTCCTTGGTCAGCTTGGCATTGTAGAGGTCAAAATACTTTGCGATTTGTGTGGCTGTCTGCTGGGTCCAACCTTCTGGAAGTTGTGAATCGTCTTCCAGAAAGAGGCCATGGCAAATGTCCGTGATATCCTGCCAGGCTGAGAACTTCCAGGGAGCACCGGCAAAGTAGAGCTTCACCAAACCACTAGGGATGCTGTGGCTGGGCATCTTGGCCTAGAGGCAAAATTGAGGGTAGAGAGGACTGACAGGTATGCGAACAATCTCGGTGATGCACAAGACCCTCAAGCAAAAGTTCAACGACCTCTATTGGATACCAAACACACAATCAGATCGCATCTGGGCTACCAAGTTCCTCTACAGGTTCTCTCACAGAGGTGGCAGTGCAGGAAATGGGCCAGCACCCAGAGTCCTTGTCAGGTGAGAATGTGGTTCTTTATTGATTTACGAGGATCATTCCGTACATGACCGTAAGGGAACATCCAATCCTCGGGCTATCAGCGGCGTGACCTAAGTAATACCCTAAGTGTCCGTGATCATACCAATTATCGTGACATCCCGTAACTATTTACACTAATCAGGGCTTCGATATACCTAAGCATAAGATCGCGTATATTCGCACATAGTAACGCCCTAGCTCCCGAAAGCAGCCGTTCATGTGACCGGCATCCAACACAACCTCCCTATGGGTTTGGGTTTGTTCCATCATTCACGTGCCACGCGGTTCTTTGGCGGTCCGTGTTAGGAGACGACTTTAGCCGTTTTGTGTAGTTTCACTCCCACCCTCCAGTACTTTGGTATTAATGCCTCGGGGTCGGCTCTAGCCGTCTCGCTGGTTTGCTTTACGTACTCTGGGAAGTCAGCGCACCGAAACACCCAGCAGGCTCCAGCAGATCATGTGAACCTTGTCCCGAAGGGTCGGCTCTAGCCGTCTCGCCGCATAGCGGCAGATCCACACAACCTTGTCCCTTGGCTCCCTATTTCCCTTCCTGGCATAGTCATTTTTTCGATGACTAAGGAGAACCAGGTGACCCTGATATCATTATGTGAGCATGCATAGGTACGGTCACTCCAGACCCTTGGGTCTAGAACACGCGAGACGTAGTCGCTCCCTAATACAGAGGCCCAGACGGTGTCATCCGGGGGCGTGGAAAAGTCACATGGTGTCTAAAGTGTGTTTATCCATGCAACCAGCGAGAATCGAACTCGAGAGCTCAACACAAGCCTTGGGGTCAGTCCGCAATAGTGCCACCTGAGCTACCGCAGCCCGAGTCCTTGTCAGGTGCGAACCTGGGTGGTAGACTTGGAGTAGCATAGAGTAGAATCCAATGTACTAAATTTCACTTACAGCTTCACTAATCCACAGATACGCTCATCCCCTCTTAAGAGTAAATTTTATGTTCTCTTCAGAGAGTGAATAGCAGAGTTCCTTTGACAGGTAACCCATCGATAGGACTAGCCACCCAACGTTGAATGCCATCCGCAGGTAGCCCACGAATTGGCCCTGATGTGTCTTTGGATAGTGTTCATGTGTGGTTTTTGTCACGATTTGAGCATCATGCATGTTTGCGGTGGCTTTGTGGAAGCGAGGGCGGTCCAATTTGGTGAGTGTTGCATGGGCATGGTGGTCGTTGAGGTCGATGATAGGTTGCAACAGAAATGCCTACGTGACCTATCGTACTGAGTGCATTGCTACCACTTGACGGTGCAAGAAGTGAGCTAAAGAATGTCCAAAAGTGGGCATTCTGAGGCATGTTACGCGTTACGTGAACAACTGGTCAAGATAGAACAGTACTACGAGAGGAGTCGAGTCAGTAGTAAAAATGGAGGCTCAGTAATGACAGACAGGAACTTGAATGTTACTTGAATGCAAAAGCCAACGAACTACAGAAGCTGCTACGGAAGGCAATGATGAGGAATTAAAACAAGTCATATCTATACAATAATGGCATGGGGGTTAGCCAGTAAAATGGAGCGGGGACTGGAAAAAGGGGGGATTCATAATCACTGATCAGCTTGACAGAATGGTAACGGATCTCCTGCAGGTGCTGGCTTTCCACGCCCTTTAGCAAGATCGACAAGGAGGAGACTGGAAAGCACTACCAATGATGAACTTCATGAACACATCAAAAATCTGCTCTATCCCAGTGCTTGCAAGAAATATCTGCCAAAAGAGCGGTAAGCTTGTCCAGCCCCGTCTCCGCATCAATCTCGTCCAACACATCAAATTCATCCACTACATCAATATTTGTGCCGAATACTTCATCGTCCACCAGGCGCCAGACAGAGCACTTCCGACCTTCAAGAAGGATCCCAGGCGCGTCTGGATCGTGACGCGAGTGGTCACGCATCGCCAGCAGGTAGCTCAGCAGCTGATCGATGGCATGCGATTTGGATACTTCGTCCCGCTTGACCTCGAGGATGCAAACAAAAAATTTGTTGTACATGTTGAGGGATGTCGGCCTGACTCTAATGATTGTGAAGTCGGGTATTTTCTTGCCCCGCTCATGCCCAGCTGTGGTCATCCAAGATTACGGCGAGACCTGATTGCAGAAAGATAAGCGTACTACTACCTTGAAATCGAGATTCGTGGACCCCTCCGGTTGAGGTGAAGGACAGCTCTGCAAGCTGGAACTCGTCGATGTCGTCCGCATCCAACGACGGACGGATAATATGCTGAGGAGCGACCCCATATAGCTGCTCTTCGGGGAAGATGGTCTTTAGATAGCCATTGAGGGATAGGTAGTATTGGTTTTCATAGTGTGGAGTTTTCCTTAAGACTGTTGAGAGGTGCCAGTACGTTGATTCTGGGATGCTGTCCCCGATTTGCACGACCGTTGGCCTGGGTGTGCCACCAGTTGAAGGCATAGTTGTGGGGATGCCGAGCCGTCGCAGCCCAGGAATGCCTATCAAGAGCAAGAGTAGTGTCAGTGGCGGCGGACCAAGATGAACTGCTCACGAGTCGGCGTATCCGCTGGCATGAGTGGTTGTGGAATGAGTGAAAAAAGCTTTCGAAGCCTCTCGTTAATGAAAGAATAATACTACTTTGAGATCACGAGGGCCAGAGCCCCACGCTGTACGGACACCAACCGCAAAATTCTGGGTAGGTGTTACGTTCACCCTCCGTGACTTTGAGCCGAATTTCCAACCATCTACACAGATCCTCATTGTTTGTCTCGTTGACTCGGTATCGCGATCCATCTCACTGTCACTGCTATCAGCCAACGATATGCAGTATCTCATGTAAATTATTAGTGGGAGGCACATCGGGGTCAGCAGCATCATCGGCAAGGGCTGCCCAATAAACGACGATGGCTGATCCAGACCTGAAAAAAGGGATATCAACAGAAGGGGACACAGCAAGGACAACGGCGGATATGGCTGCAGCGCTGAAGGCGATGGAGGTTGCGTCGTCGTCGAGGAAGCAGGAAAGCAGGTAGGGAGTAGGTCGACGAGGATGAACCATGGTTTGCTTGCCTATGCGAACACACGCGCCCATACGAGCCTCACAGCCCGTACCTTCTGCTCCTTGTGCCCCTTCTGCTCCTTATTTGCCGCTTCACCTCCAACTCGCTGAGGCTATACCCTCTCTTCTTCCTTCATCAACAGCTTTGTAACCGCAATCTGCATCAGCGCCGTATCATCCCTTCCCTTCTCATTCTCGGTGACTTCACAGGAAAGGGAGGAAGGAAATCATCGATAGTTATGGGTGGATTGTTGGATGAGACGGCGGTCTGTGAGCGCCCTTGCAGAAACGCATCTGAATGTTAGGGTGAGAAGAGAATCAACGCGGCGCAGTCTCAGTCCTCTCGAGATATGGATTGCAAAATCCCCATCTGGAACTGAGCTGGGCAGGTGAAGTCGTTGAGTGAGGCGAAGATGCAGGGTGGTCTCTCTGCGAAGGCGTGAGGGACAAAGCGATGATTAAAGACAGGGGAAGGACCTTGGTCGAAGCGGAACGACGATGGAATCAGGTAAAGGTATGGTGCAGGCGATGATGGGCCGATGTCGGGAGCTAGTTTCTCAAATACGACTTGGTAGAGGATCTTGCTGGGATGCACGTACGCTTGAGGGTCTAGACGTGTACGGCGGGCGTCGCTGGGATAATTTCAGTCTATGAGGAATAACGACACAGAGGTTGCAGTGCAACTTACATGACGAGCGCGGCGCAGATGAGCCGTACGCGTGTCCTTGACTGGCTCGTTCTTCAGCTGAGTTTGGGACAAAGGCCACTGGCCTGCCCTGCTCGACAATCAAGCCCTCCTGATAGTGATTCCGTCAATTTCTGGGTCGGCTATCCGGGCATGCCCATAGCGCGTAGTCCAGGGTTCGGTCGTGCGGCGCGTTGGGGTGTAGGAATTACGCCGCACATGAGGGAAAGCCTAAGATACTTGTCAGAGGACATCGCCAATGATGACGGAAAGACTCGGCGTGCCTTAGGACTAAGTAGAGATGTAATCCGCGCTCGCACCTTGTCCCACAACCCTTGCATCAACAATGGTGCCACCCACAAGTCTTACATATTGTTGAGATAACGCAAGCGTCTTCTCGTTGGTTAACGCGCCGGACCCGATGGATCACGTATGTATCGGTGGCGCATATCCTGTGTATACTGTACTTGAATTCACAGTAGTACTGCTGTCACGGTTGGAGCAAACATTGATCGTCATTCCAGACACGAAGCAAAACATAGAAGTAACAGCAGATGCCAGAGTGCAAAAACCATAGATACACCGTACTTGCTACTGCAGGGAAATCGTAAGTGCGATTATGAAAGTGGCACCGCCAAACTGAGGCAATGGAAGTTGGAGAGATACAATATCTATAAAACGGCTCACCTTCTGCAACAGTTAGTCCAAGACTGTCTGCCACGTGAAGTCTTCACCATACTTCATTCCTAGAGTTAGATTCAACACAAGGGTCGAGACTGTACGGTGTCTAGTACTCGCCAAGTCTTTCGAGTCTCTTTCTAATGTTCATCTCGTGCTCGCCTTCCAAAAAGGTCGGTTTATCATGTTCCGGCATGTTAAGATATCCGTTGGGAAGATGCTGGCCCTGGGTGGCGATGACGAATTGCTCCCCAGTCTCGCCTGTATGAGCGCATTCCACAATGTTGTCGCCGTTTTCAAACTCTCTGAAGTGTTTGTAAAGAATTTGGAGCGGAAACGAGGAGTGAGGGTGGTTCATCGTCCTATTTTCGAGCTTCATGATGAGCTTGTTAAGCGAGCGAACGTCGAAAACATAGCCAGCGCGACAAAGACAGCGAGGAATGCGTCGTGGTTGGCACCGCATGGCAGACAGGGCAATGGACGAGGCATTAGTGGTCATAGTAGCCATAACATATATGCCTTCCGGCTGAAGCTGGCTGGGTGGCGTGGTGGTGAAAGGAAACCATTGCGAAATCGAACGCCAATGACTAAGGGCGTCGCACGCTATGTGACACATCAGTTGAACACGGCATAGTACCGTCACATCAGGGCCTCGGTCAGGTGTGTACACATGACGGCCATGCAGCAGTCGTACGGCTGCAGCTGGCTAATCAATCCATCGTCTCTACTTAACGAAATAGTCAGGTAGATAGTCAGGTAGGGTGGTGAAAAAGGTGTTTTTTTTTTGCTCGAGGTTGAGGCAAGCTCCGTACGCATGCCGTATGTCAAGCTTAATATCCGTGACCACGAAAGATGACGTTGGTGGGTTGGCCGACGTCGAATATCTGATTGTAAAGAGAAAGCAGGAAGATGTCAGGACTGGTACCGAAGAGAAAGAGACAGGAGTTAGAAAAGAGAACAAGGAAGTGAGGTCACAACCTCACGACGGAGACGGCAACAAGATGACTAGAACAGAGGAAGATAAGTATGAGGGACAGCCTGGGCTCGTGCTTGATCCCTAGAAGACGCTCGAAGGGTCTCCGACCAGATTCCTCTGCTCCTACTCCGAAGCCCCACTGTCGCCTACGCTGCTTCACAGAGGACTTTCCATCTAAGCGGTCAATTTAGACCTACGCTCGACCATGTAGCGGACCGAATTCTCCGCCATGAAAGTCGTCAACTTTCTCCTTTAACATCATCACAATCCTTCACCCGTTCGTAGGTCAAGAAGAGTTACATATGCGTGATGACAATCAGAAACGAAATCACTGATTTATGCACAGAATTCGGATAGCAGTGAGCAGAGCGAGATGACAGAAGAATTACAGGCAACAACTGCCACGAGAAACAGAGAACAGAGAGCGAATCCGAAAACAACAGGGCGAGCGAAACAGTCCGAAGCCGAACCAGCGAGCTCCAACCACAACGACGACCCCTATGTGTACATCTCAAGCTGGGAGGACGTTCTCCTTGTCGCCAAACACGTCTCTCGTCTTCACCGCCCCCAACTTGTCCAAGCCTGCAATTCCAAACATCTTCATTGGCACCCCCGAGTCAGGGACGTAGATTGAGACATCCAAGAGCTGGTTCTCCACCTCCATCTCGTCGAAGCTCACGTCCGCGACGCCATCGAGAACGACCTCGGGCATCGCCTGGTCCATCAGGCTGGGCTGCGACCGAGCCCGCTGCAAGCCGTCCAAGCGCACAGGACTGTAGCCGCCGTCAGCGGTCGCGCCAGTGACGTCCTGCCAGAGCCCTATGTGCTCTGCTTGGATCGTCACGTCCGATATGCGAGGCAATTTGCTTGACCTCATCGATGAGGAAGAGAAGTTCCGCGATTGGCGTCGTTCGTAGGCTGTTTTCGCCCCGCCGGGTGTGGGTAATGGGATGTTCATCTTCGAGGGCGGAATTGCTGTGAAACCAAGGGAGTCGAACATGGAGACGAAGCTGGCGAGAGCTCGACGTTCTTCCTCAAGCTTCTTCCGCATCTAGACAGCAAACCCGAGACTTCAAATCCTCTCTACCACTCGGAAAAATGACAACAACAGACCTGTTTCTCCTTCTCCAGAGCTTTGACGACCTCCTCTGCCCACCTCTCCTTCTCCTCCCTCTTCCTTCTTTCTTCCTCGAACTTCTCGGACCACTCCTTCTCTACATCCTCCTTGACTTTCCGTAGCGGTTCGCCGAGGTTGTCTTCGTACCCACGAACGACGATCTCGAGCTCGCGGATCGACTTAGCCTGCTCGGCGATGAGCTTGTCCTTCTCCTCTGAAGGCGCATCTGCAGGCAGGGGTGGCCGGGCAAGCAGACTGGCTTCGAGGGAGAGAATCTGGTTTGCTTGTGTGTCGAGTTGGAGACGAGCAGCGAGGAGCTCTTGTTGCAACTACGGGCCATTGAAGTCAGAATCCTGCTCTTCAACTTCAGTTTAAAATATCGGGACTGACTTGATACGGAGACATGTCGAAATCAATCTTGACAGGACTCGACGGCCGGCTGTCACTCTCTTTGCTCTCATCGACTGTGGCGCTGGTTAAGATGAGCTTCGTCAGTTGTTGAATACGGCCATTAAGGTCTCTCATGGCCTTCGATTCGTCAATTTGCTGTAAACCCACCAAAGTCAACCTCGAGCCGGTAATATAAACTTCTGCAGCCACATACCTCTCGCGCGGACAGGCGTCGATTACGAACAGGCGCCTCAGCCTCCCTCTCGGCAAGCCTCGCCTTGAGCTCTTCAATCTCCTTACGGTATCGCTCAATGAGAGCATCCGTATCTACGACCTCCTTCTTCTTCGCGTTCAGCTGCACGTTCTTGATCCTCTTCGCAAAGAGCAGCGTGCTCATGCTCTCTGAGATGGCGCCGACGTCGGGGTTTATCGTGCATATCACGCTGATGCGTGCATTGCCAGAGAGCGAGGGCTGTAGCATCCGTGTTAACTTAGAGTTGCGGTATGGAACGTGGTCGGCTTTGTGTTTTGCAGCGTTATCTGCGAGCGTGCCGATGACGGTACCAAGGGTCAGCAGGCTATAGAGGAAGACGTCGTTGACAATTATTTGCAGGGGTATGTAAGGTGTTTTGCTAACCTGGTGTTGATGTACTTTCCCTCTCTAGTCCTTTCCTTATCCGGTGTCGCCTTTTCTGAACCAGCAAGATCGATGAGAGACTTAGGACGTCATTAGCAAAGGAAAAAAGGTAGAAAGAAAACACGTGGTCTTACCAGCACGGATGTCTGCACGCTTCGTCCCCCTCGAGCCTGCAGCCTTGGTCCTGGTGTCTGTCTTCCGTTCAAGCCTGGAGTTTGCCGCCCATTAAGACCTGGCGTATGTCGTCCATTAGGCCCGGGAGTATGTCGTCCACTCATCGTACTGGGAACGTCGTCGTGATCATCTTCTGATGGCGAACTCGAACCTCGTTCTCTACTTTCGACAACAAGCCGTAAGACGCTGTGGCTGCGACTGGAGCGTTCATTCCAGTCAGTGCATGCTGTTCGTCTGTTGCCTTCGCCGCGCTTCAGCACGTCCTTGACACTCTTCAGACTCGTAACGACCTCTTCCCTAAGAGGCGCTAGAATTATCTCGCCGCCAGCTCCGCCTTGGATCTGCACAGGGGACGTCTTGGCCATCATCGGTGGTGCGAGGAGGTCAACAATCGTTTCATTGTAAATCTCGAGGTAGCTACACCGGAGGAGGTACTCCCTCTCCGACGTTCGCTTGATGAATCCGAATACATCTCTCATTGCGCGAGGGATGATGCCGGGTTCGTCCTCGTCTCCGGACAAAGTGAACGTCTTGCCTGACGCAGTTTGTCCATAGGCGAAGATGACGGCGTTGAAGCCTTCCATGGCGGCATGGACATGTGACCGGGCGACGGCGGTGTATACGGGCTTGTTGGCTGAGCCTGTCAGAACGGCGTCGAAGTTGAATGAAGTGTTTGACCCAGCCGAGGAACTGGCGGCGTGACGGGCACATTCGGGGTTGAGTTTGAGGGAATTAGTTGAAGGTGTTGGGTACCAGGCGGAAGTAGATTCTGTGGGACGTACTCTGTGCAAAGATTAACGCCATAGAGGCCATAAGATGTGTTACTCACCGGATAGAGACCATGACTTTATCTTGCTTGCCATGATCAAGTTCTGCTGCTTTCAGCCATGCTTCGTCAATCTCGCCACTAATATCACCAGGCTCGACGGTTTGCGAGTCCACAAGAACTGCTTCTGGATCCACGACGCTGACGTCCATTTCGCTCGTTGCTGGCATTAGAGATGGACTTTCCGCTCCGCTCCTGCTTCTTGGGGTATTTGGGGTTCGTGGTCGACTAGGTGTACCATCCCTCTTCGTGGGTGTTCCTGGCACGGGTGCGAGTGTCGTCTTTGGTTTCGAGATGTTCTTACGACTTTCAACCGATAACGGGGCCTTGTATTTCTTGTGGGTGGAGTTGAGGAGGACTGGGGTGTTGACGCGGGCAAGTCTTGCTGCGAGTGAGTCGGCAGATGCAGAGGAGCTGTTCGATTGTGCTGATAAAGGTCGTTTGGGAGTCAAGAGTGGTGGTCGACTCGCCACTTTGGAAAGCGATGAAGACGGTGTGCTCGGCACGCTGCTTGTTCTTGAGTGCATTGTGGTCTATGACTGAATAAAGCACCAGTAAGCATTGGAAACAAAAAATAATGCTAACCCGACCTGTTTCTTGAGGAATAGCGAGTTTGCTGTTGAGGAGACCCCAACTTCAACTTGTGGCTGAAGTCGAACCGTGGGGAAGCTTGTACGTGACTGTCACCTGATCGCGAAAGACACGGACACTGCGGCCCGTTTCTCCGAAGGACTCCATTTCTGCGAGGTCAATACTTACGCTTACTTACGGCGGGTGCCATCGAGGAAACAAAACCCAATCCCTGTGTCGCTGGCAACTTACAGTACAGATGAAGGGGAAAATATAACGCAAGTACACGGTACGCCGGAGCGCCGGGGGCTTAAACTTGAAAGTCGAATGGCTAACATGTACCGTGTTGACCTATTCCCAGAGATCCTGGATAGGGGCAGAATAAGTACGACAGCGCGATAATTAATACCTACCGTAAATTCAGGCCCTGACGCGCGCCGGCGATATTATTATCTAAGTGTTGATAAGGTTCGGAGACTCTTCAAGTTGGTGAGACTCGTCAACAAAGAGAAGGACCAGCTAGCGTTGGAACTGGTGGGTGTCAAGCCCAAGCTGAGGAACACGCAGGGTTCACTTTTCCTAACCATCGTTTGAATTAGCTTCAAGAATGAGGTATATCCGGGAGTCTCCGTCTCCTCGCAGCCGCCTTCGCATTTATTTACTTTTCCGCAGCCTGAGAAGGAAGCTTTTGTTACTTCATCGCTCTCCGAAGACTTGTAAAAGTGCACTACATTGTATACGATTGAATCATACTCTACGTGGCCCTAGCCACGAATTACGCCAGGTGCGTCCAACTTTTGTTGAGACAAATAATCTAACGCCCTCCAAGATGCCTGAGAACATCTGTCAGAAGCAGATACATCCAAGAATTTATTGCATTTGCATTACAGAAATTGACCAGTAACTGGGGGCTGTCGAAGGCTATCGAAGGACGCCACCAAGCCGACTGCTATCGGGTTGTGCGCCACATTTCCTAGAATTGGAACACAGCCACTGAAACAAATGTTCGGCGCCTAAGGCTGAGCTACCTTATGCCTGTCATCACTTCGCATCACCTAATTTGGTGGGGAATGGCCAAAATCAAATATTTTGTTGCTAGGTTTTCTAAGGACATGTACTCTCAGTGCATGTTTGGTTGTCGTCGGAAAGCTAAGCGCTATGGGCTGCCCACAATTTAAGCAAGACGCCAGAGAGCAGACGAAAATGTTGCCCTCTGTAACCGGAAAGCATACTCTAATTCCCATTACAAACATGAGCAGTCTATTACTTGATCTTTCAGAGTCTTCCCCAGGTCAGTTGAGGAGGGCCACCGAACAGGATTCCCACCGACGACCGTTATTAGGGAATGTTTTCCAGAGCTCATAACTTGAAGTTCTGCAAACCACTGGGCATTCAAAAACCTCGCAAGGGTACCTTACAATTTATTTTTCTGTCGGATAAACTTTAGGGCGTTACAGCAAGTCTTCCCCTCAGGCTACGTAGAGGTTGTTTTTCTTGTGCCATTCCTCCAAGTTATCGGGAGGATACTGTTCGTAAATCTCCTTCTTGCCTTCCGGTAGGCGGACAAAAGCCGGTTTCTCGCCAGCCATGCAGATAGTCTATGACGAGATCATTCAGCCCGTTAGCCATTGAAGAAGGACGTTACTCCTCACCATGGTCTCCGCTGCTGGCAACTCGGGAGAGTCGATCACGGATGCAAAGGGATAGATCGTTTCTGGCCTGCGAGGAGAACCGAACTTGAACTTTCTGCCTAGAAGCACCGCCGTCAAACTTACGAGTACTGTCCGGCATAGAACCAGAGCATCGACGAGCATTTCTTGCAGAAGCTACGTTCTGAGGAAGCGATACACTCTTCGGGCGCTCCACGGTAGAGGATCGCCTGGTAAACGCTACCGAAAAGTATGACTTCTACTCAGCCCGCGAGGCTAGCTGCTTGGGTATAATCGCACCTGATGTTTTCCTTTCCTTCAACTTGCAGGGAATTTTTGTGTGCAGCAACGTTGATGGACCCGCTTGCGCCACCGACCTTACGGCAGATGGCACAAACACAGAGCTATCGTGCACATAGGCGTTGGTTGCTTTGCCCTGAATCGCGAGAAAGATGCGGCTCAACGCACCATGTATGGAACCGGGGTGCTGGTTAGCATACTGAATGTCACAGAGCCACAATGACAGCTCCCCTTCAACTCGATAGGCATTGGAAAGCTTTGACTTGGTCGCTTCGATGAAGGTCAGGTAAGGACAGTTTGTAGACGTGAAAGTGGGTTATCAGAAAACTTAGGTTGTGCCATGACCGAAAATCAGATTATATGCGTTACCATCGAGATTTGGACGACCCAAGTCATTCGACGGCACCGAGACAACAAGGTCAGCTTTTCAGAGTGGGTTCTGAGCATTTTGAATTGCAAAGAGTAACTCACTCCACACAATATTAATCGAAGCAAAGACGAGAAGCAACAACGGCCGGCGCGGAACATAAAGCTGCTGACGCACTCAAGGTATGCGGTCGGACTGTCCTTCCGCTGTATGTTCAGGCAGTGGAATGGGAAGTATAAGCTCGAATTTTGAACACCATGTAAAGATGCTTAAACAGCTTCGCCTGATACAAGTACAACTTTGAGACTTTCGATCCTTTCTCAGACATCCAAGGTGATTCGCGGCATCAAGCTTTGTAGAGATTGTGCTTCTTGTGCCATTCTTCCAAGGAGTAAGGGCCGTATTTCTTGTACACTTTCTTGTCGCCTTCGGGAAGACGAACATAGGCTGGCTTCGACGACACCAAACAAACGGTCTAAGCAGATATCATTGAACCCTAGACAATGAATAAGAGAACGTGATGACTCTTACCATGGTCTCAGGAACCTCCAGTTCCGGGGAATCGATCGCAGAGGCGAAAGGATGGATCAATTCAGGCCTGCGATTGTATGGGTAACGGGAGAAGATGTACGAAAGAGCGAATCACTGCACCATTGTTCGTCATACAACCAAAGCATAGACGAGCATTTCTTGCAAAAGTTGCGTTCGGAAGATGCGATCGTCTGCTGGGGCGTGTCTCGACCCATGACAGCCTTGTAAACGCTGAGATACAGCAATGATGAGCACAGCTGGCGAAGACCTCGTCTCGGTAGGCTCGTCCGTACCTAATATTCTCCTTGCCTTCGACCTTCAGGGTCTCGCTGTGGCCACCCAGGTTGATAGAACCTCCGACGCCTCCAACTTTTCGACAGATGGAACACACGCAGAGCTGCACATTAAGCAAATAGATGTTGAATACCTCACAGATTACAATCTAAATGGGTTTCGACGCACCTGGTAGGGGACGGGAGTGCTGGATAGCAAACTGAACTTCACGGCACCACAGTGGCAGCTACCTTTGAGTTCGACAGGCATTGACGAAATCTGCGACGAGGATGACAAGAGAATACGACTTTATTGGTGGTGATAGTAGGTGGCTGAGGTTGAAGGATTTTCGCATGAGGGCCATCTGACCAGACGGTCTGACTCAGCGCCAAAGACTGACGTCCTTTGTGGACCAAACAGCGAGAGGATGCATGAGGTCTGCTAGAAGGTGCCATAAATTGTTTTTGCTACACAAAACAGCAACGTCGAGGGCCACTGACCTGAATATCCTCTGCTCATGTCGTGGACGATGGAAGTGGTGTGGTTCTGACTTGACTTTGCGTACCTGCACAGTGTGGGCCGACGCGGCCGGTGATGAGGACAATCGAGCGGAGCTGCAACTCGACGGACATTGCCGAGAGGCTATATAGGCGTCATCAACACATTTTTCTTCCTTCAGAAGAAATGCCACGCTGGTCGTCTCGATGACTCCTACCGTCGACTCAGTGCCTTTGACCTTCGGGTCTCTTCTTCTTCGAGAACAAAACCAGAACTAGGAAATGTTCCGATGCATATGACCATGTCGGGGCATGTCGATTATCGCTGGGATATCTCGTGCCCTCATCTACCTTCTTTGTAGTCTATGCCTAGGTGAGCCCTCAATCTATCTCCGTTCTGTTCTTCATTGCTCCGATCAACTTCAATGATTCCAAAAAAATATACTGATTTTAATGAGTCCAACTCGCCTTCGGGCGAGGGTGCGGACGATTTTTTCTCGCTGAGACTTCCTTTTTGTCTTCCTTTTTTCCTCGTGGTGGCCTCATGCTGACGATAGTTCCTGCAGAATAACCCTCCTCTTGTACTTCTGTACCATGTAGTGCACCAATGCATCTGATTTCTACTGGAATAGAGACTTGAAACACGATACAAATCGAGTCCTTCGTGGCTATGACCAACTTTGAGAAGTGATTGAAGTTGACGCCTGTGACGTCCCCGACGTCGCCGAGAATACTTCAGCCATGAGGCACTTGTCGTTCTATTGAATGTTCTTGACTGAAATCGGGCCGTTCCTGTGGGCGCCATTCCTTTTCAATGTTAAAGTTGACTGCCTTGATTTACAGACGTTGGCTTAGCCTGAAATTTCTTCCACGGTGCGCAGATCATGTCTGTCTAAAGCCTCCATTCCGATGCAGGCATTTTTGACGCGACCTGACTGACATCCGACGTGTACCCGTAGCCTTCTGATAGAATGTCCTCTGTGAAGACATGGATCTGCGCTCTGCATTGCGGTCCACGATCCTATGTGCATGTTACATTCTTTGCACAAAGACTCTGCCGTCAAGAGGTACTGGATCATCGGGTACTTCAGACGTGGCAGATCTGGCTAATTGTCGAGATCAGGAAGACGTAGATTTGTTGTCCATGGGCACGCCAGCCTTATACCTTTCGGTCGTATTTGTGCCGCGAAGAACTTTCAATTTAACGAGACCTGTCGCCTTCGATTTCTGGCAATTGCATGGCTCCACGATGCCCGGCGCCACAGAACCCTCTTTTGTCGAACATCGATCAAGCACTGCACTACCTTTCGCGACACCTGGGTCGCCGATATACCCTCTCTTCCACCCACCTTATCGACCTGACGGGCGGAATATCGTTTATTCTGATCCTTCGATGATCGTCGACCGTCAAAACTACTCGTGTTTGTGGAGCGAGTCCTACGTCCTACATCGCTTCCGTTGTCAGAGTGCTTCAACGTCGAACACTCCTGGACCGGCACAAGACTGTAATTTAACCCCCATAAGCACCGAATGAGCGCAACATCTGTATGTTGTTCTTCTGCTGTCAACAAATTATGGCAATGTTCGTCATTGTACAACATCGACGCTAGCTTCTTCTGGGGCCTGAGGGTTTCATGGGTCGACACCTAAAAACTCTCAGGTATGTCATTTGCTTCTTCCAAGTAATAAAAGTCGACAACTTTATCCGAAGAAACAACCTTGTTGATCGTCTTTTCGATCACCTCGCCTCGTTCTCATGGCACACCGAGTCTCCGTTTGTGCGGGGTAATGGTTATATTTTCTCATGCAAGTCCATGGTCTTTGATGCCAGGTGAGCAGTAAGGGGAACCCGGTCTCAAGCGAGAGAATGTCGACCGACAAGGACGATCAACGGCCGAAAAACGCTAACAGCTTGATATCCTCGGAGACGTCCACCAATTTCGTGAATAAATATAAAGACATCCTCGGAGCATAGTTGAATTGGCGCTCGTTGGTGATTACGATGGAGGCACAGGCACAACAGAGCTCGGAAATGGACTTGTCATTTGCATTCTACACTGTCTCGATAAATGACCGGCAATATTTCCACGAAACATACCTAATGATACACCGTCAAGTAAGCAACCTATGGTACATGTCCTATTGATAACTCTAGATGAAAGTCGATATAAATGTCCAGAAGAAAGTAAACAGCAGAAAGAGGGACGCCAGTTCCCTTCCATTACACATGAGAAAACGGCATAGCCATCGTTCCGAGAGACGGAGGGCTGTTGGTCCACAGACTCGGACTCGGAGAGACCCCAGATCCGCTCTGGAGAGTCGCATTAATCTGGTCCAACCAGCTCTTTACGACACGATGACGCTCCTCCACGTCAGTTCTTGCAGACAAGGACCCAGTGACGCACATCGTCCCGTTCTGCTTCCCAGCTTCTGCGAACCTTGCGAGCCAGTAGAACGACAACGCACTACAGATGAAGGGCGTGAGCGACGGGCCTTGCTTCTCGCAATGGGCTGCTTCAGGGCAGCTGGACCACAGTCGTTGCCAGTTGTGCAACGCACATTGGATGAGGACGCTGTTCCCAGGCGATCCCGGCATTCCATTGTTGAGGATTGACGAAGAAGCAGGGGTTGGCGTCATAAGCGAGCCCAGAGCTGGGTTGGGCGATGACGAGAAGACGTCAAGAAGGATGGTGTTGATGAGAACGAAGTTGCTGAAGGGGTTGAGGATGTAGGGAATCGCCGGAGGTGTAGGTTCTGTGAGGGTAGACATAGCCATTTGCATGTTTGGGCCCAGGAGGCGAAGTGCCCCGGTGCCATAAGGAGACGGCGCTCGCTGGATTTGGTACCAGTCTCTCGCGTTTTGTGCCCGCCACACTGCGTCATCGCATGGCAGATTGATATCAAACTCGGTGGGGATGAAGGCCGGCTGTGTCGAATAATATATGCAGTGGTTGCAGTCCTGAAGGAACGCGACGAGAAGAGCGCTAAGAATAGCATAATTAATAAAGCAACAAATCGGGTTGGGAGACAGAAGTACCGTTTAAAGGTCTCGAAGCGAGCCCAATCTCTCCACGCAGTGTCTAATGCCTGCGTATTCGAGAGATCTGGGAGAGACCAAGAACCGACGATTTTAATTAGATTTATCTTCCGGATCATCTGATAACCACGCAATTAAGAACGAGGGTGTGGGCGAATGCTATGATGTCGACGTCATGGAGGACTTACCATAACTAGGACTTCGTGATATGCTTTGAACAGACTTCTCTGGTCAGCTCGTGGGCTGAGAAGCCCGATGGACTGCAGTAATATACCCGCAAGTATCAATAACATGCGTTCCTTTAGGGTACATGTCGACTTTGACTGCGATCGAAAAGACACGAGGGACAAAAAAAGACGTCAGTGACGAAAGCCACCTGATGAACGGTCAAACAACTTACAAACTCCATGATCAGCATGTCGCGGGAGGTTGACAATGTTCTGATCATGAAATCCTGTGCGCTCTGGTTTTTTGCGAACAGTGCGCCGCATGCCTGCATCGCCCGGAGGAGGATCGGGTGTGTCACATCCTTCCAGCTGGGCCGGTGAAAAAGCGGGATCTGCGCGTTGAATTCCGTAAAGAACAAATACACTGCGCAAAAGGAACAAGGTGAGCTGCCCATCAGACCGCGCGATGATGTTGGAGAGAAAAAAACATACGGTACATGTTCAAATCCTCGGGGGTCGGATTCTCTGATGCCGAGGAGCCAAACGCAGACGTCCTCTGGGTTGCGGGGGAAATCGTGGGGAATTGCCGCCCGGAAAATGCCCCTTTGCTCGAACAGGTATTGCTCAGGTTCGTGGGCCCAGAGGCGAAGTCGTGATCAGGCGTGGACTGAGGAAAAAACTGAGAGTACAGTAACGGGTCGCCGTTGCCGTATGCGGTTGGAGAAGGCTGGCTGGAGTCGAAAAAGCCGGCAAGGTCCATATCGCTCTGCGTCCGTGGAAGGCACGGGGCGTACTGGTCTTCCATGAAGGGGTCGAGAGCGTTGGTGAAGAAGTCGTTGAGCTCGGGGTTGTAGTCTAACGTGTCGAGTTCCATGCCTAGCGACCCCGAGAGATCCTGGCGGCCATCGAAGTAAACCAGCCGCGGAGATGCCCGCGACGAGCACTCGGAGGAGGCACAATCAGACGCGCTGGAAACGTATCCAGTGCTCGGCAGAAGTTGGGTCGATGGGTAAGAAGGAGAGACGATGTGGGAATAGGCGTCGTGCCCATGGGTCATGTACGATAACGTTGAGCTTGGGCTGGATGGCCCGAAGGAGTCGTAACCGGTAGACGATTCTGACCATTCGGTTTCGCTGGGCGACGTCGACAGCGTGCTCAGGCTGCGAGCCCTCTTCGAGGCGTTCCTCTTGTTGCGTGAAGCCTCTGGGTCGTTGATGAAGACACACTCCCGGCCTCTGGCAGTACACTTCGAGCATGGTTGCTGGAGGTTGCATTTGACTTTAGACTCAGCGCAGGCCTGTTGGGACCTTAGTATGTGTGACCGAGTCGTAGATAAGAGGACATACCTGACACGATTTCCGTCTTGATCGATTGACACTACTGCTTTGATGAAGGGAATGTGAGTGATTATCATTGTGAACCAGCGTGAACGACGTACGCGTCGCCGCAAGTTCGTTTGTGTCTTGTCAAGAGGTCACTCCTCGTGAACTCGGCATTACAAATCTGCTCGAAGGGTCAGATGACGCAAAGCTAGTATGAAAGGAAGGCATGTACATTGCATCGGTGAGCTCGTTCATTTGTGTCTATATATTAAGCGCTGAGTTAACGCCAACATTAAGAGGTTAACGGCGAACGCACGTGAACGAAGGTGCCTGTTGAGGTGGGTAGTCCTCGTGAACTTAGCTGGGCAGAGAGCGCAATATTTTGTTTGAGGTAGAGAAGGCATATTTCCTGACGTTGAGCACCATTCAATACATATTGCAAGGGAGATTGGGGGGACAACATACCTTTATGGCTCCGCATCCTGCTGACTTCGCCATTGGCTTTAAGGTCAATCGAGTTGACGAGGGGGGCTTCCGAGAGGGGTAAATGCGGCATGTTGTACGGGAGGGCGTTCGTCGACGGATGGTCAGCTTAGAATATATAAGCTTTCCTGAGGGTACGATTTCGGCTTTATGGACTTGAGAATGTGCTCTTTTGTAGGAGTAACCATCAGCACTTAAGTGTGCTTTACCCTAACCGATTGTATCATAAGTCCCAGGCTGCCTCGCGAGTATCTGAGCGAGATCTGTATACGCCATATCCCCGGACGAGATTTGCTAGCGATGTTCCCACCAGACCGTGGATGGAGGCGAAACAGACTGCCCTCCGAAGATGAAGTCACAGGGCTATATCGGGATGGATCCGTCTCCTTCGTGTGCACTGCCGACGGTTGGAAGAATTGAGGTATTGTTCCCATGTCATCGCCATATTCCTGCTGCAACGCGAACCTGTCATGCGCAATTTAGTGAGGTGTAGGTTGCGTGTGGATTGATAGGGTAGAATGTGCTGAGATCGGGGGGTGCCACGCAGCAAGACGAGAGACCGCCCATTCCGTCATGTTCCTGTAGACTCTTCGCGGAATGCCGGGACGATGCATCGATTGATATATCACGAATGTCACCGAGTTCGGTCATTAGAAGAAGAACAGAGGAATAAGGAAATCATTTTGCCGCGCAGCCGCGGCAACACCGGGAGAGTTAACGGCGCTGACATCATAGCATGAGAACGATGCCGTCGTCCAGCAGTCAAGCACTTTCTGTTCATGGGTGTCAGCGTGGTAGTTAAAGGAAGGTGTTTTGACATACAGGCTTTCCAGGCTCAACAATTACCATGCATTCGCAAAAACGCCGTTAATTGAGATACGTCTGTGATAATCGGTAGCCGGAAAGACTCTGGGTTATTGCCTCCATTACTTCAGACTTCTCAGCGCGCGCACGCACCGCGGAAGGCTAGACAACATCGTTGAAGCACTTACTTGGAAATGAACATGACGCTTGGGCATTGAAGGTTCTTTGAAAGAGGCTGCAACGCTCGTCGGGTTCCTGGGCTGCGCCCGTTGAATCGCGTGTATTACACGCTTCGATAGCCTCGGTCTGGAGTGTTACAAGTAGAAACCTGAGCACCCGAGAAAGCAGATCAGGAGTAACAATACCCATGTCGCCATGTGTGGGTAGCACAATTGGTGTAGCGGCGGAGAAGTTCACCGCGGGCAAGGAGAAATGAGGGAGCCTGAACAAGAGATGTATCATAACCTCGCTGCCGCAAGCTCAGGGATCGGGTATTGTCGGGATGCGTTCAGGAGAAAAATATAAAGCATTCATGGGCGGCGTCTCATGGATAAGAAGATGTAGCCTGTCTTTTTGCATTTTCCGAGGAGTTAAGATACACTGGTGGTCGTCTGAGGTCCTGTGCCGCGGTCACATGGGGCGGGGTCGGACAAATATGGACAAGCAGTCGGCACAGCTCTCCGCCCGTTTCTGGAAGGTTGTCAGCAACGACCAACCAAATGCCTCACAAAATGGGCTCACGTCCGTGGACCCTAAGCCTCCGTTTTCTGCCTTTGGAATCTCCTCGGAAACGATGGCCATGACCTGAGAGATAACGCCCATCCCCCGCCGCATAACAAGCTTGGCACTGTCTATAAGGAAACAACTAAGTGAGCCTTTTCTCGTCTTCAATCGTTCTTGGCGTTTACTTACCGCCTTTACTTTGTGAGAATTTGCGCTAAACCTGGGCTGCGAGCTTGCTATTGCGCTCTCGTTGTGATCACTAGGCTGTGGGGATTTTTTCAAGCTCAGGTACGGTTGTTTCAACACGTTTTCGCCGTAGTGACTGTCCGGTGCCGCCTCCGAAAGATGTGTTTCAATGAATTTTGTCTTCTTTTGCGAGCATATCGCTGTCCTTGTACTTTTTATGTTCCCGCTAGAACGTTTCTACTTCATACTTAACCTTCTCGAAGTATTGACGACCAACCTATAACTTCAGCTTTCATCTCGTGAAATGCCCACCGGAGGTCCACTGCTTTCTGGCCTTGTTATCTTGTTCTGGACCGCGACTAAACGATGACCAGATCATCAAGACCTTCTGTACTCCCGGTTTTTGGTGGACAAGAATCACTGGCTTACGATTCGGAACACAACCTACAATATCTTCAACATACGCACCCGCCCTGGGGGGCAGTTATACTGGACTCTTGCTTTTCAGTTTTTCATGCAGAAATCGATTCGCTCTCTTCGGATGTTCTTCAAAAAGTGGATATATGCGCTTCAGATTTCCAAGACAAGACCTCTCTACTATCGTCTCCTCATGCACGGCATTTTTCAAACCCGGCCTTCACGATTCCAAATCTTCTTCTAACCCAAATTCTTCGTTATCTCTCTTATATCAACCCTTCACCCAACCCTCACATCTGCCATCCCCCAACCCCCGACCTGCTTCAACAGAAATTAGACAACGTCATTGCCGTTCTCGGGGTTTCCTCTGGCATTCTTTCTGCTTGCGTTGTCGCGGCGTCACGGGATCCTTTATCCTTCATCTCATTCGCTGTTCAAGCATACCGTCTAGCCCTATGGATCGGAATACGTTCTCAACTTTATCGCCTCACTCTTCCAGCACCCACGAGCGGTTATCTCGACATTTTCCCTTGGGCACTCGTCGTCCTTGGAATTCCGAGGCATGACCTCGAGCAGTCTATCAGCGATTTCAACAAGGTATATTTTTACGCCGTTTATCTTGACCTTTGTCTGATTGCTCTCAAGTTCGACTCTGATACAGATCGTGTCCATATCACAGCAGCGATAGATGACAGATGGATCACCGTGTCGGGGCATCCTGACGACCTGGCAGCGTTCGTGTGTATTCTGCCTGAAGGGGCGTCTGTGCATGAGACCAGCATCAAGGCTCTCTATCACTGTTCGTCGAAGCTCCAGACCATACGCGATGAAGTCCTCGGGGACGCTTCGTCGAGGAAGATTCGGTTTCCGACTTTCGAGGACCTCGTCGTCCCTGTACGCTCGACGTTCTCTGGCGACGTCATTAAGGACGCCGGTTCCGGGGTTACGCTCCTCGAGATGGTGGTCGATATGATTCTTATGCAACCCGTCAATTGGGATGTAGTGGTTGAAAGAGTCGTACGAGGCATTCCTTGCGCTGCGGAGGTCGATATCGTCGGTGTTGGGCTGGGGAAGGGCATCCTCAAGCGATTGGAGCAGGCAATCTCATCTCAGGGTCTCGATCTGCGCTCTTCCGTCGACCTCAACACCGAACAGACCCCGCGTCCACTAAAAGTCAAACAAGAGCCTATTGCTGTCATCGGGATGGCCATCAACATGCCTGGCGCGCGTACCCCCGCTGAGCTTTGGGAATTGCTCCTAAACGGTACTAGCACAGTGCAGGAGGCGAGTAGTCCTACTTTTTTCTGATGCTTGTATCTGATCTTGCCCTCTTTCTAACTTGGTCATATTAGATCCCGAAGGATAGGTTCGACTTCGCGGAATACACGGAAGGACGCTTACCTGGGCGCGTGATGAAGGCGAGCACTGCGAATTTCATAGCCGGCGCGGATGAGTTCGATCATGGGTATGTTACTTTCTATTTTTTTTATGTCAGATTACTTTGGGCAGTCAATCTCTTATCGCGTACTGTTCTCTCCGCAGCTTTTTTAACATCAGTCCACGTGAAGCGAGGAGTATGGATCCACAGCAAAGGGTCTTATTACACGCTGCATACGAAGCCCTCGAAGATGCTGGTTATGTACCCAATTCAAGCCCATCTTTCAACCCGGGTACATTTGGATGCTTCATTGGCGCCTCGACTCACGACTATGTTCATAATTTAAGAAACGATGTCGACATTTACTACTCGCCCGGTATGTATTCCTTCTTATCTCCCCCACTTAAACAGCACTTATCTAACGGCTCCTCAGGCACACTAGCGGCCTTCCTTAGCGGGCGTCTGTCGTACTGTCTTGGGTTAAGCGGGCCATCTGTCGTTGTTGACACGGCTTGCTCATCTTCTGTGGTGGCGATCTATCAGGCTGCACGTGCGTTAATGAACAGAGATTGCAATGCCGCTCTCGCTGGGGGCGTCAATATCATTTCCAGCCCAGACGTAGGTCTCGACTCTGCCTGTTTTCCGTACGATAGGCTCAAACTCATTTCCGCTTTCCAGATGTTCCTCGGGCTGGATCGAGCACATTTCCTGGCTCCATCAGGGCAATGCAAGTCGTTTGACGCCTCAGCTGACGGGTACTCGCGCGCGGAGGGGTGTGGTGTGTTTGTCCTCAAGCGGCTGTCCGACGCGATCGTGGAGAACGATGGGATCCTCGGTGTCATTCGCGGAGTGGAAGTCAACCAGAGCGGGCTGGCGGCGTCCATCACCCATCCGCATGTTCCAACACAAGAGGCCCTGTTCAACCAGGTTCTCAAATGCTCGGAAATCGACCCTAATTCCATCACGCTGGTCGAAGCCCATGGGACGGGAACACAGGCCGGCGACAAGAACGAGCTGGAAAGCATTCGCCGGGTGTTCGCGTCTGATCAGAGTCGGAAGGGAAAGAGACAAAGAAGACCAGATACGCCCTTGTACGTCACCTCTATTAAGGGGAACATAGGCCATCTGGAGGCGGCCTCTGGATCTGCGAGCCTCGCAAAAGTCTTAGTGATGTTGCGAGAGAAGAAGATACCGAGGCAGATATCATTCAAACAGCTGCACCCGCGGCTGGCGCCACTGGGACCAGACGGTATTGTCATCCCTGCGAGTAACGTACCGTGGCTGCCTGCGAACCACGGTGGTCCCCTCATCGCTCTCATCAACAACTTTGGTGCCGCCGGATCAAACGCGACCCTCGTTGTGGAAGAATATATCCCCTCAAGCTCAGCAAATTCGTGCACGGCGTCTCTGGATGGAGTCTCGTATGTCTTTGGACTGTCCGCGAAGGATGGCCCAGCGCTGGAGGCCCTAAGAGCCAGGTACATCGCATGGCTTTGCGACCCTCGGAACGATGTCTCGCTCCTGGATGTGGCGTACACCGCGACAGCTCGCAGACAGCTGCATCCATTCCGTCTTGCAGTCAGTGCCAGCAGCAAGGAGGACCTCATCGAGAAGCTCGGGTGCACTCAGCTCGACGAGGCGCCAGTGCAGGAGACGGCTGCTCCCGTAGTTTTCGTTTTCTCTGGTCAGGGAAGCCACTATCGTGGAACGGGCCGTTCCCTCTACATTTCGTCGGCGATATTCAGGCGACATGTCGACGAATGCGAAGTTATTTTGACCTCTTTGGGTTTCGGTGGGGTTACGTCCATGATCGCAGGAAGAGGAAGCACGGTCCAGCATCCGATGCTTAACGACCTCGAGGGGTCCCAGCCTGCAATCTTTGCTTTGCAATACGCTTTAGCAAAGATGTGGCTGGCTTGGGGTATTCGACCGGTTGCGGTCGTGGGACACAGGTCCGTCATTCCGAACTATTGCATTCTTAGAACTTGCTCATAACTCCCCGGCACCAGTCTTGGAGACTATGCTGCTCTCGTAATAGCAGGAGTTTTAACTCTACGTGACGCGTTGATCATAGTTGCGACAAGAGCTCGATGTATGTTGGAAAGGTGCACCCCGAAGGAGACTGGCATGGTCGCCGTCGGTCTAGAGCCCGTCAGGATGCAATCCATTTTGGAGTCAAGGAAGGAGTTCACCAACTTGAGCATATCATGTTTCAATTCTCCAAAAGACTGCGTCGTTTCCGGTCCGATGGTCGAGCTCTTGGCCTTGACGGATTATTTCGACCAGGAGCGTCTCTGCAAGTACACGCAGCTCTCAGTGCCCTACGGTTTCCATAGCGCAGCCATGTCGCCCGTTCTCGACGACCTTCTGGCTCTCGGAAAGAAGACCCGGATGCACTCTCCACTCATCCCGGTCATCTCGACCGTCCTTGGTCGCGTTCTCCGCCCAGGCGATATTACCCTATGCGTCCATGATTACTTCGCCCGCCATTGTATAGAGCCTGTCAGGTTCTTGGGCGGCATTGAATCGTATTTGTCAGACGCCACCACCGCCGGCAAGGCTCTTGTCTGGTTGGAGATAGGTCCACATACGGCGGTCATCCCTATGTTGAAGGCTTTCCCTCAATTATCGGACGCCCTTCTCCTTGGAACACTCCGAAAAGGGCAAGATGCATGGGCGTCGATAGCGAGGACCCTTTCATCACTGTACAAGACAAATTCTGGTATCGATTGGAGAAAAATTTTCGCACAAGTTGGCCCAGCAAAATGTGTCAGTCTTCCATCTTACCCTTTCTCAATGAAGTCGTTTTGGGTGCAGTTCAAGGAAGACGCTGTTGGCCGCAAGATCGACTTTTCACTAATCCGAAACTGGGTGCAAATACCGAACGATGGGAACGAAGGCGTTGCCATTCTCGAAACAACCATCGAGCGGCTCAGAGTTTACATTGAAGGTCATCGCGTTGCCGGTATCCCGCTTTGCCCCGCGTCCATTTACCTCGAACTCGTGTTTTCCGGGGTCCGCCTGGCTCTCAGGCAGCTTGGCTTCCATGACGGCGCGTCTAACATTTCTCTCACCCAAATTAATGTCCCAAAGCCTCTGGTCTGCGTTTTCGGTGAAGAGAACCATACCGGCGCATTGCAAATTGTGATCAACACAAAGAACAACACGTTTTCAATAAAATCTCGCACGGCGTCATTTCTCGAAGGTCTCCATGCCGAGGGCGAGTACTCGCTGTGCACCTCAGACGATACGGAAATGAAATTCAAGCTTCTTTTGCCCAATGTCGTTCGTCGAGCCAGTGCGATATTACATCCTGGGACAGGCCCGACAACCGAGACTTTCTACACACGCACTGCTTACCAAATCATATTCCCTCGCGTCGTCGAATATTCTAAGGTTTTCCAGACTATGCAATCTGTGGATGTGCTGCCCAATGGCTTGGAGGCGGCGGCCTCTGTGAAGTTCAATACCTCGTGCGACGGACGTTTCACTATCCATCCCATCTTCCTCGATAGTCTCATCCACGTCGCCGGCTTCGTCGCCAATCTTCGCGGCGGGCTTGACCATGCATACATTTGCAACAAGATCAGCTCCTTTACTGCTCTGCCAACCCGAATCGACAAATATGCTACGTATAAGATAGTGTGCAGAATCGCCGAGCTCCCCCACAACGAAGGGATCGTCGCGGAATCATGGGCAGTTTTGGAAGCGGACCCCAAAATACTAGTTGCCCATGTTGAGGGCATTCGTTTCCAACGTGTTCGTCTCAGCGGCCTCAAGTCCAGCCTCGCTAGCATTGCAGGGGTTTCAACCCCCTCTTCTGTCTGCTACTCAGAGCCTGACGGTTATTTCAGTCACATTGCTCCACCGGATATCAAGACCGTCGTTCTTCAAACCATCGCTAGCACCTGCGGTGTCGACCTGAAGCAGATCTCTGTCGAGCAGAACCTTGCTTCCCTCGGCATTGACCCCCTTAAGCGGTTGGAGCTGTGCTACGGCCTTTCCAAGGCCTTTCCGGCTTTTGGCTATCGCTCTGAAGACGTTTCCGGTTGCCGGACAATTGGCGAAGTCGTAAATCTCATAACGTCTAATCCGGTTTCCGAACACGTTCCGTTGCTTGCACCTTCGAATATGACCTCCACGCCGCGAACGTTGGTCTCAAATGGCAGCCCCCTGGTGAAGCGGGTCTTTGCCCAGGTGCTTGACGTTGAGGAGGACGCCATCGGGGATGACGCCGATCTTGGATCGTTGGGTCTTGATTCGCTGAGCTCAATTGAGGCCTCGCATATTTTTACCAATAGGTTCCAAATCAACATGCCTCTCAACTTTCTCAGCCCTAAGCGAACCATCCGCGACATCGAAACGCAGGTACTTTCTCCCGGAAATTCATCTTCTCCATCTACCCTGCGGGAAAGGTTCCTGCGCAGTGGAGCTACTGAAAATCCGGTCGAGAAGATGAAGGACGCACTTGGGCTCAATACCAGGCTCTGGTCTGTGCGCTCTGCGGACGACTCTAGGACACCTCTCGTCCTCATCCATGATGGAAGTGGGTTGGCGGTCTCATATCAGCGTATCCTGGATCTCCAGAGGCCTGTATGGGCGATCAATAACCCGAACTTTTCGAGCTCGCGTCCATGGTTAACTATCTTGCAAATGGCGGAATCCTATGCTGCGTTTATTCTCGAGAAGATTACTGGACCTGTTATCATTGGAGGTACGTCTAACTATGAAGTTCGAATGACTCTCGCTCATCCTGCAGAGAAGGTTGGTCCTTTGGTGGCGTTGTCGCCTTTGAAGTCGCCAAAACTCTTCACTCGCGATTAGTGCCTGTCAGAGGCGTCATCCTTATCGATTCACCTGACCCATTCACACACATCTCGTTGCCTCCGTCGGTCATCGACGCCGTTCTGGCCTCCTCGAAGAATTTGGACCCAGAAATCAAATCACTTTGCAAACAACAATTCACGATGAACGACAAGCTTCTCAGCAAATACGACCCATACGAAACGAGACACTATGGACCGCCTCCTCGGCTTATTTTCTTACGGTCGACAGATGGTTTCAAGCTCTCTCCACACAATCAAGAAAATGTTCCCTCATGGCTGTCAGATCGTAGTAGGGTGGCATCTATGACCCATGGATGGGAACTCCTTGCTGGCGTCCCTATCAAAGTATTAGACATTCCCGGAAACCACTTCCAACCTTTCGAGCCTCAGAACGTATGTCATCTCTAACGACCTTCAATCCTTGACTCAATAATCATTTGTCATAGGTGATGGCCGTCTCGCAACGTCTCTCCGAAGCCTGCAACTCACTCGATAAATAGCCTCGCCATCTGGCAGTGGCATCAGAAGATAGATATCATTTCATCCTCGCCTGAATAGCAAGAACGGAAGTGATCATTAGAACACCGCTCCAGATTGTAGAGAACTTGGTATTTCATCGTAAAGCTTTTGTCCAAAACCCGTCCTTCCTACACACTGGTGTGGGAACCGACTTTATGTGCGGTCAAAAAGGCGTGGTGTTAAACTTTATATACACGATTTTTCTGTGTCAATAAAGTTCAAATAAAGTTACAACAAAATCTTCCTTTCCCATGGTCATAATTTTCCGAAAACTGTTACCTTTGAGGTAATTAGTAATGACTAAATTTACCCGTCCTTTTGTTGCTCCGGAAAAGACAATAAAAGCGTGGAATTTGGGACGACAAAAAGGATTGACATAAAGGATTCGGGGATACTATAAAAGGAAAGCCCGAGCCGTTTATATTAGTTTTTGTTCACAATTAAAGGCATCAATTACCTAACAATTATAGACGAGCAGAAAGTGCTTATATAAAGGGTTCGGGCTTTCCTTTTATAGTATCCCCGAATCCTTTATGTCAATCCTTTTTGTCGTCCCAAATTCCACGCTTTTATTGTCTTTTCCGGAGCAACAAAAGGACGGGTAAATTTAGTCATTACTAATTACCTCAAAGGTAACAGTCTTCGGAAAATTATGACCATGGGAAAGGAAGATTTTGTTGTAACTTTATTTGAACTTTATTGACACAGAAAAATCGTGTATATAAAGTTCAACACCCCTATCACGCCTTTTTGACCGCACATAAAGTCGGTTCCCACACCAGTGACAAGAAATGTTGACCATGAACCCAGTCTCGTAATGACGACATTACCTGTGAGTTTCGAAGTCGAAGACCACTTGGGTCTACTTGGGTGGGGTCACATCTCCTCTGAGTTGCCAAGGCGACTGCGGAAAAGCATGAATGCCGGTGTTGCTTCATGCTGGCTCACGTCCTTTTCATCCGTGCACACCTACCTCAACTGCATCTAAGCCAAATTCTGACCATCGTTCCCTTTTGCACAGCAAATGACTTCAGACGCCATCTTTCTAACACCGTGAACTATTTTTATGATTATTGAACGGAAGCAAACCCGCAAGTGTGCCCCATCAACAGCGTGTGGACACGGCCTAGCTACGGCTTTAAAGGCGACGTGATGGGACATGCTGAGCCCCAGGTTTCATTCAGCCACCTCACCACCACCACAAAGTTAACCAGGGAGCAGGATCTCCCTCGAACGAAGTTGACCTTCGCTACGATTGTACATCGGCTGGACCGACAAACGACTCAATGCACTCATCGATCTGCTTCGCTCTTTTACTTGCTTCTTCTCTTGTTGCGGCCGTGCCGAGGCCGTTCATTCGAGATGCACCAGTTGGAAGGCGGAGGTGAGTGGCGGATCAGAGCCTTGCGAGTGGTGGATATCCTGATCTTGGTGTTTGCAGAGGATGTGGAACGCACATCACTGCTGCACGAGTAGCCTCGTCTGAGCGACGATTCCAGGCACAACGTCTGCCTCCTGAAAGCGAGAACGCCACCGCGACCCTCGACGTGTACTTCAACGTCGTCTTCTCCAATGAGACCATTGAAGGCGGCTATGTCCCGTACGTATCTCATCGTGGGCCGCAGTTGTTGGATTCTGATAACTTTCCAGAGACCAACAAATCCACGATCAGATTAAGGTCTTGAACGACGACTACAATAGCACGGGCATCAGCTGGAGACTCGCGAACATCACGAGGATCAAGAGTGAAGACTGGTTCTTGAGGGTCGCTCCCGAGAGGTGGGTCTACCCAGCAACTCACTCTTGATTATTGAATGAGTTATGTGTTCCACAGCACGGAAGAGAAAGGCCTGAAGAAATCTTTCAGACAAGGTGACGCTGGCACGCTCAACGTCTATACCGTCGGGTGCGTCTCAACGCAACTATCTCATTGAATTGCAGCTGACTGCGGTTCATTTGCGTATAGCTTGGCTGAAGGCGATGGGCAAGGTCTTCTTGGATACGCGACCTTCCCCATGGACTTTGAGTCTGAGCCCACGAGCGACGGCGTCGTTCTTCTGCACTCGACCCTCCCAGGTAGCAGCTCGGACAAGTATAATCTGGGACGGACGCTCGTGCATGAGGTGGGCCATTGGGCAGGGTTGTACCATACTTTCCAGGTAAGGGGTCCATTGCAGATGCTCGTCGATAGAGCAGACACTCACTGGCTGTAGGGTGGATGCACCGGTGCTGGAGACGAAGTCGACGACACACCACCCGAAGAGTCTCCTGCCTACGGCTGCCCACAGAACCGCGATACATGCCCCGGAGGAGGACCCGACCCCGTCCGTAAGTGACTCCATGTCATCGTGGATCAGCCTTGAGGCTTATATCCTTTTTTATTTCTATTCTAGACAACTTCATGGACTATACAGACGATGCTTGCATGACTGGCTTCACGAAAGGTCAAGCAAAGAGAATCAAGGCGCAGCTTAGGACCTACCGCCACGTCGATGTATGATCAAATGTCGATGTACGATCTTGCAATGAAACGAAATATAAAAAGAGGTGTTAGCGGGGCGCTGAGCGTCAATCGCAGGAGGCGCCAATCCTTTGACGAGCTGAAGAGGTTAATCATCCCGTCACACGGCGGACCATGCCTGCAAGGACGAATGTAATTGTTGAAAAGTTGCCGTACTCTGCGGCCGTTCAACTTGGAATTTGAAGGCTGTGTCAAAATTGTCCTGGCGGTTCCCTCGATGTCGATGTCCTTCCCTTTTCTGGCAGATTTTTCCTTGCCAACTTCAACTTATCGCAAAACCTGTAATCCAAAGCTTGCATTTCGGCGCTGGGATTGAAGTTGATCAACTGACTCGAATCTAAATTTAGTTCCTCCTTTCCCCTTGACAAACCCCTCGATTGTTATTGACAGATGCAGCGTTGCGGCCATTCGGGAATTTTTAGAGTCGAATTGGTCCAGCGCTCATGCAGGCTGTTCAAACGTTCATGATCGGTTCAATCTGATATTGATCCAGTTTTCCTGTCCTCCTTTTTCAGCTTTCTGCTTCCTCATAAATTCTTACAAAATGCGAGGTGAAGATCTCTCTCGTCTTCTTTGATTTCTTAGACACATACCAGCAAAACTGTAGAATATTTGGTAGGTCGGCGGATCATGTCAATTTTGGTGTCGGGGATCATGGAGGCTTTCCTAATCCGCCGCGCCCGTGCCAAGATCGTGTGCAACACTGGTTTGACCAAAAAAGTCTTGAGCGGAGAAATGCCAAGCGTCGCCTGTAGTCATGCCCTCACGGACCACCATCACCCACTATTTGAAGGGATCCAGCAACAACGTTTCTTGCCTCCTTCCTCACCTCGTTTCCCCCACACTCTCTGTTCCTGTCCTGACGCGTATACCCTTCACCTTCCAGGACAGTTGTCGTTATCATCATGATTCTCTCAGCTTCAAAAGCCCTCTCCTTGCTCCTGAGCTCATCGCTCTTTGTTGCGTCAGTAGCGGGGTTGGATCTGAAGTAAGCCGTTGTATCTCAACTCAAGACTAGGTGTCTAATGAGGAGAACTTGGTAGAGACTACAACCCCTGCGGTACTGTCGTGACTGATGAGGATATCTCGAACTCCGAGGCCGCACTCGCAAGGCTGCGCATTCCCCGACAAAGCACCATCCAGGAGTATAACTTCGGCGTCTACTTCAACATTGTTGCTTCCAACATGACGACTGAAGGTGGATGGGTTCCGTGCGTTCTTTCTTGCTAGCCCCTTTTTTGATGGGCTAATATCTTTTTCGTCTATGTAGGCAAAGCCAAATCGACGATCAGATGACATTGCTGAACGAGCGATACGTTGGAACTGGTGTTAGCTTCACCCTCCTCAATGTGACGCGGGTTATCAGCCGCTACTGGCATGAGACAATAGACTCGGACTTGTGCGTTTTTAATACTCATGCTCCGTTCCGTTTCAGCTGACCATGCTGAACTTTCCAGGCCGCAAACCGCTGACATGTACAGGCTGTTCCGCAAGGGCAGGTCTACTTCCTTGAACGTCTACTCCGTCGGTTTCTATGATGCCGGCCTGAACGGGTATGCCACCCTCCCTGTTAGCTACAGGACGAGCCCGACACGAGATGGTGTCGTGCTGCTATACGCCACGTTCCCCGGAGGCACCAGCCCCAACCGACAGGGCGGCACCCTCATCCATGAAGCCGGCCACTGGCTTGGTCTCCGCCACACCTTCCAGGGCGGCTGCACTGGTGTTGGTGATGGTGTCGCAGACACGCCTCCTCAGGGACAGGCTAACTTCGGATGCCCAATCGGTGCTGATTCGTGCCCCGGAGACGGCTTGCCTGACCCCATCCGTGAGTTCATGACGTTTTCGACTTGCTGCCTCCCTTTTTTTGACAATGGATGTTTGGCAGATAACTACATGGACTATACCGACGAGACCTGCCGTACGGAGTTCACCCCCGGCCAAATCGACCTTATGCAGAGGTCGATACGTGCCTTCCGTGACGATCCCAATGTGTAATACGGCGCGTACGCCACTCCGATTTTGCCACTTTCTTCATTGCGCCTCTATGTTTGGGATTGCGGAGGACATCAAGGCGATCTGAAGTTTGATGCAGGCGGCCTGATTGGACAGACGTAACTAACATACTGACTACTTCACGAACCCTCTTTCACATAATTCGTATATTCAGTTCCGCTGGAACTTGCATGAAATCCTCGTGTACGTTGTCCTCAAAGCTTGAAGTTTGAACAAAATGTCCAAAGCTAGAGACATCTTTGAAAGATTGATTTCAATCGAATTGAGCATCGTGTCTTTCCCAAGACTTGTAATCATCTGTCAAGTTTACTACCATCTCTCTCTTCCCCATTCCTCGCCAAAAGCTATTCATTATATGCTGGGCAGTGGGCTGAAGTGTCTGTAGGCTGCGGTATGCTGTGCCTTCTGTCGATGCCAAGAGGCGTTTACCCCCGTCATGGTCTTGGTACTCTCGAGCCTCGTGCCGGCGCTTTCAACTCGAGGACTATTTCAATTTGACCCTGACCATCCCTTCCTGTCCCTTAACATCCTTTGCTTGAACAGGAGGAACGTTTACCTTTTTCACTTTCTGCACAAGCGCACTTAGCATCGTCACAGCGCCCTGTTCGAGACATTATCGCGGATGAAGATTGTGTGGAAGATGTTTCACCACACACCAACCACGATCCTGCTTCTGCTCTCAGTAACGCTGGTGGGCGCAACTTCGAATATGCGGAGGAGGATGGGCGAGAGCATTGCAGGGTGAGTATGTTCTTGAAACACCACTGGCAGACTCATGACGCTGGTTCATTTCCATGGTTGAAGGGAGTGTCGTACACCATATAGTAAGCATGAGAACGAAGTCATGAGGGAGGCGTTCGAGAAGATCAACCTCGACAAGCGCCAGACGACCGAGATTGTGTTCGACGTCCATTTTAACGTCGTAGCTGCGAACATCACCGAGGCGGGTGGATGGGTCCCGTATGTCCTTTTCTTCCATGCCCTGGCTCATGGTGTGACTTTCGGATTGTCAGAGACTCTCAGATCGAGAGGCAATTCGAGATGCTGAGAGAAGGTTTTTCGGGACACGGGATCTTCTTCCAGTTTGGCAGCACGACGCGTATCCTCTCGTCGAACTGGCACCATAACCTGAACGTTCCAGAGGACGACATTCTGTGAGTCTTCTTCGCTCCTCAACTCCATCCTTGATCTGACAATTCTTCCTTGCATTCTAGGGAAAGAATGCTCATCAACTACGGGACCCTCTTCCGCAAAGGAGGTGCCACCAGCCTGAACATCAATCTCATTTTGTACGCTATCCCTCTTCTATTGCATCTTTCATGTGCCCTTAATCGTATCACTCTGCGCTGTAGGTTCGGCTCAGATGACGAAACGTACGGCTTTGGCCTTCCACCGTCGCTGTACCGAGCATACCCTGAGCTCGACGGGATCTATGTCCGCTTTACTTCTCTGCCCGGTGGGGCCAGCCGTGCGAGGCAAGGTAGCACCGCCGTCCATGAGGCGGGGCACTGGCTGGGGTTATGGCATACTTTCCAGGTAACCAATCTCGCAGCCGTGTTAAAGGTTCGACTTTAAATGTTTCTTCCCTTTAGGACGGTTGCGAAGGTGAGGGTGACGGTGTTGCAGACACACCCGCTGAGGCTGGCCCGGCCTCGGGATGCCCCATTGGCCGGGATAGCTGTCCAACCCTGCCGGGTTTGGACCCAGTCCGTACGTGTTCTTTCTCTGGAGTATGTCTTCTAGTCGCCCTCACCTCTGCTGGCATTTAGAAAACTGGATGGATTATTCGGCCGAAGGCTGTCGAGATTCGTTCACAGCTGGACAGGTAGCACGCATGCAAGCTGCGTCACGATACCGGATCGATGTGCTGTCGTAAGAGAATTGTGCTCGCAGATCCTGTATACCCTATTCCGCTTGTAACGACTCTTCACGAACACCGATGACGCACCTGTGCCAGTTGTAAGGGCCGCCTGCGGCACTGACGACACTCCGTCCTCGAAGAAACATGGCCCAATCGAGCGTCTATAGATCCCCAGCAGATGTCCAGGACCTTGAGGAACATGACAGAAAGATGCTATCACCCATCTCATTCACTCTACCCTTCGCCCACATTGAGGGCGTCTACCACCACCAACGGCTCCGACGCATTCAATAGCAGAAGTTGTCGCGGCGTAGCGTAGTTATACTTAAAAATTGAAACACTAACACCCTGGTGTGTCGATCATTAAGCCGCTCATGCTCTAGCTTCAGTGACATCGACGTCATAGTCGCATAAGCGTTGCTAGATGCTATGTTTTCGAAGCCCGTGTTAAAGGATATAAAGGGTGCCTATTGGAAAGTGACACTGAAACCTCTCAGAAGACAAGTGTACTTGTATGCAACGTACGTATGGGAGATCATCACGGCCTACTTATGACAGAAGGGTTCACCGTACTATACGAACAGGAACAAGCGATTGGTTGAGCACCGTTGCGTCAAGGACCATTGACAGTTCATCGGGGTCGCCGACTTGGCGAGGTTGACCGCACCACAGGTTTGTTGGAACGATAGCACACACCTCGCTGACAGTGGAACGTTGAACCTCCACACCTAATTCTCTCATGCACTGGTTGAGATGTTTCTTCGCCCACTGTAGCTGTTTTCTCCCTGCCTCGTGTGGGATACTTGATGACAATCATAAGGTCGGCCATTGGGGTAGCCGGGTAGAGCTCCGACGCCAAACGGTGGAGGTTGGGCATCTCCTTTTTGGCGTCATGGGTGAAAAGATGTTGCAAATATATTAAATTTGCCTTTTCACGCCATTTTCGATCTCCCTTCATCGGATGGCATGAAGAACTATGCGGGTATACGAGAAATTTCGAAAGGTGCACATACCTTGCCATATGTCTCCCAAACTCGACTTGCAGTCTTCGCGGTGCCCCCGTTCCCTCCATGCCTTGATTTGGCATTCGCGCGAACAGTAAATTGCCAGAGCTGCATTTCATGAAGTGCGTCTTCTTATCTAGCTTTTGACACTGACGAGAAGAATCAACTTCCATTCGTAGAACAAAAACCAGATAGACCTCCGCGGTAAATACCACAGTGCGGTATACGAGATATGATATGAACTTTCTCTGTAGCTCGTTCAGGAGCCATTGCCGTGTATCCATCTCAAGGTAGCCGAACATTTTAGTCCAGCAGTCCACGCACGCAGGAATCCCGATCGAAGCGACTGGACAAGCCACACGGGGCTGTCAGGAGAATCAACAGCGTTGAAGACGTACTCCAAGCACTGCTTGAAGAGAAGGAGGCGCATTTGGGTATCTTCTGGTACGGTAAGCGTCGGGGATGCCATGTCCGCGCGTCGACGGATAGGGAGGTCTGATTCAAGCGATGTTGCCTGTTTCACGGCTAGCTCGAATCGAGTGTCCTGGTATTCTTGATAGTACATTCAGGAATGTGACGTGCGAGCTCAGAGCGCAAGGACGCTCCGCGTCGTTGACTGCCCTCTTCAAGCGATCCAGGAGTGGTGTCGTAATTTGCGCAGGGAAATTATTACATGCAGTTACCATGCGACCGAGGGTGGAAATTGTGACGGCGTGCTTCTCCTGAACATCTGGGGAAATAGTGCTTCCCCTCTCACCGAGGTTGACGCTTGGATTGAACCGTTGTCACCAGGAGGGTTTTCGCCCACGTCGTCCAAGGTCTGTGCAGCTGCAAACATGACATTCAAGGCGTCCGTGGCCCAGGGGACCCGATCCTTCGGCGGTAGTGGGAGTGCGGACGCTTTGTACGAGTTGTCGAGAACGTACAAACGTGTGGCCAATTCGATGCTCTCTGGCGTGTGGATAATCATCATACGCGTTCTCTCGCTGTGGCTGAAGACGAAGAAGACACCCGACAGGAGATCGACAGTTGAGTGATAAAGTTCAGAGTTAGATCTGGAGAAATTGTCTTCCAATGTTGCTCAGGAGCGGAGAGTGGTCTAGAGTGGTGTCTCGTCAAATGGAGCTATTGTCTGTTGATAAAAGAACGAACACCATGCGAAAGTTGCGGTCCAGCTAGCGAGCAACGCTTTGTCGATATCTAAGTAAATCTGGATTGACCGTGAGAAATCGAGAGACTCTATGGATCCCTTGCAGCCGATGGTCAGCGCAATTCTGTGGGTTCACCGACGGAGGATAGTGTCTCGTTTAAGTGTTTAAAGAACACTTCCAGAATATCCATGCGACAGAGAAGAACAGACGCATTCTAGCAAAGAGACTGGTCAATTATAAATCGTACATCGTGATTATAAGTGCAATGTGTAGTTTACCTTGGTTAAAAAACAGTAGTTCGATAATTCAAATAGGTCTTGCATTACGCCTTGTCGAGCGTTTGTCTCCGCATTAGCACCATCCTACTAACGAACCAATGTACTAACCTTCCGGGGATCCGATTCTATCTTTCGCATTGCGCGAGTCTGATCGATGTCATTACCTGGTGCTGTCCTAGCGCGTATTGATTCCATGTCGACGAAATGTGTCGTGGTTCAAGTCAAGAAGCCAACTTGGTGAAACAAACGTGGTGGCGTGGGAAGGAGCGAACACAGGGGCTCTTCTTACATAATGGATGCATGGCGCACACAAAGCGTTGTGCTGCTTTGCTTTTGTAGTTGAGGCATTCACAAGTTTGACGTTGACGTTGAACGTTGATTCAGGATATAGTACTGCTTTGGCACTGCAGAGTCCCTTCTCGATGATTCAACGAACCACTGGACCTTCAATTCCCCTACACCAACACACAATTCAAGTTGCCCTTCAAGTTCTTCCTGAAACCGGTAAGTAATTTCTCCTGAAGCTGCCAGTGGTTGAAGGTGTGCAAGTTCAGGCACTACAATGGGGAGCAGACACGTAGACGGAACAAAGACAAGGACATAGCCACGCATGAAGGATTGCCCGAGAAGATCAGAAGAGTACTGCATTTCGATGTATTTTTATAATACCTTGACCATCTTGACGTCTGGACACAGGAGATGAGTACTCCGGGTTCTGAAATTGGTGGACACATGGTGAGAAGTATTTTGTGATATAGGTTATCCTTTCTGAGACCCAGACTCTTGCTTCGTCAGTTGAAGACCCTTCAAGAGACTGTCAGCGGCTTTCGTCCTATCATGCTTGTCAGGGAATAGCAAACGAAGAATTAGAATTTGCTCAGCCATGCATGGCATAAACTCACCTCGACGAATACGACGCCTACGAATCACGATCATAATGTTCATCCAGTAAAGTCAGGCCCCGGGAAGCTCCCGATGGGGTCTGTCCGTCGAAAACCCCAAAATTTGGCCTCAAATCCGCAAACTTTTTCGTCTCAAATCCGCTATTTCGCACAAGGTTGTCACGCTCCCACGCGTGATTTATGTGACCATGCGCCGAAAGCGTGACACTCCTCCGAGTATCCGTTGTCCTGAATGATACCAAAACCGAAAAATCTATGTGATCGATCACCGACAGGGTGTGGTCTGGGCCAAAGTGGGCCTCAAATCCGCTAAATGTGGACAGGGATAATGAGAAAATATCTCGCGAGGGCCTCAAATCCGCTATAAACAGACAAGGATTTCGCACATTTTCGCCTCTCAAATCCGCTAACTCTGGACAGACCCTATCGGGAGCTTCCCGGGGCCTGTAAAGTCACAATGATCCGAGTCGATCTGTTCACTGTCAGCCCGTCTTCTAATGGTTTACGAACATGACAAGACGATTCGAAAAGCTGGATTTATGTGCACATGGAGGCATTTATTGTTCCGTCCAGTCAAATCGTGCACTGGATTCGACGCTTCGTGATCACCACATGGGCAAACATTTTCTTTGAATGTCCAATTTGTTGATCAAAAGACTCTTCTTCGTGCGGCGTTAAGGAAAGCCATTTGGGAACAATTGGGCATCCTCGAACCTCCTTCAAATCCTCTTCAGCGCCGCGGAGTCTTGGTGGAAATCTTGATGGGGAAAGCCTTGGCCGAGCTTGCTTCGTAATCTAACTTCCACCCGCACACACTCTCCCTCAAGCCCTCGAGTCCTCATACCATCTGGTCCCCACCTCTCTTCGCCACACAAGTCCTCTTAGTGACATATTCCGAGTCTTGCGACCATCTGATAGTGGGAGCGCTCATATGGCCAAGCGAGGTCCCTTAATTGCGCCACACGGACATCGTCGTCATCTCTCTGCCTCTATCTATGCGATCACTCGCCCTTGGGTCTTCATTCTTCTCGCAGTGGTGCTCCTCGTCTCTATCATAATTATTCACAGTCGTCGAGGGCTTCATGTTGAACTAGGGCTCAGGGTATCACAGGCGCCTTTGATGGATCTCACCCCATCTGAAGTATACCAGGAGGCCCCCGTGCATCTTGCAAAGATGTTCCCACCTCCAGATCCTGTCAGGAAGAACTACGACGAGTGGAATTCTCGAACGCTGTTAGACCTGCATGCGTGCATGGCCCTTAACAGATGCGGACCGAACCAAAAGAAGGTCGCCTTGCTGGCTGCACATTGGTTTGAGGAGGCGATTGTGCGCGGGTGGAGAGGCGGTGAAGGCGTATGGTGAGCAACCGAATAAGGCTTAGGCTTCGGGCTAACTGCACAAATTGTGACAATTATGTAGGGCGGTATCTGTAGTAAGTAATAAGCTATTTTTAGACTAGCGCGTCGTGAACTTCTTTTCTGAAGCATAAACACCTACGCGCCATGGGATATACCACCTTCTTTGCCAACAGCTTCGGTGAGTGTTGTGAAGATAAAGAGCCTCCCAATCGACGTTCATCCAGCTCCACAGATGAAGCTCTGAAACAATATCGCATGTTTCCGGAACTTGTCAAGGTAAGAAATGTTTCTTCTGATTCTTGAGGCTCTGCTCACCGCATCTCAAGGTCGTCATTCGGAACAAAGCTGGAGAGTGTCATTCAGACCCCAAATGTGTCAAAGGACCGGATAATCCATCGGGTATACCTGCCTGGAAGATCTTTGACTTTGAATTTTTTGTATCGCACGGGAACCACTTCCACGCCTCTCTGATGAAAGGCAAATGGATCCTCTCAGCCAACCCGGATAACAAGCCCCAGGATCCTGGTCCTATTCAATATATCGGGTATGGCTTAACGTATTGCCTTTTCGCTGACAGTTGAACAGCTCACTATCAACAGGTACTCCCTCGAAGACGAGTGTCGCCAAATCGAGCCCCTACGCCTGGCCCAGCGCGCGCACCGTGCATGGATGTTAATGAAACAACTGACGTACGTCTACGACTCGGCCTTTGCCTGGAACCGGTCCTACTTTTCCCTTGCGCACCACTCGCCCGAGCTCTCCGAGTTGGTATTCGCCGGTGGATGGATGATCGACCAGCACTACCAGTGGAAGCCAGAGAAAGGGATCCTGACAGACATCGAGGATCCCGCGAATGGGGTGGTCAATTTCGGGCGGCTCGACCCAAAGCAATTCCTCGAAGCGGTGAGGATGAGTAAAGTCATGGTTGGGATGGGAAATCCGTGGTGGAGCCCGTCGCCGTACGTCGCTTTGTGCTTGGGGGTCCCGTTTGTCAATCCGGTAGCGCAAATTCTATGGAACCCTGTTCTATCTCGGCTAACCACATTCGTGAATAGATACGGAACTGGGACAGACAGGACCCTTGGAACAAGACGAAATGGCACACTCAGCACCCTTCTCTCAACGGATACGATCCGCCGTAAGTTGTGTTCGCCAGTCCTTCCTCGACGTCATAGGCATTTATGTATTATGTCTTCCTGTAGGTACGTCTATCACGTCCACAAGGGAGACTACGAAGGCTTTATCAAAGCCGTAAAAGCTGCCTCAATCACAGAAATACCCAGGTCGGCTTAATGAAATTTAAGAGCTTTCTTCTCACTGACGCAACTACAGCTTTATCCCACCGCATATGACCGAATTTGTGGTTCGCGAGCGGGTGCGAAATCTTATAGAAACAGACTGGAAAGCTCTGGCTGCTGAGCTTCTCGAAGAGAGATTAGAGGAGCGGAAGTCAGGCAAAAAGGCGTATGTGAGTCGCCTTTATTTCGGGTATAGTTACCTGGTACCTGGGTGACATCTTCCTTTAGGTTTTCGAACTTTAGACCAGAGTTATTGGCCAAGTGTATTGATCTTGGTGACTATGTCTGGGCACCGCGGCCGTTGTTGTGCAAAATCCTTTCACTGAACGCAGTGTGACAACACCAATAATAGAGGGACAGTGAGAATTCCATCCTGGGAGAGCTGTTTTCCTCATCCCCCGGAGAAGGGGGCCGTTGACTATTGTCAGGAATGAATGGTAGGTCGAGAGTCGAGGACCGACCGTCTATTACGAGTTCCTAATTCTACAGCGCATTCGTGTTGAGGATGAGTACCGCTCAGCTCATAGCATGGCTCCCTGTCCTTGATCCTGCCCTTGAAGGAAGATCTTCGAAGAATGAGTGTTTGCAACATATAGATCTACTACATCTCCATGCCTCCACTGGACTGAAGATCGTCCAACATTTGCGCGAAAACCTTGTTCAAGTCAAAGTTTGGATCCCCCGCCGTCCACAATATGCCAGACGCACAAGTGACCATCAATCCCTCCAACCCATCTCCAGCTACAATTCGACTTTCTATGAGGCATGCCTTTCCTGGGGATTCCTTCACCAGCTTTAACAACCCTTCATTATAGTACCTGACCATCCGTTGGGAACCATTACGCCAAGCGAGGGTATTTGGCAAGCTTTTTCTTCGATCTTCGGTGTGTGGGCGTAAGGAGAAGGTCGGAGGATGGCAGGTGTAATCAATCTGTATGGTGAGATCGTTCAGTGCGTAAGAAGGATAGTTTGTTGAAGCTAGGTGACGAAGGTTGGGCATCGCACGCCTCGCATCGTGGATGGCGAGATAGTGAAAAAAGGTCGCGTTCGATACTGATAAGTTATACTCTGTAAAAAAAGGATCGAAAGGCGATAGGACACGAAAGGGAAAGCACGCGTACCCATCACTTCCCGTTGAGATTTGCATTCCTCCCTATGACCTCCTTCCTTCCATGCAGCTACCTGACATTCTCGCGAGCAGTAAAGGGCTGACAAACACGAGGCGCATTTCCTGAACTTGTCCCGCTTGTCGACTTTGGCACACTGAGATCGCGAGTTAAGTACGTGTTACTAAAATTACGGACAGGAGGCATTCACCTTTGTGTTATCGCAGCAGAAATCTAGTTTTTCCAATAGCTTCATTTGACCGACTAGGGCATACCTCTCCGACGCGACCGAGCACATGTTTTGCCATGCCGTAAGCATATCGACTCGCCAGAGATGATTGTTCTTCAAAGTGCCGCCTTTGACGATCTTGACCTTTTGTATGGCAGCCATTGTGGCTGATAGAACCTTCCTGTACACTAGCCTTGGGAAGAGGTGCTTCTCGAACAGGGCAGGAATGACAGCGTTATTCTCCTGGGCGGGAAACAAGTAAATTCGCTCTGCTGCAACCAGCCATGCCTCGAGGAGACCGTGTTTGAGTGCCTGAATAATCCTGGTCGTGCCATCAGAAGAACCGAGCACAGTGTCGAGACAGACGAACGCAGATACGATTTGGAAGACGAAACCTGTACGGTTCACATGAGAGAATGGATTCGGTTCTGGCTGACGCCCAGCGAATTCGGCGAGTTGGACGAGTAGCTTCGTCACCAGGATCACATAACCTTGATCTACCAGTGAAATGCGAATGCGATGGAGTGGCGGTGTAGAAAGAATATCGAAAATGATCAAATAGCCGGCCAGTGCATCGGGGGGTGCTTGTCCTTGACCGAGGTCGCTTATGACGGTCCTTAGGTACAACATAACGAGGTCGACAACGTTGGAAAGCGAACCGGCGGCAGATATAACACGTTCGAGGTGTTTGATTTCAGATGAATACGCACGCGTCAGAATATCGGAATGCTTGTCGTTCCATGGGTCGAGGGAATATTGGCGTAGATCGATTAACGACCGTTCAGGTCTCAGCAGCATCATGAGCGCTTGAGGTAAGTTATGCTTGAGCCACATCTGCGTTGCAATCTCCACAGTGCCTGGCGTGTCAACCATCGCCTGGTGCACACTTTGGAAGGCACCGAGGGACACGAAGATGTCCGCCACCATGTAAGCCACCATCAAGTGGATCATGTCCTTCGGGGCCCTCTGAGGAACTGGAAGGACGGAATCGAGGCCGCCTTTAAAAAAGAACGAACACCATGTGAGTATTTTACCCAGTCCTGCAAGCAGCGATCCTTCAATTGCTGGGAGAGAGATGCGGTGCTGGATGTCGGGAGAATAACACACATGCCCTAGTTCTCGGAAGCAAAATAGGGTAGTGTATGCCGTTGCCCTCTCCTGCGCGGTCGCAGAGGCAGGGAGAACGTTGAGAAAGGTCGGTGGGAGGTCTAGGAGGTTCATGTTCAGGAGGTCGGCTGCTTTGGTGGACTGAACAGATAGTTGTGCAACGTCACTACCGGACACATTGCAAGGCATTCACAAAAAGCCAAGAGGGCGTACCTTGTGCCAAGTACAAAACAGTTGTTGAGCTATTGGTGGGCTTTGTCGAGCGTCGTTCAAAAACTAAGTGTGGCATAGTCTAAATGGGAGAAGGGATGATAGAGGGAAAAAATCGACCTTCTTCGGGTCTTCGTTTATCCTGAGCCGCACAGACTCATCCACCATATTTTCCATTGGGGAATGTTTGAATTTCCTGATCGAATTCTGTTCTCTGTGTTATTTGAGGAATTCTAGGAGCCGAGTTGGTGGACGTTTGAACTCAAGAAATGAAGACGACGATTATCGCTGGGCTCGAAATCCGGCCCGCTCTCTCCGAACCCCACAGCCCCCGAATCTCTAAAGTTGCGTAACACTGACGGCGACGGCGACAACGGAGGGCGCTCTAATTTTTTTCTGGGATCCTTCAAGCCGGCCGTCCAACACGTACCCCACCGCGTTCTCCACCAATTCCTTGCCCTACATCTCTTTCGTTCGTCTACGTCTGGGATAACAATGGCAACGGCCCTTCAGAAAATGCGTATCATCGCGGTGCCCTTGACGCGTCCTCGGCGCACCATTATCCCAGTTTCTTCCTCGGCTTCTGTGGGCTCAAGCTCGAGCTCGCGGTCGAGCACGAGCGTGGTGAAACCTAGCCGGTTAACGTATTACCAGTTCCAAATCACCACGAAGAAGAAGAAAACAGTGAAAGCGAGTGCGACTGAAGGTGATGCCCATAACGCCGAGAAGGAGAGAAAAGGGTGGCTGCCTGAGGAGGGCCTCGTGAACTACGCGACGCAGAAGGCGGCGGATATCTGGGCTGGGTTCGGGAAAGCCGAGGGTGGGTGGAGGGTAAGCATGTCGAGTTCCAACCCCATTTCATCGTGTTCATGTTGTTCCTTTTCTTTTTAGTTGAAAACCTTCCAGTTTGGCGAAAGGCTGATGGACAGGATGGAGTTCGAGGAGTTCGCGCTGAAGAGCATAGACCCGTCTCTCGGGCCTTCCATCAGGCATCTCAAGCAACGGCCGCTGGTGGACGAGAAGGGTTCAGGACCTCCGACGGTATGCTGCCCCTCTGTCACCTTTCAGCGTTCTCACTGCTTATTTCGTCCGTCCCGACGTTGTGTATCAGATACCTCTGATATTCCCTCCTTCAATCGTCACCCCCTCAATGGCATTGACAGAACTGAAAGCGTATACTGCACACCGGATACCACGACACCGGCGAGGTTTTTGGGGTTGGATGCTGGTTGCCCCATTGACTTCGCCGTTTATGATCATACGTGCGTCTCCCCCTTCTTTCCTCTACCCTCCAGGAATGAGTGTTAAACTGTCATGGTGTTCGATAGCCATCATCCCTAATCTTCCTTTCTTCTTCTGCGTCTGGCGGTCATGGTCGCATTATAGAGGTTCGTCGCGTCTCAAGTCTCCAAAAGACTCGTCAGGCTAACTGAAATAACCCTGAATAACAGCATATAGATCTTCGCAGTACCTACAATCCCTCATAGAACACGACGTCATCGCCCCCGAAGCCAGCGAGGCACTAGATGAGGTGTATAAACTACGAAGCATCGCAGAGCCAACTCCTTCCACTTCCACTACCTCCCACTCGGATTCTGCATCATCAAGCTCAAGCTCAACGTCCGAGCCTCCCCCGTCCTCCAACCCCTCTGCCCCGAAGTCTAGCACGACTGCGTCTTCGCAAACCTCATCGGGCCCAGAACCGAAGCACGATGTTCTACTTACTCGCGACGCTGTTCCGGCTATCCTCTCAATATTTGAGCTCAAGCCAGACGGTTCAGCTGCTGCGGACTTGTATCGGGCTATTGAGCAGGCTCGGGTACGTGTCGCTAGTGGGCGGGAAGAGCTATAACGTATAATCTGGGCTCGAACGTCACCCTCATGCCAATTGACGAACGAGATAATTTGCTTTGTTTTTATAGTAATAATCGGGGCTATTGTATGTTTCGATCATATTGGGCTTTTGGGAAGCTAACAATTATCCAGCTCATATTAAAAATAACAACCACGAGACACAGGACTACATATGTAGTTTGGAAAAGGCCACCAAGCTACCAGGACCAGCTCATGGGCCCAACCCGGTCACGCCCGAAGCAAGCTTGTTCCTTATCCTAAACGTTCCGCACATGTAGACCTCGTACCTCGAACTCCATCGTTTCTCCATCTACAGTTTCCCGCTGCGACGCTTGTCAGCTCGTCGTGATCGATAGCGAATATGCCGTGAACATGATGTGATTGGCCAACGATGACACACTCCCAGCCACCTGCGACGTTCCGCATCCTATATATACCGCTGACTTCCCAGCTGAATCATCCACAACTCCTCTCTTATCTATTCCTACGATGCCCGCCACCTTCACACTCAAGAGCGGCGCCACGATCCCCTGGCTCGGGTTCGGTACAGGTACTGCGCTCTACCAAAAGGATGCCGCCGCGTCCGTCCGAGCCGCCATCGAGAACGGGATCACCCACCTCGACGGGGCGCAGATGTACAACAACGAGGACACACTCGGGGCGGGGATCAAGGCGTCGGGAAAACCGCGATCGGAGCTGTTCGTGACAACCAAGCTCGACGGGCGGGTCGTCGGAGACAAGACAATAACAGATACACTGAAGGACTCACTCGCCAAGCTTGGTCTCGACTATGTCGACTTGTTCTTGATCCATGATCCCACGCCTGCGACGAAAATCAGCCCTCAGACGCTGGGGGCGTGGTGGGCCGAACTGGAGGAAATTCAGCGTGCGGGTCTGGCGAAGGACATTGGGGTGTCGAACTTCAAAGTTGAGGACCTCAAGATCATCTTAGAGAGCGGGAAGGTGGTTCCGGCTGCCAACCAGGTATGGATATTCTCCATCTCTCGTTGCAAGCTAATCGAGCTCTCGCCGTTTAGATCGAGCTGCACCCGTACGTATGGAAGGCTGCCGAGCCGATCGTGAAGCTCTGTCGCGAGAAAGGCATAGTCGTTGAGTCGTATGGCGGTCTTACACCCATCGTGCGTGTCCAAAATGGGCCCCTCGATCCCATCCTCGCTAGCATCCGCGAACGCGTAGAGAAGACACGCGGCGCGCCAGTCTCAACGGGCCAGATCTTGACGAAATGGCTCTTACAGAAAGAAATCGTCGTTGTTACGTGAGTACATCATCCTGTTGTCGGAATCGTTCTCGTCCAGCACTGACTGACACCTTTTCCTGTGAAGTACGACTACGAAGGTTGAGCGCATTAAGGAGTTCTTGGATGTGGAGAATGTCCCGGACTTGACCCCTGAAGAGATACAAGCGATCGATGAAGGTGGATCTAAACTGCATAAGAGGGTCTTCATGGGACACGCCTTCGGTGAGTAGATAGGTGAAAGAGGCGACCAGGACAAGGACGCAATAGAAGTTTTTATAACATGTACTATTTTTGTTCTCAGTCGAGAGACGTAGGATGGACCAGCAATCATACGTATATCTCCTTGCCTCAGACAGCGTTTTGAAGGTGCGGTTCCGGATATGGACATCCTTATCCCAAAAGAGGTAACTCGATCATTCATTTGGACTCCTTGCTAGCCTATGATCTTCCGCATTAAGCGCTAAGCGCCCACCGAAGTCTTTTGGGATATGATGGCGCTCTGTGTGTCATGTATGGTCACCTTTTCCTTTCGCGATTCCTGCCTTAGATCTCTCGATCTACGAGCGGAACCCAGCGCATTTTATCTTCTCTCATATCCCAGGTCATCCGGATGACGGCCGTCTATGGATGTAATATTGCGCTAGTGGCGGAGATGTGAGAGGCCCGCTGGTTGTGGCTATCCCTGCCTCTATCACGGCGACGCTCGACTAAGAGGTGAACGTCCTTGCGTTTGTTGGCGCTTCCGATTGCGTAAGCTGCTCCGGGGGTCCAAGACTCAGATCACATTTCACCTGAACCTTCAGCGCTCTCATATGCTGGGGTATTTCTTGTGTAAAATCATTTAGCCATACTGTCAACTCATGCGAACCCATTCCAGTTCTAAGAATCCTTACGCCAAATGAATGAGTATAAGTTCATGCTAGATTTCATGAAGGTAGTCCAAGGTAATCTTCTGGAGCATTGTTGACAATCCTACATGAATTCTCCTCAGCCTGTCAAAAGCGTTCGGGTTCTCCCATCGCTTTGAGAAGTCCGTTCAAAGTCATCCTCGCCATCATCATGTCCACCCCATCCACATTTGTACCCCTGATGTCATCTTCGTCATGCGAGTCGTCCGATTCCGCACGACGACCCTTCCTACGCTTCCCAGCTCCTTTCAAGTTACCTCCTTTGTCTTCATCTTCCGAGTTCCACTCGCCTGCCAGCGCCTCATCTTCCCCCGGCTCCCTCTCGTTCCAAAACGTGCCCGTGACAACGCTCAAAACCATCTGCATTCCTTGCCCGTTCGCGATCCTGCTCTGTATGATGCCGTACTTTCCGGGGTTCTGTCGGGCGCGGTTGATCAGCTCCTCGTTACGCGCCTCGGCGTTGGCGCTCGCGTCGGACGCGATACGTGGGCAATGCTTCTCATGCTCGGAGAGCGGATACACGGTGAACTTTGGCGGATGCTTCATGTAGTCGATCGAGATGATAAGGTCTGTCAGAGAGAGCGTGGGATAGGAGGTTGAAGCAAGACGCAGGAGGAGCGGGAGGTGGTGTCGGGCGTCCCGCGTTGCGAGGTGGTGGAAGTACGCGGCGTCGCCTTCGGAGATGGATTGAAAGCGGCCCTCTGGAAGAGCGGTTTCAAAATCAGTGTCAAGAAGACTTCAAGAGAGGAGCTTTGCAAACCTTGCATTTCCTTCTGCTTGAGCTTGCAGACGAGCTTGTGTCCGCCCTCTTTCCACGCCGTGATTTGACATTCGCGCGAGCAATACATGGTGTTTGAGCACGAGCTGCAGCGCATGAAATTGTTCTTTTCATCGACTTTCTGACACTGGAAGGAGCGATGAGACATAGACGTCTAGACCTCCAGAGAAAGGAGCCATGCTAACCTTGACGTTATCGCAGGTAACAGCCTTCTTTTTGACGATCTTCATATGAATGGTCACCAAATACCTTTCAATGGCCAGGTGTTCGAACCTCCTCCAAGCACGACGAGCTTCCGGAGTCCACTTCTTCATCTGGAGCTCATCCTCTGCATCGTGACGTTCTTCCAAAGTCTTCGAGCCCCAATCGGCCTTGCCACTGTCTTGCTTCGCTGAAGACCCTTTGAATTCCGCAGCCCGTGTCTCTCGTACACGAGCGACGGCGGTTTTCACAGAGAGTACGACGCTCCGATAGACGAGATAGCGCACAAGAATTTTCCCGACGATGCTGACAATCATATCTGCGTCTTCCGGGTCCATGTACTTCATGAGATGCGCCGCCCCAACCCATGCTTTGAGGAGGCCCGCTGAGAGCGACTGGTTGACCCAAGAGAATCCGTCCGTCGACTCGAGGGTATTGCAGAGATACCCAAGCGAAGCAACGAGTCCGCCGAGGAGATGCTCATCCTTGGGCGGCAGCCCGGAGTGCGCCCCATGGATGTTGGCGGGGGCGCCTGGAAACCCGATGCGGGCGCGGGCGCGTGGACCCATCGCATCGGCACCGACACTGCGCTCGAGCATGCCCGCAATGCGCACGGCGAGTTTAGTGACCATAGTCGTCACGCCTTCGCTCAGGAGCCCCAAGCGCAGCTGATGGTCTGCCGCCCTCGACAGGTGCCCCATCAGGTCGAGGTAGATGGGACACCGCGCCTCTTGAATCCCGGGGCCATTTATCGTCTCTTTCAAGCGCGTGAGGACGAGGTGGACGACGCTGGCCGGCGAGCCTCCTGCGGTGGCCACAACACGGTCAAGCAAGCTCCGGATTTCCTCTGCACGAGATATAGCTTTCGTCTCCAGACGATCTTCCTCTTCAGGGTCCTTTTCTTCAGTCGGGCCAAGGTCGTCTGGAGGCATCTCCTTGGAATCAGGGACGGTGAGGAAACCGTCGAGCGCTGCGCTGCAGACAGGAATATCCTGCGAAGACGGAACAGGGCACTCGTCCTCCAAGACCCAAAGGCGCGTCGCCATCTCCACGCTCCCTGCTGTCTTGACCATCGCAGCGCGGGCAGCCTCGGAGCGGCTGAGCGAGTAGAACACGGCGGCGATGAGATCCATGGCAGCTCTTCGGAGCTCTGGGGGCACGATTGGTGGGGCGGTGGAGCGCGCTGAGACTGCGACGGGCGCGATGCGCTCGCCGTAGAAGAATGCGCACCACTTGAAGGCGCCGTCCCACCCAGCAATCAACTTTTTCTCCACTTTGTCCATTTCAATGCGGGGGTCGGGAGGGATAATGAAGCTGCCAACTTTGGTCAGAGCGACGAGGGAAACCCAAGCGCGGTCTATGGCAGGGCTTCCCCTCGCCGGGGCTGACGCAGCGGTGCGCTTCGAGGCAGGAACAACTGTCCCATCCAAGTGCGAGAAAAACACACCGAGAACGTCGAGCTCTAAAAGCTCTGGTCCCATCTGGGATACAATATTAGCTGTATTAAACGCCCATTAGTGCAGGATACGTACATATGGCCAGAAATTTGCAAGCTCGACGAGATCTTGGGTTATTCCACGTCTTGCATTTTCCAAAACCTATCAATCAAGCTAGATCTATAGAGATCAAGATCGACAGGAATGACAGAAAAACATACCTTTTTGGGATTCTGCTGCAGTTTCTGCAAAGCTCTTCCTTCGTTTATCCGCATTGTTTGTCTTGACATCCTTACCGCAGTGGTTGATGGTTAAAGGAGAGATTCGTCGAGAGGAGTTTGATCACGCAATAATGATTCAGATCTCTGAGGCGGGCCGGTCTTGCCGTCGCATGAGCATTGACTGATTGCAGAGTCAGCGGTCAGCGAATGCCGGAGCTCTCATTGGCGATTGCGTCTGCTGGCCCTCAGGACATAAGTATAATGCTTCAGCCTCCCACCGAGGCGTCAGAGGTATAGAGGAACGAAAATAATAAATAACCAAACTACTAGGCCCTCAAACTAGCTATCATTTCCAAAAATCTTCGAAGCTACGCTCGATCTAAGTACCTTACATAGTAGTAGGGGTAGCAACATAACGAAACAACGCACCCAGAATGAAAAGTAGGATTTCGCCCAAGTTGAGCTTTCGATTGATCATTGGATTTGAACAGGTGTGAGAAACGACGACGCGCTTGGGCCTGCCCTAAGGCCCTGAACATCACGTGCCACATTTCCACGCGACTGCCAGTTCTGATAAGCGTCGGACCGCTTCACCAGAACCATCCTCAATCACCCCCATCCAGTTTCAGGCCCTTCGCAAACAAGTTTCGTGGGACGGACTAAAACTATGTCCTCTCATAACGCATCAACAGAAGGGAGCAAGTCTTCCCTGAAAAAGTCGGCCATCTTTCTTCAGAACGCATGTCTGCAACACCGATACATACGTTCGAAGGATCTCTCTACTATTGTGGAGCGACCGGAACGTCTGCGAGCCGTCAACATAGGGCTCTCTGCTGCCATCGCTCGCCTGGAAGGTCTTTTCCCTTTGGCCGGGGCCACACTAGTTTCAACTGACGTGAACGGCGAGCTCGATCCCGCGGATTTGGCCAACGTCATGGACAAATTGAAGATTAGCTCGGAGCCTTCGAACGCTGCTTCGCTTGTTGAAATAATACAGAGCGAGACCACAACAAACTTATTAAGCCACCCTGCTGTCAAGTACATTCACGGAGATATTGAACGCGACATCTATCTGGAGAACTTGACTACCTGGGCTAAGGAGAGCCACAATAAAATAGCGAAAGGAGAATCCGAAATACCTCACGGCTATTCTCAAGGCGATCTCTATTGTAAGTTTCGTCCTATGTATCCCGTAAGATAAGAGTGACCGACGTCTTTGCCAGTGTGTCCCGGATCTATTGCAGCGATCGAGGGGGCCGTCGGAACCGTCTGCGAAGCCGTGGACCGAGTAATTTCATCAATCGGTGGGAATAACCCAAACCCAATACATCGCGCCTTCGTTGGAATCCGGCCACCTGGACATCATTGTGGCGAAGACACGCCATCAGGGTTTTGCTTTGTGAACAACGTCGCCATTGCCGCGGCTCATGGTATGTCCCTCATCCGTCGTCCCTCTCCACTTCGTTTATCCGATTCCCACCAGCTCATCTTCAACACGGTATTAAACGCATCGTCATATTCGACATCGACCTCCATCATGGTGGGTTTATCGAATTGTCCCTCTAGAACAGTTCCGTGATCTTTCTGCGTAGGGAATGGAACCCAGTCAGTTGTGTGGCAGATAAATGAAGAGACTTACCGCCAAGTCCTGGAGTCAGAGGGCGGAGCGCCTATTAAGAAGACCGGCCCAGAGCTCTACTACGGCTCGATTCACGACATATTGTCATATCCCTGCGAGGTGCGTTTCTGTTCCGGCTATTTTTTGAAAACTTTTGTTAAGCTATCTCTAGGACGGAAAAATCGAACTGGTCCAGGCTGCGTCGGTCTCGCTTCACAAGTCGCACGGACAGCACATCGAGAACATCCATCTTCAAACCTATACCTCCGAAGAACATTTCTGGAAGGTGCTTTACAAGGAGCAATACAGCAAGTTATTGACTAAAGCGGAGGAGTTCCTCGATCACACTGGCGGACCCGGAGACGACGTTTTGATCTTCATCAGGTTGGTCTTATTTCCGCGTCTTACAGAATGGTCTAACTGGAGGATAGTTGCGGTATGGATGCTTGTGAACACGAATACGAGTCGATGTCAAGGCATAATCGCAAAGTACCAACATCTTTCTACTATCGCTTTGCCAGAGATGCCTGTGTGCTTAGCGATAAGTATGCTCGAGGAAGGATTATAAGCGTCCTCGAGGGTGGCTACAGCGACAGAGCTCTAACGAGTGGTACTATGGCCCATCTTTCGGGCCTCGTCGATGTCCCAGCTGGGGCGAAAGTTGATGAAGATTGGTGGAAAGTCGACAATCTCATCCAGGTATGTGAATCACGCTTCCGAAACGATGTAACCTCATCGGTCTATTAATCTGGCAGCTCGAATCTGCAACGAAGAAAAAGCGAGGGCGGCCCTCTCTCCCAGCCGCAAGTTCTGTCGAGCCATGGCTCGAGCGCACTCTCGCTATCTTCACCCCATTGGACATGGCGGCAGCTTCGGCTGTGGCATCAGCTCCTCGGGCATCCGTCCCTGTTCCTACCAGCACCAGGACGCTCCGCGATCGTACGAAGGGCAAGAACGCTGTCACAAGGGATTCTCCTTCGAAGAGCGTCGGAAAGTCTATTTCCTCAGCGTCGGTGACATCTTCAAGAGCAACGCAAGCCGAAACTTCGGCGAAGATTGAGTCGGTGTCAGGCCGACTTCCAAACAGCAACAACGAACGGACCTCCTCCAACAGCAGCCCTCTTTCGAGCCCAAGCTCGACAGAAGACGAGGCTCGCGTCACGAAGAAGATCCCAAGGGTTATACTGAAGCTTGGGAAGCCGCCGGAGGCCAATTCGCAACAAGTATAATGGCATCGGGTCAGATATGTTTTGCTACCTTGCTATCGCGCATTGCTATAAGTTTGCTTATTGATTATTGAATATTGAATACTAAGATTTGTGTACAAGTGTAAATTATGCGATCGCCAAATTTATAACATGTCATACTTATGTGTGGAGCTATCGCACGTCGTTCAGGACTCGTTGACGTCGCTGTTGGTTAACGGCGAACCACGTCCCGAAAAGGAGCCATGACTTGAACCTACTCTCGCGATCTTCACCGGGTACCCAGTCTGCCCACAGTTCTTTGACGTGACGGGACGTGTCCCGTCAAAAAAGATAGGCTATTTATAGTGTGGAAGTTCAAAGAAGGAACGGCAGGCAAGCAGCGAGAGTCGGAGTTTAAAGGAACTTCGAGGCAACCTTCGCAACTCCTGGGGTCACTCACGGCTCAGTTCTGGTCATGAAAAACAAGAATCAAGGACACACGAGATCAAACAAAGTACTTCGTAAATAGAATGGGGATTCAGAACCTGGATGCTTTCGTACACTTCCCATCAAGCTAAATGTATTGAAGCAATGAACCTCATGTGTAGGATCTATGCTCTACTCGTAGACAGAGGGAAAATAGCAAGCATTGATCGACAAATTCAAGGGATAATGCGAGGTACTGGGTTACGAGAAAATAGTGATGTCATGTTGGGCGCCAAATCGCACACACAAGCGGCGCCTCGACAACGCGAGCGGAAGACATCGAAAATAACAACATTTAAAAATACTACTTGGTCCCATACTCGAACCAAGAACGTAAAGACACGCAGATTAGACGAGCCATAATTTTACCACTGCACTAACCGTCCGATGGCAGCCAGTGGTGCAGAAGGTTTGTATCGAAAGGCGGAACGCGGAAACAAAGCTATTTTAGGCTATTTTTAGCTTGTTCAGCGAGTACAGGCACCTGGGATCTTCATGTCTGGCTTTGCTGAGGCAGCCTCGCCACTTTCTGAGAAAGTTCCATGATACTACCAGCTATGTACTTTTTATAAGAGGGACCTACGACAACACTCAAGCGGTGGATGTACAGACACCTAGCGGAGATTGAATTGGATCCCTTCCCGGCCTCCGCGGGTGTCGCTTGTCACGGGCATTTCCGAAACGAGACAGCGAAGCTGTCAAGAAACTGTGGGTAGACTGGTTACTCATCTTCACCCCGCTAGCTAGGGCGGCAGCTTCGGCTACCGCATCTGCTCCACGAGTTTCCGTTCCGCTGCCAGTCCTCCCAGCATCAGGATGCTCTGGATGGCGTGAAAGGGGAAACACTGCCGTTGGATATTCCCCCCCACCTTTCTTCAGCGTCAGTCGCATCATCAAGAACAACCAAGGCAGGTAAATTTAACTGCAGCAATGACAGGCGTAGCAGCCCGCTCTCGAGCCCGAGTTTAATAGAGGACGAGTGTTCCAGTTGCAAAGAAGGGTCCAAGCTTGAATATGTTCAAGTCCTATCTCACTAGCTTTGCCTATTGCTCAGCTTTTCCATTGAGTGGGGATTGTAAAAGTACAAACGATACTATCGTGCATGTCCTTCAGATGTTCCGAATCCCGTTGGCATACCCACGAAGGTAAATGGACATTCCTTTATCTTTTGACATTAATATTGGGCGAGAGAGTCAGTCGCCGTCATGATGGTTATTCAAAGATAAACCCACAGATGTTCACTGCTCCTTCCACTGACGTCCTCATGTATTCAGGCATGTCCTAAACAGCAATTTCGGTGAGAAACCCTTAAAAATGAGTGTCAAGAAATTATTCCATACCGTATCCTTCGCGCTATCCTCGATCCAGGACCCAATTAATAGCGCGTCGTTGTGCACCATCCTCCAGAAGACGACGATCGCTGTGATGTTCTGTTTGAACTTGGCAAGATGGCCGTTTTGCAAGTTCGTCAGTCCATCCCTGACTTGCTGGATGCTGTCGATGATATCATTCACCGTTCGGAGTTTCTTCGATTCGTCTTCAATCTCATCCCGACACGCTACATTTTAAGACAGTAAGTGGCGGTAAGAGGCGCACGCCAGAGCTCAACGTCAACACGGAACTATCTTACAACGCTTCATGGCCTCCATTTTTTGCTCGTTATCAAGAAAGGGGAAGCCAAAAGGCATTTTGATTTTCATCTGTCACCTCTTCTTGTTAGTAAAACGCTTCATGCTATGGTCAGAAAAGTGTATGCGCACAAGAACAACTGGTGGAACGCCTGTGGCGTATTAGAACACGACCAAGGACAGAAACAGGGGGTACTGTAGTATACGAACTCAAGTAATTCTCGAGCCGCTCCTGCGCAGAGTCGATTTTCCTTTGAATCTTTTCAGACTCTGCAGAATACTGGTCTTCGTTTGTCTCCGCCCACGAGAGAAAGCCGCCAGTGAAGACACCGAAGGTGTTCTTGAGTCTGTCGAGCTCTTCGATAAGGATGTTTGTCGAGTGAGTAAATTTCTCTGCTTCCTGTCATAGACATCAGATGTCGCGCAATGTGGATAATGAGATAAGAAGGGTCTGACGGCTTGAGGGATTTTTCTGTCTCTACGATCTCCTTTGGGGTAGGGTTCAAATTATTGCAAAGCGGGACAATTCTGTTCTCGAAACCTTGGAAGAGACGTCAGGACGCCTACGTACGTCGACGCAGGTGAAGCTGGCCACTTACGATGTCCATAGTCAGCTATCTCGTCTGCCAATTTGCCGCTTTTTTGGACACTATTGATAAATTCCTACAATCAAAGGGAGCAGACAGGATTAACGAGAGCAGAGTTTGTTAAAGCATGCGGCACGTACCCCGTGTAGTTTTCCTAATTGTACGGCGAAGGACTCGGTCTGCGATGAGCGAACTTTCGAGTTGAGGCTGCGGAACGCCTCTTCGAGACTCTGGAAATCCGTCACTGTCCTGTGGCAGGACACGACAGCGTCAGTCGCAGCGGTCGTATAGGGCCTAATATCGAAGTCGGAGCTCCACGATGTTGTGTCTTTGAGAACATCAAGAAGTGGTGGAGTTGCACCCTTGATCCCTACCGTGGCGATAACTTCTGGAATCGTCTCCAAAATGGATTTAATAGGATGGCCGACTAGAGCGTCTGCTCCGACGAGCACCTCTTGCATCGTCTTGCCCGAGGTATGAGTGATGTGCTTCTGGACATCGGAGAAGATAGACTCATAGGAGGGGAGAAAGTCCATGGTGAGGAGTGCAATGAGCAAAGAAGATTCGAACAGCGGTCGAACGAGGTCAAGACATTGGGAATAAATAACGATGAGAGGCACTGTGCCTTGAACCACAGGCACCGTCCGAGAACAAGGCCATTTACACTGTCAATGGGCTCCCCTGCCGATCGCCGGTGTCGAGATAGAGCCGGTGGTCATACATGGTATCGCTTACGATTTTGTTCCATTTAGCAACGGATACATAATTGCCGGCTTTAAGAGATCGCGATCAAGAGAAGTGTGGCGTCAATTTCCCAAAAAGTAAATAAACAAAAAGGAACCAACAAATTGTTCAGACCATCTGCCTTCATCCCCACAGAAGGTTCGCCGTCGATAAATATATGCGAGGTCAAGCGGATCCACCATCCAGGAATCGTTGAAGGGCGTCGCTCAAGGTCTGCTCGAAAGGTGTCGGTGTCTGTGGCATTCGTTGATGAAGGATTAGAACCGCCCGGCGTCGAAGGCCATTTCCTTACCGGATTCCGATACACTGTAACTCCACAGAAATCTCTCAGCAGCGAGGCTCGATGCAGGGTGTCCTTCCATACCCACAGAATGGTGGCAATATTGTGGACGAACGCGACGGTGACAACGTCTCTTAGGTGTCTTGATAGCTCTTCGAGATGAGAGATACGATCAGCATGAGCAGAGAGGAGGGGTAGGCGTTTGTCCTCCTCAGCACATAGGTCGTGATGTTCTGAACATGATGAGTACTGGTAGGGCTTGCAGGGCGGTGTCCTTCCTACCTTTTGTTGCTTTCTTAATGGCTGCTTCATGTGCCGCTGGTGCACCGCCAAACATCTTCGCGAAGTCGACTGTAATTTGCGGCCTGTCTAGTTTTCAATGTGCTAAGCCGCATACGCAGAAACAGAGACTACATGAACCATACCTTGTAACTTGGCCAGCTTTCTATCGAGTGCCTTTATCTTCGCCCTACTTTCTTCTCGTTCCCATTTATAAGAAGCGGCAGCCTCATTGGCTCCATGTCTTAGAGTAATCGCAATGTCATTGAGGTTGCTCTTTAAGGCCTTCAAAGATTCGATCAGTTCGTGGTTGTTTTCAGACAACTGGCTTGCTTCCTAAAACGATGAGTTCATCCTCAATGTGTGTAGAGTTCAGAATGGGAGGTCCAACCTGGATAAAAGACTTCATTTCAATTTCTCTATCTTTGTTGGGATAGGTATCTTGGGCGAAGTCGGTCTGAAATCCTTATATGGTTGATTAGACGCAACGTGGGAGGACCCTGGAAAGACCGAGCGCGTACGAAGTGCACAATTGTTAACCAAGGCACCGAATTCTTTTGATTCAAGTAGAAGGCGGTCGTATTCCTATCCGAAGACGTGCGGAGATCAGCGTCTATGTCACGAGGCGGCAGATCGATGGTGGTTGTATGCCTACTTCCTGCACGGCTCTAAAGCTTTCCGACAGCCCGAGCTCTGTCTCAATCTGTGGTTCTCCTAGGGCGGCGGATAGGATCGCAAGCATGCGGTTGACGAATGATGTCGAACTTGCAGCTACCACCGGCGCTGAAAATTGGCCACCAGTAGAGACAACGGGGTCGTCACTATTAGAGCCTCCATATGCCAGCAGCGCATCAATAGACTCTTTCAGCGTTTGTATAGCATCCAGTCCTAGGCGCCTAGATAAACTGCGAACCAGCGTTGCATAACCCGAAGCATCTACGCTGGTGCTGCCGCGGTCAGCAGAGACGACGGAGTCATAGGAGGGGGGAGCATCCATCGGCGAAAGTGGTATTCATGGACAAGCAGAGTTTGCTCCTGACTTATACGTGTCCTTCATTCCTGAAATATTCGTGGAAAAGGAAGTGTGTGCAGGGCAGGGTACCCACATCATGTGTTCGGTGTTCGGGGAGACTTGGGCCGCGACGGCGTTTAGAGTAAATGCATAGTGTTGGCCGGTGCGGTCGACTCGGAATGCGTGCAAGGTTCATCTTACATTCCCGAGATGAAGGGTAAAACGAGGTTGGAACTGAGTCTGGCCATGGTGCCAACGCATAAAATCTTTGAGGCCGTGTGGCTTCACGCTTCAAGGGAAACATCCTCCGAACCTATCATTGATCAATTATGCGTTGTGTGTGATGACGCCCGAACATTCCGGTGCTTTCCTTTGAGCGTTCCGTTTCGCGCTGGCAAGGCGGTGACATCACGATGGGCCCGCGAGAGTTATCGTTGGTTAAGCCTAGAGATAGAGAATAAATAGTGCAAGTAAGTCTAGTTGACCGTGCGGTCAAGGAATGTTCTATATGCCCATCAGTCCATGCACGGCCCATTCATACACTCCGAGGAAAACGGCCCCTCCGGCAGATATCCACAGAGTACGGGGTACGATGCCTGCGAAAAGCGCCTTGGCGCCTTCATTGACGTAAATGGCTTTTAGTTGTATCGCCAGGGGTGGAAGTTTCTCCTTCGATGAATCCTGCAGAGCGTCAATGGGTACGTGGGCTCGTTCAGAACATAAAGACTTACACGTAAGTCAAGCATGACGCGTGTTTTGAGGACGTCGAGAGGCGTTGTTAGTGCGGCAGCAACGCCTCCAGCTATGCTTCCACAGATGGCTGCCTCATGGGCATATAGAGGCTTCCGACCAAGTCGTTGAGACAGTTTGAGCTTCAGGAGTTCGTACAATGGGAATTGGAGAGACGTGAACGGAATCTGGAGCTTGGTTTTAGAATTTAGGAGGAAGAGAATAAGAGACGGAGCGGTACTTCACGCATTACTGTGATCCCAAACCCTCGATAAAACCCCTTCAGGCCATCATTGGTCAGGACCAACTTTGCAGCAGCATACGATGAGCTTCCCAAAGCACCATATGATGATGTCTGCATACGCGTCTTGATGACCTCAGTCGGTACGCGAATTAAGCACGCAGCCTGCGGAGGACCAGGCGAAAACGCGTAAATTTCATAGTTGCATATAATGCCTCGAGAGGTTGAGGAAAATGTTCCGTACGACTTCCCCCACAGACGCTGCGATCATATGCTTGGCTGGTGCAAGGTGCTCCGGTAACGGGACAGTCTTCTTCATGGTTTCATACGTCGAGAAGAACGCCGCAGCTGCATGACCACGTTTCAATTCATGGTGGAGGATTAAATATCATTTGAGTGTAGGGAACGAACCTCCTGGTGCACTTCCAACTACTACACTTCCGACACCTTTATACACTCCAGAGAAGCCCCCTGCTCGTAGAAACCCTTGGGATGACTGTAAACGCGTCTTGATCGTGTCTATTGGGAAAAATAGCAGGTCGACAGAGGTGCCAGCCACCCCACCTGCCTCGACCCAGAGTTGAATACCCCACACAAATTGAGCTCCAAAATCTTACCAGCACTGACTGCAGAAACGTCGGCTTCTTTTCTGACGACATTTTCCCATCAACGAAGTGCTTGCAAGATCGTCCTTGGTGTTGCTAGAGGACGGAAGTCGACGGAGAAGGAAGTAGTTGGACTAATCGGATACTTCGGACCACGCCACCAATATTTCGGCCTCACGCTGCCTAGATCAGGAGTGAATTCCGGCACGATCCCTCCGGCACGATCCCTTTCCACCGTTTCGCCACTTGGTCGCCTTATGGCGATCTTATGCTCTATACAACTATCTCTGGGACTGCCGCGACAGGAACAACCCATTCCTCCTGCTGGTGAAAAATGCCGTTCGAGGACATACCGCTCAACGACGGGAACAAGGTGGGTCGTCAGCACCATCCTCAAGGCCTAGAAATGACAGTATGGATCGAGCACAGATCCCTGCGATAGCTTATGGAACTGGAAGCGTCAACAAGGGGAAGGACATTCACCTCTACGTCGAGCAAGCCATAGAAGTCGGCTTTTCTCACATCGACACCGCCCAGTGTGCGTTTCTAGTTGAGATAAGCCTCGCAACACTGACAAACGTCTTGCAGACTATCAGAACGAGGAGCATGTCGGGACTGCCATTCGGGAAACTGGGCTAGCGAGGTCTGACCTCTTCGTGACCACGAAATATGGACGGGGGAGTGTTTCGGCTGCCTTTGACGACAGCTTAAAGAAGGTTCGTCCTAGGCATTTGGATAGACAACAAAGCCGTATCAATACTATCTCATAGCTCGGATTGAAGTATGTTGACCTATACCTGATTCACAATCCCCGTGGTGTCGAGAACGGAGACCTTGAGGGCGTCTGGAGGAAGTTCGAGAAGTTCCAGGAGGATGGGTTGGCGAAGTGCGTCCTGGCTTGACATTACCTAGCATAGTTCAATGATTGACATCCTATTAGGAGTATCGGAGTGAGCAACTTCACCATAGAAGATCTTCAGAAGGTGCTGAAGACTGCTAGAGTCACGCCCGCCGTCAACCAAGTCAGATCCGCCTGCTGCATATTATCCCATCTCTTGTCTTACTCAAACATTTGTCTAGATTCACCTGCACCCCTACAACATCTCCGAGAACAAGGAATTGCTGGAATACCACGCTAAACACGGTATCATCACAGAAGCGTATGGGAGTCTATCGTGCGTCCAGAGCTTTCCAATGATGGAGTGAGTACTCACCCTCCCAAAGGCCTATTACGAGGTACCCTGGGGGCCCCGTCGACGTGCCACTGAAGAAGGCGGCTCAACGCCTGGGAATAACGCCGACACAGGTCGTCTTCCTCTGGGTAAGAGCGAAGGGCGCTGTTATCGTTACGTGAGTGGCCATCCTTCCGTCGTGATGGCAGTTGTTTCATGGTTCTTGGTAGGACAAGCTCGAGTAAGGAGCACCTTTTGGAGTACCTCGCTGTGGGTGATCTGCGTAAGACTTTCTCATTCTTGGTATGGTTCCCCGTCTCACTCTTGGGCCGCGTTCAATCAGCCGACCTCACAGAAGAAGAGGTAGCGGCTATCGACGAGGCGGGTGCGAATGGCCCGCCGAGCTTCTTTACCAGATATCGCATGCTCTGGGTCCAAGCTGTCTTGGGGCTGTTGCTTGTACAACTTCTATTCTTCTACGGCGCTTTCGGCAGCTTGACGAAGTGGCATGGACAGTAGCTGCTGTGTTCTCATGATTTTACTTTGACTTAGATTGTGACTACTACTAGTAGGTCACAGCGTCTCCGGCTTGATAGACCCATGGTGGTAAAGCATAATATCTATTGCCTATAAACGTGCTCTATTATAGACTCTAGCCTCTGACCATTGAATATTTAATTTCGAGGCTTTGGAGCAGGTGCCTTCGTGTAATTCGCTTCACTGGGCGAATAACCAACACCCTCGTCTCCCTGACCTTTGGACCATCCTCTCCATAGTACCTTGTCGTTTCAAACGCCCAATCATCCTCTGCCCTGACGGCCTGACCAAGGCCGCTTATATACTTGTCCACCCTCTCTTGCAAGGTCCCGTCGACACTCTCGCACGCAGGACCCTCGACGTCGCAGAAAGAAGGCAGGTTCCTGACGTTGGTCTGGAAACATTCAACAACCCCAGCTGCGTATGACCCCAGCCAATCGAACGCGCCCTGGAGCGAAAGACCGGGGTTCTCGTGCATCACGACGGTTATGAGGTTGTGATTGGCCTGTCCCGAGCTCACTCGCGTACGAGTGTATATCCTACATGCGGGGTCAGTACACGGGCATCCTTCAGCACGTTGCAAAGCAACTGATTGCTCACATTCAACAGGCAATAAAGGTCCATTGCGCACTCTTCCAACGCCTGAACAAACTTATGCTCGAGCACTGCTTTGGGTAGATCAAGCTCGAACTCGATGAGCGCGAGCATGAGACCGGCCCCGCTCGTCGCTCGTCGCATCGTGAGGTACTCCTTGACTGAATGTATGGTGCCCTCGTTGCGATCACGCGCCTCGACCGTGACTGCGTTGAGGTATTCCTCGGTTAGGTTGATGAAGCGGCTCTTGCATACATCCGAGTTGCTCCCCGTGGCAGGGAGGAGGGTCGTTGCCAGCCTCCAAAATCTAAGAACAACGCTTCAGCTTCTTTCTCCAGTAATCAGGCATGGCGTTGGGCTTACTCCTTGGCTTTGTCTCCAATGGGATGTTCCCCGCACGGAGACATTTCGTCCGAATTTTTCATGGCATCCACGACAATTTTGGAGAGCCTGTGTGCGATCTCTGGGGAGACGACGTCCGTGTACTCGTCGTACACGAAGAAGAGGTTCATCATGTCACAGCGACGCGAAGGAACTCTAATATTTGTCTTTAGCATAGGTGCTATAGCGTCTGGATCAGGAAGACTTTACCTTTGCCCTGGTGCGAATACATTAAGCTGGCGAGGAGGCCTGTTTCGATTTCCTGGTCAGCGCAACATCCTCGTCGATGATATTGTACTCACTAGTATAGTCATTTTGAAAAGCCTTCTGACCCTTCTGGTCAAAGAGCTTCGCGACGAGTGGGTGAATCCACAAGCTGGATTCGAGCTTTGCCCCGTCGTAGTGAGGGTTGAGAAGACGCGCATAAGCCCAAGTTTGCAAAATGTCTGGAAGGATGATCTGCATCTTGTAAGTCTTGCGTCGTCGAGTAATCCGCGAAGGTGTTGCCCTCTCCCTTTTGAAGGAGGGTACGTCTTATACAGCTCGCCCTTCTCCATTGCACCAGTACGCTGGTGCGAATTGAAACGCGTTCAGCCCGTCATGCTAGATGATTCCGGTGTACCGGGTCGCTTTGCTTCCTGGTACAGGACATGAAATCATTAGGCCATGGGTAATGAAAATTCGCCTGTTGTATGGAGTACAAAGTTAATCCGCTATTACACTCCTATTGTTGACCTGCACCATCAACACCAGGCTTCAAACTATCTGATCCAGATTTCGCGTTGGGGATCTCGACTTCCTAACCTGGGTCGGTTGTAAACTGGGACCGGCCACCTAACAGGATGATCCCAGCATAGTATCGCGAAATGTGTCCCTACAGGGGCCGTGTAGTGCAATTTTATCAGAGACGTAGAAGAACCGGCACTACATGCGGGCCCAGGCCATGTCCAAGCCATCAAAAGCAAGTGTGGCGCATCGATCAAACGATCATCAATTATCTAACGTGCTACTCCACTTAGGAAATGCCACACGTCAGGGTCTTTGGCAGCGAGGATAGCTCTAGCGACCTGTTCGCACTACGTAGGCGAAACAGGATGTACGGTCTAGGAAATAATTCTGTAAGTTCATCGAGCATACTGACAAGTTGGGGGAGGCATCCCGTTGGGAACACGACTGGATTATTTTCGACACAGGGTACAAAGCTTAACGGATCCGGGGCCGCGCAACATAGTTGAGCCCTCAGGACCCGTAGGGCCGAAATGAAACAATTCTCTTGGCACCCTTTGCAAGAGAAACCACGAATTGATGCAAAGGGGGGCCGTAGCATATACGACATGGGCCAAGTCTTCTCTATTTATCTGGGCAGCGTAAACATCGGCCCTATTAGCGACACCATGTTGAAAGCGTTCTTCGACCTCTCTGTACTTTACCTTCAATGTCGGTTTGAAAAGTAGGTCTCATATTTTGTTCCACTTCGTTCAATGACCAAGACTCTCCTGCTACTACACTGATGTGTCAGGCTATACCCTCGCTTTGAGCGACCTATTTCGACTACTACAGAGAGTATATATTAAGCGACCTGAGTCCCCACTTGTCCACTGGGCTTGGAGACTTCGTGGGGCAGCTTACTTTATAAACCCCATAATTTTTCAGAACCCTCTAAGTAGAAATGTTTCAGAGAAACGGACAACGGGGATACAGATTAATGATGCATGACGCCAAGACGCATGCGAGGCCCATCAACCCAAGGTTGTGCGCACTTGGGCTAGTCCGACGTCAATACCTACCACAAGGAGATACTTCGGCCCACCAGTACTCCGGCACCTAGTATAAAATTTACTTCCTCTGGGATATCTTATTATGTTTCACTAGCAGATCGACGAAGGGGGACCACGGGCCAGCTTATAGAGCATACAAATGCATTGTACTTACATTAGGAACGACGTGATGGACAGACTCAACACATTCTGGCATTATTGGAGTAGTTAGAGAGCGTGCCAACTAAGTTACATAAAGAAACCCGCAGGTTTTGCACTCGCCGTGACAAAGCTACCGACCTACTACGTACCCTTCGCCCGACCTCCTTCCAGGGTACGCGAAACACTCCAGAAACATAAAAACCATCGAACCCAACAAACGTGATTAAGAAAGATCTCTTCTAGGGCAAAGACAGGGGACGACTTGCGAGGAACTTCAAAGTACGAGGGAGCCTCAGGGAATAGAAGCGAATGGACACGAGAAACTTGAGCTGCGGAACGACTCTCAACGACATCACAGTGCTTGCAAAGATGGTGGACGTTCGGGGGAGTGGTGCATTCACAGAGCAATGGGGGGGAACATACTTATATCCAGTTAGATTTTTTTTGTTGGGAAATGTCACAGGAATACTGTCTCCGCGGTTGTGGGTGAGGCCTGGGCCATTCTTTGGGGCAAACACTTTCGGTAAGCCGTTTCCCCAATCAGGAAAAGAACTTAGGGCGATCGCTGTTGGTAGATATCTCAGAAGTCGCGTTCGCAGCACATGCACATGGACTAAGACATAAATTAACTTCACCACCGATAAACCCTATGTACAACAAACATCTTACAAAGAGGCACAGATCCGAATTCTGATATACAGGTCCATCGATGAGATATTGCACAACTTTAGCAAACATGTGTGCACATGGTGTACGCCTCGTCTCTACAGGCGAGGAGATCCTGATGCCTTTTCGATTGGAATAGCCTCGATGGACTGCAAGAAGGTACTATCACCGCCCTCACGACGGTTTACGCGGGTAACCTGCCATCCATTGGAGCGAAGGAGGTCGTCGAAGTGCAGGATTGTGCGTTCTTGCGAGTTAAACAAGAGGAACATCTGTGCGTAACAAAGCCATCAGCACCCAACGCACGAAATGAGTGAAGAGATTACGACGCACATCGATATCCGCGTTATACCCCATCTCATTAACAGCGCCATAGTTGGCCAAGAGCGGAGCAGGCGCCTCCCGTGGGACCGAGCCAGGGATCCCGCGTCCACCGTCAGCGCTGGGGTCATGGCACGCGAACGGCATCACGCTCTCCATCATCACCAGCTTGGTTTTAGGCGTGGCGGCGGCGCGGAGCTGCTTGAGGATCTTGGAGCAATACTCGTCCGACCAATCGTGCATGATTTGCTTGACAAAGAAGACGTCGACGCCTTGGTGGGGTTGGGGCGCGAAGAAGTCTTGGGCTAGAGAAAGAGAAGTCGGGTGTTTCGTCGGTGAGCATCGCGAAGGGCTCGGATAAGCTGTTTCCGCACCTTCAAGTTTGACCCGACCGGACTTGACCGCGTCGGGCATCTCCTTCGCCCACAGCTGCGAGTTTCATGAACAAATAGAACTATAAGGGTAGTGATAAACGACTTACCTTTTGGGCGTCATCAACGACAGCAGGGAGGTCCTGGACGACTATTTGGAGATCGGGGAAGTCACGGGCGAGGGGGAGTGCCGACGTCCCGACACCTCCTCCGACGTCGACAACCACAGCGCCTTTAGGAAGACTCTTCCAGTCAAACGCTACACCAAAGCCTTTAGCACCGCACTGAAACGTTACAATGATACTGAGACAGTACTCACCACCGAGACTAGCATCGGGCGGCTGAAGAGCCTGGATACCCTGCATGCCGATGTTGAATCGGCGCTGCTTGAAAGCGTTCTCCGGGCGCTCGTAGAACTGCCACAAGGTCTCCTTTCTGCCCATCGCGCGTGCGAATGGCGACGCATCGGGCTCTCCGGACCTGACGGTGGCCGGATCTGCAAGGGTTTCCCAGGCGTAGGCGGACCCCTTGAAGGGTTCGTCGAGGCTGGAGAAGACAAGAAGGATAAGAAGACGACTTGTTGTCGAGGGATGCGGTACTTACTGATGGGATGCCAACGCAGCGAGGCCAAAGGTACCATCGTGTTTAGTTTCCGGGCTGGGTACGTATAGAGATCTGTAATGAGTCAAGGTTGACTAGGTTTGTACTCACTTCGCGATAATGTCTTGGCTGGGCTTGAGGGTGTCGAGCATGCTCGAGATGCGGGTGTTGGTGAATACATTTGGTTTGACTTCTCGGTAGACGTGGTGACTGGCAAGTATGCGGAGGAAACGCCCTACAGGTATCGATAAATAAGATGTCGGGCTTCGGGCAGTGACATCGACGTTACCAAGTTTTTGAGGGTCTTGACCATTCTTTGCGGCAATATCGTTGATATGGACGCCCTAATCCCGAATGTTGAGGGTTCCTCCGGAAAGTGATGAATATGGTACTTACGTCAGGTCCTCCCTCACGAAGGATTTCAGTCACGCTGGACTCGATGCAAACACGAAGCGCTGCGGATTTGAAGTGCTGCAATGGTTCACGTTAGCCTCAGGCCACTCTGCAAACACGTTGAAAGTGCTTACCCCTCCAACGATATGGTACAACGAAACCTGCGGTGGGGTGAAGATCGCCGCCAGCTGCAAAGCAGCGGCGCTAATGACGTTCGCAGCTTCAGCAATGGTGGGGTCACCACGGAAGGCTTCAGTTTCGGGGTGGAATGGAGCGTGCAAGTCGGGCACTTTCAATCCTTTCTCCTTGCATGTTTTCTCCAACGTCGACAAGGATGCCGATAGCAAGTCGAGGACCTGGCGAGCGGGAGACGACATAGTAGCGGGTTTATGTTCTTTGTCGAAAGCGGCGTTGTTTTTTGACAAGCAGGAGCCCATACAGATTCTTATAGGTTGGGCAGGGTGATGTTACGAGCTAGTCAAAGGGAGGAAATATAGCAATGATGAACAGTCTGTCGTCCACAGATGGCGCCCACATTCTAGGAAGGACCCTGGATGTGGTGATTATGTATTGTTGGAGGTTCCACAAGTTCCATGAAGAGCGGTGATGTGTACTCGAAGATTATACGGTTGGATGCGCAATCAGGACTGTGAAGGTTGGTGGAAGGTAGGAGCATGCACGGGGGATCGTGCGATCGTGATGATCACGAAACGTCACGGATGTGTCACAGATAGTCTCGGCATGTCTAATTTTAGATGGTCCCAGATTTAGATCTGTGGGGACACCGGCCAATCACCGTTGACCGCAGTCTCCGTGCTCTGTCAGTAAAACCAGCGCTCATGCCCAAGAACGTTAACTGGATGCCCACGATCACCTCGCAATTTATTTGTTCGATCAAGATTGACAAGCAGACAGTCAGCCATAGGTCTTCAAAGCCGGTGCCATCTATCTTGGCACACTTCCATAGGCGCTCATAGGACGGGTACCCATATGTTCCCCAACTATGAGTAAAAATCGCGTCTGATGCGCTCACACAACGGGATCGGGAGGTGATATTTATATACCTCCCTTATCGCTCAGTCGTTCATCACGGGACTTCTCCCTCGTTCGCTTTCCAGATGCGTAGGATGAAATCCCAGGAGACGCCAGGCTTTTTACAATGTGCCAGAGATGATATCTCAGCCGACAGGAACGATCGAAGAGTCCTTGAAACATACCATCATCATCATAGGAGCTACCGTTCAACGTGGCAGAGAATGGCTAGGCATTTTCGCGGCCGTATGCTGCGGGTCATTGAAGAGTTCTCATTCCATGGAATATTCAGATCTCCGGAAAATGCCCCGGCTGAGAGCAGGGTAAGACTTGGCGGGTCGCCGTATTCCATCCGTACCGAGCGCGTTTGACGTTATAAGTGTCCTATGCTGCCCATTTATTCCTAATCACAATGGCGTCTCCTCGCGAGAGTGATCGCTACATGTTCAGTCTTCCCACTCAAGTTGAGCTTCAAGCTTGTTGGGAGCTCTGCCGACTTCACAACAACATTGGATTTTGGGTTGTCTATCTTCCCACAGGTCATAAATTTCTTGGAATTTCAGTTGTGGACCCATTACTCATTCATGTCTTTCTGACAGTATGGTCGATTGCAATGGCCTATCACACCCACCAAGAAATCACTTTCCTCCAGGCCTTCTCCTGCGCAATGAAATATGTTCCACTCTGCTTTGGAATCAAGTCTCTTGTAAGGCCAAGTTTTCCTCTATATTTTCCTGGAACTGACGCCTCGAGAAGATCATGACCATTGACGATATTCTGGACGCCGACGTCGACAAACTGGTTGAACGCACTAAATTACGTCCAGTCCCTAGGGGTGCCATCACAATGGGTCGCGCCTGGCTTTTCTTCTTCATTCAGGCTGTTATTGGTTTAGGCCTATCGGTAACTTCCCTTAGCCCCACTTCGTGAGACGCGCCTCGTCTCCTTCTATTTGCCTGCTAATTGTGTGCCAGACTCCGCGTTGTTTCTGTGGTCTGGCCATTGTACATCATTTATCCAACATGCAAGGCACGATTCCTTGCCGTATCTCGTGATGTATTTTGGCAATTGTCTCATGATTCCTACAGAGGTGGATGAACTTTGCTCCAATTCCTCTGGTGGGTCTAGTTTTAGCTAACCGTCGAGAAGGAGCAAATGTCTGACGAAATTTATCGAAAGGGCCTTATGTTCAACGTCGGCACTTTCATGGGATGGGCGGACCTCACCCATGAGTCGACCCTGCCATGGAACGTGCTTGTCCCCATCTACGTCGGTACCTGCCTGTGGACGATCACATACGAAACTGTTTACCAGCATCAAGTATGTTTCCCGGTCGGATCGTACCCTGTGCTCATGTTCATTGATTCCTGCCCTGACTCTAGGATAAGATCGATGACGTGAAGATCGGTCTACATTCTCCCGCTCTTTTGCTCGGTAGTTCCACGATTCCTGTCTGCGCGACAACGGGCGTCGGGTTCTTTGCACTGCTCGCGTACGCGGGAGCACTGAACGGGCATGGGTGGTGCTATTATTCCGCGGTTGTATTTGCTTGTATTCTTTTGATGTTGCGTCTTTCCAAGACGGACATCGACAAACCAGAGGACTGCAAGAGTTTCTTCCTCCAGACGGTCCCAGTGGGCCAGATTATTCTCTCGGGCATAGTGGGGGATGTTATTCTCAATCGTCTAGTCAACAATATAGCTCTGTAGCCGCAGCTATTTATTCCCTACATCTCGAATTTTAGTTGCAACATCGGCCATGATAATTCGACGTCGAATTTACGTCCACAATAATTCCAAACGGCAGCCGCAAATGCGGGGATAACTGATGTACTGAATGGTTCTCCGACACCCCCGGCTGCCCACTGACAATATCAGTGACAGCCATTGACATTCCGAGTCCCTCAAACATGCGTTGGGTCTCACATGCCCTAGTATTTCGGATCTCTATCACGTTAGAAATCTGCCTCGCTGCGAAGCATTGCCCACACGGAAACTAAATTTAGAAATTCGACTCTCAAAATGCCGGAGGGTGTAAGAAGCGGGTAAGAAGCCAAGTGAGATGATGTGTTGAGTGATCGTGGCGTATGCGGGGAAAGAGAGTGATTAGAAGCGCCGTAGATGATGGAATATGTACTTGATGAAGTCGGCCAAGAATCAATTCACTATTCAAGCTTATGGTATGCTGATTCATGCAATCGAATGCTAACAGACTCGGTAAGGGTTTTACGGGACAGAATAGAGCATGACGGCGGGCGCCATCTTCTTACACGTCCCGTTCCCGTATATGGCCAATGTTTCCGGACCGCATGCAGCCCAGCTCCAGTCGATCGGTATGTCACGGTGCTTCAGACAAACTCACCGTGGGTTTCCTTTCGGTAATTTGGGCACAGAAACTCGTACTTGAAATGATCGGTTTGATAGTGATGTATTGAATGTTCTCCCCCCTCCTTATATCAAGATTCCGTGCGCACGTCAAGATGGAGTGTGCCAGGTATCGCATTCGTTTCGTGTCCCGGGATGGCAGTATCAACGGGCTTAGCATGGGTGCGAGATACATAAGGTCTTTGTCACATTTGAGTCGTGCTCTGCCTTCGACTTTGCAAGACGGTCATCCATATTATGGCGTCTCCTGATGAGCTTTTCTCACCGACCGTGATTGAGCTAGGCCACGACCTGTACGACTCCACTTTTCATTCTAAGTACCCCAGGTCCTCTCTGACTGCCCTGATTTTCTAGATTTTCAATCAAGGTACGACTGACTGTGCCGGGGTCTATGAAAGGTACTGACGGATAACCCTTTAGTTGTACTGGGTCGCAATATCTGTTCTATGGATGTACGACTACCTTCTTACTCTCCCTGACGAGGTAAGAAACCAATGTATCTACAATACTAGTCCCTCGCTGAGCGCTACGTCTAGGTAGAGTACGGGTGGACCGGAAGAAAGACACCTGGTAAGCTGCATGCCGTGCACATCGGAAGACAGGGAGAAACGCTCACTGCAACTTTTCAGTTTTCTGGCTGTTCATTCTGGCAAGTCCAGATGTTCTATTTCAGAGCGGACCCGGGGCTGAACGATTAAAAACAGAACCGCTATTTATGTCCAACTTTTATTATAATAACGCTTGTAGGTAAGGTAGTTCTCCTTCTCCTTAAGGGGGCCCGGGTTCTGAACGAACCTTTCCGTCAGCCTACTTCCTACCAGCCTGGGACTCACATGTAAGATCGTTCACACATATTACGCTCATATGTTAACCTCTATAATCACTAGGTGTACGTTCGTCATGTATTCCCCCGTCTATCACTTTGGGACCTAACATCATCCACGAAATAGGTGCACTGGTTATGGATTCATGGAAACCTTCGAGACGATGATTACGACCTTCATAGCAGAGTTATTCCTCACGTTACGGTGCGACATATGCATCTCCTGAACGCGCACCCACCTACTCATACCAAACCTATTCCAGAGTTTACGCCCTTTCAGGCAAATCCAAGTCCGTGCTTGTCATCTCAGCCCTATTCATGGCATGGCAATGGGGTATCGCCATCTACGCCATGTCACAGTCCGACAAGGGAACCGACAACGTCGCTGTCCTGCTTTCCGTGCCGACCTTCCCCCTCCCCAGGCTCCCTGAGGTCGACCCTTACCATGGTGCGTGGGCGCCTATTCGGCGTCTATACTCGATCATTCTTGGCCCCAAGAGGTGCTGACTTAGGGACTTGTGCCTCCTCTCTTCTAGTGTGCATCTTCATCTCTGTCCTCGGGATGTTTGTATTTCCTATCCGATCGACTGTTAATCATCGCTAAGAGAGAAGATTTTTACAGCGCGAAGTGGGTAGAGGCGTGGCTCTGCCTAAGTCTGGCGTTCGATGGGCTGGTGTTCCTGGCCATCATCTTCATCACAGTGCGATCAGCAAGGCAGCATGGCTTCGTCCCCATGATGCGGATCATCCAGAGGGACGGCATTGTCTACTTCTTCGTCCTGTTCTCGTCGAACCTCGTTTGGCTCATGCTGCTCCTGCATGCCCGGGTAAGCAGGTGTCCCGCTGTCGCTACTTCATCGTAGTCATGCTGATAAATATCGACGACAGCCCGCGCTCAAGTTCTTGCACAATCAGCCCGCGATGGTGTATGTCTAATTCACTTTCATGTGGCGTCATCGTAAAGGTTTGACACTGACGAGCGCCGGATTGCTCTTGACAGGGTCTCGACGATCATGATCAACCGAATTACCCTGAATCTCAAAAAAGCCAGAGACAAGCGCTCGGCATGGGGTGTCCAGACGTTCGAGACATTGTACTCGGATGGCAGCACGAAGTACAATCCTTCAGCTGGGTCGCGGTCCGGGGGCTCGCACAACAAGATAGGCAGTTATCCTGGTCAGGATATCGAGTTGAAGGAGAAGCGTTCCGTGGTCCCGGTGTAGGGCTTCTCTGTTGATTCTTCGGTTTTTCTTTGGGACTCTCTTAGCTAGTTGATCACTGTATAACGCAAGTCTACTGTCATTATTATTATTATCGGATTGCAATTGGCACCTAGGTCATGAAAACCACTCACGACGAGTTGAATTGCTTAGTTGGAACGTTGTTGGGACGTCGCCTGGTGCTTTGATTCAGTCCAGTAGTACAAGTTTCCAAGATGTTGTCATTTGAATAACCGCATGTACCTGTACAAGTTCGGAGAGGGGATGTATATCTAGCGTTGACAAGCCGCCCATAAATGTTTGGACTCGGGGTCGTGGTCTGCTGCAACGAAGAGGTTGTACAGTTTTCCCATGACATTCCTTGAATTACACTCCGTGCCTCCATGGAAGAGATACGCCAAGGTGTACATTTGGGGTAAGCCTGTGGCCTACGTGATCGAGATGCGTCGGGAGGAAAGAAGATACAGAACCAACTGCTATAGGTACGCACGGGCAGGGTTCAAGAAGGCTGGCTTGCGCGACGCTAGAGTAGTGTCGAGGTCAAGAAGCGTCTCGTTGCTTATAGGGCAGCGGAAGGGTGCTGAGACATCTTCGGTGGCAGAGTCAGAGAAACAAGGCCGTCGCCGAAATACAGTTTACGGATCATAGCAGGAGAAGAGAAGCACTCGACAACTTGCTCTGTCGTAGGACATCGAGGGAGTTTGAGGGTTGAACATGCTTGAGATTCATCTTCAGTGAGATCGGAAGCCGCAGGCCCAATGTCACTCACAAGTTAGAAGTCATCATCGCGTAGCGTTTGCGGTTTGCGACTTGTTCCATTCCTACTCCTCTTCCCCCCGATTGTCGTGCCACTGAGCATTGTCTCTGCTCCTGGCATTACACTGCTTTGAAAAGTCGTGGCGGGTTGACCAAAGTTGTTCCAAGGGCCATTCGTAATCCCGGTACCAGTTGTTCCAACTTCTGTCTTCTTGCCCTCGTCATTCCGTCCTATGTATGCGCCACCGAGGTTCATGGCCGGCCCCATCATACTTCGCAGGAGAGCATCAATGTCGTTCGACGTCGGGTTGGGTTCATACGCGATCTTTGAACCACGCAGCAGAATATCCTCAAAAATCTCGTCCTCTTTGTAAGCAGCCACCTTCGAACGGAGAGATGCCATAACAGCCTGGTGCACAGCTGGGCCAAAAATCGATTAACAGGCAGTTGATGACCAAGGAACTATGATACGCACTTTGAGCCGTCTGCTGGTCGAGTTCCGTCTCCCCCCACCAGACAGGCTTTCCACCATGGAGAGGTGCGACAAAGAGTAAAGGTTCTATATTCGCGTTAAGCTCCTCTGGTCTTGGGATATGAAGCTGTATCCTTTCTTCGCACTTCTTGTCAAACGCTGGTTGGGATAGCTCGCTGTCGCTGTGGGAGGTCTGGTCTGGGTCGTACGCGGTGCCAACAGACGACGCCGGCGATGGCGGTCTTAGGAGGGGGTCGGCATACTCAGTATGGTGATATGCGTGCATGGGATTTACGGACATGGTGGTCTGTACAAGGTCTGTGGCAGACGTTGGGCAAAAGAGGCCTTCAGGGAATCTGTGGGAATCTGCTTTAGGCACGTGGTGCTATAGTGTAGTGGTTATCACTCGGGATTTTGAGACAATCTTCCCGAAACCCAGGTTCGAACCCTGGTAGCACCTTTTGTGCTTTCACCACTTCGCTTAGCGCGAGCCACCTTTCCTTGAATTCTTTTTGCCAGCTACCACCCACAGTTTGAAGTCACCAAGAATTCGTTCACTCAGCGCAAGTCAGTTACAGCGTATAGTAGGTCTCTGACCTCATGAGACGTCGAATGGTTGAAGACTTTCTTCTGGTGAATTTGATTCTATTTGATTGCCGTATGTCCCTTTTACTGTCTTTCCAATTGCTCGTTCATTTTCTCGACGATGGTCCCCATGAAGTCGGAACCGCCTGCCTTCAGGGAGATATCTTATAACCTGTGCTCCAGTCAAATGACCTGTCCACTTTCTTAGTCCTGGATGCGGTCCGAAACACGACAGCAAGCACCCTTCCCCTCCTTACTATGCTGAATACAGAGTGCTTGCAGCGCCCAGGGGTTCTATGGATGTCTGTGTCATCGAATGAACCCGAGATGACTCCGGTGCTATCGCGAACAAGCCCCAATCGCCACACCGCCAGGACCTCAAACTCATCTACCTACAGACAATGACAAAGCGTCCGGTCCCTCAGTATGACAGCTACTCCCTTGGCGAACACAGGTCGATGATGTCGACGAATGGCCCATACCACCCCCAACTTCGATATCGCAGTTTTAGTTCGGGCAAGCGCCATGCGCACAAAGGCTTCGGGACATGCCTGGGATCGCTCCAAGACTCTGAAACTAGCACGAAGACGACAGAGAGAACGGTCAGGCCGTATGATCAGCTGCCCAGATAATCGCTTGATGCTTTCGGCCTGTATCGTTGATCCAGGCTATGCCGAATCGTGAAACAGGGATCCCTCGGTGGCGTCATGAAGAATTATAACGCTTCATCCGACCTACCCTTGACCAAGTGCAGCTCTGAAAGGCTCAGAAACAGGAACGGATGGGGCACGGGGGAGTGATTGATGTAAGTCCACGTCCTCGATCGACTACCTAAGCGCTTGCTGATGAACCTGAAGCTCGAGCGGGGTCCGTAAAGTATTTATCTCCCCTTGTTGTTGTACTCTGTGGACGCAGATCATGGCCCCGACATCTGCAGCTGCTCTAGCCGCGATTCCCCTCCGCCCGACCTTGGGAGCATGTTTGCTCGGGGTCTACCTCTCATCGGTGTAAGTTTGATCACCCTCCGCATTGCGGCTTTTTGTTCGAGCTCTCGGTAATCATTCCCCGTGATCAACAGATTTTACGGATTAACCCTACTTCAAACCTATCAGTACTTCTACAGATATTGGAGTCGTGATAAGATCTACATCTATGTCCTCGTGAGTCGTTCTTTTTTGACGATATTGTTATCGACCATCTGACGGCGTAATTCTCTAGGTCCTAGTTTTAACGTGAGCCGTTCGCACTCGTACTATCAAATATCAAGTGGTCCAAGCATACCAACGACCAGCACTTTGGATACGCTATGTACTGTTGCGAACATGTACTCAATGTGGTACTATCTCATCGACAATTACGGCAACCGGGCCACAATTTTGTGGGTGCATTGGACCGTTACTGTAAACAGCTTTGTCGCTCTTCTTCCTGCCGCTCAAGCGTGCTAACAGCCCTGTCCAGGCGTCTTTGATGATGACGGTCGTGATAGAAACACTTGTGAAGCACTTCTACGCTTACCGTCTCTGGATATGTGCGTATTTGATTCCTTCTACGGCAACTACATTCTTATTGTTTAGTGAGCGGGAAGAAGATGTGGCATCTTGCGCTCGTCATCGTACGTACCAGAGGTTCAAAGTCACAGAACGCCCAGCTGATTCGCCGGACCTGTGCAGGTTGTTTTCACCCTGGCCACTCTGGGTATCGGCACGGGTGAGTAAGCAGTGTAGTCTTTCTTAGAATAAAGGCTAATTGTTCAATGTCAGCTTACATTATTCTGATGTTCAAGAATGGGTCCCTTCTCTACCTTCCGAAGATTGGTGTAAGGCCCGCTTCATCACACCGACGCCGACATCACTGATAATCCCTCAGTATCTGTTGCGCATAGGCTTCTCCTTCTCGCTGGCAGCGGATATTCTGATCGCTGGGAGCATTACGCACATCCTTCTGAAAGGACGTGGTCGAGGAATCATGCAGTAAGTAACAATGTCCTTTCTTGAAAATTTCACGTTACGAACTCCGAACGTAGAACGGATGGGATCCTCAGGAAACTTGTAACCTACACCATCAGTACTGGAGTCCTCACTATGTGAATGATTCCTACATGGTGCCCGTAGTCTGAGTGCTGATAGAAACTGTACAGTATCTGCACAATCATGGTCTTGGTCCTCGGTCAAGTGTATCGGAGTACCTTCTACGATACAATATTCTACTTCCCGCTCAGCAAGTGCTACGTTAATGCTATGCTTGCATTGTATGTTTGCTCTGCTACTTGACTGACTGGCAGGGGGCTGATGATTGATTTCCACAGCTTGAACGTCCGAGACTCTCTTCGGGGCAAAAGAGATACGATATCGGTCAATCTCCGTATGGCAGACTCCACGAAGTCGAATCCAACACGGGACTATGGCACCCCTGAAGACCAGTCGACTAATACTGTACGTGTTTACTCCTTCGAATTAATTGTGTGCCAACTTACGCCCTGTTATGCAGTGCCCCGAAAGGAAAGGTAGGAAGCTGACCTTCAATAAAACTCGAGAAGAGGCCACTATCATCTCGGTGACGACACACGCGACGACACACGCGATCTAATTTCTGTGAGTCGGAAATTGTATCAGGAACCAGTAAATATAGGTAGTACCGCTATTTGTCATGTGTAAATTATGAAGCGAGGGCTCCGCCAGATCGTGATCACGTCGAACTTGTTGAGATAAGATAAGATCGAGGCTCCAGTGACCACTACTTTGCAGTACAGGCCCGGATCATAGGTTTCATTCCGAACTCAGTCTTATGTCTTCCAGTCGACACTCGCACCATGAAACTTACTATCTCACAGATGGAAACGTTGTTTTGTCACTGTCAGGAACACTTTTCAAGGTCTGTTTTCACCAGCGTCCCTTGCACGGGTCCTCACCACTGAAACCTATGTTTCAAAGGTTCATCGTTCCGTTCTGGCACGAGATGGATCAACTTTCGAGAATATGTTCTCTTTAGAAGAGTACAGTCTCGTTCAAGAGGGTTGTAGTGATGAGAACCCCATCCACCTGCAGGGAGATTCAGTCGAAGAGTTCCAAGAGTTGCTGTGGTGTCTATATGCCTTGTGCGCCGTATTTTCTCCTTTCTTCTTCCATTTGATCACTTCTATGCGGCAACAGGCCACAAGAAATTTCACTCGCCTCGTCTCCACAAGGCGACATCACCAAGTTGTCGAACGCTGCCCGGATGGCTCACAAGTACCACTTCATAACAACGGAGACATGGGCCCTTAGAGCGTTGCTTGCCTGCCTTGCATCCCAGCGCTCCGCTGGGTTGTCAACTCACTCTCTGGTCAAAGCAACTGAAGTTGCCGTTCTCTGCGATGACATTCCTTTGTCGGATGCTGTCAGGATACGATGGAAGGTCCACATTGCTGCACGGACAGATCTTGCTATAGTCATGAAGACTACCGATCGTCTCGCGGGTATGCGAGACCTTCAAGGGCAAGCATACCATGCCATGATGCTACAAGGGCGACATAGGTGGGATACCGACAAAGACCTATCCCGGCACCAACGCGTACGACTACTTTCGGGTTACCACAATCTAACACAAGTCTGCGATGCTCTTCCAGATACACCTCCCGAGATCGGCCACGACGCGTCCTGTCGTTATCGCGGCGAATGTCACGAAGCTTGGAAAATGCTGTGGAAGCAGATGACGAACCCGAATCCGAACGATGGTGGGATCGGCTCGCAAGCATTCGTTCACCATCATCTTGACCTACCCGGCAGACTGATGATGACTGTCAGTGTCATGAAAGCCTTCGTTGAGGGTACGATACCGAAGTACGACGAAATCATGGATAATTTCCATCGAGAATGTTCGTTCGTTGCTTTGGAGGCAACTGCAGCACTTTTTCGTCGGACGCAGGAGAATATGATGGAGTTCTTCGCGGATGTTACTTGACCCCTTCCCGGTTTGCAGGCTGCTCCAACTACACTCACACGCACAGCCTTTCGTCTTCTCGCAAGCCACGACCATCTCTTCTCAGTTCTCATGACCTGCCTCGAATCCTTTGGCTGCTGCCGACATAATTATTAGTAGCCCATCCATCAGTGAGAAGTCCGTCGTTACTCCAACTTCCCGTCGGTTGTCTACAAGGGCAAGGTTGTCGTGGTGACCGTGACCGTCAGTTCAATTTAATAGATTCACTAGCGCCCATGGGCAGTTCTGCTGAAGGCAACCTGTACTTGCGGTGGTGGTAGCCGCAAGCACAGCTCTGCCGAAATTGTTCATCAACCAACATTGTCCCCGTTCTAGTAATTTTTGATGAAGCCTCAAAACTCTGTCTGACCCGCCATGATCCCGACCTGCACGGCCCCTCCATCCTGTGGCCAGTCATCCGATCTGCCATGTCCTTAGCTCTCTTTCAGACATGAACAACGCCCTCCTCCATCCACCAAGGGCATCGACGGACCACCTCCGCCTGGAGAGCTTTAAAACACTCTCACGTCTCCAGCTCATCTTCGAGTTCAGGCCATGGCTGGAGTACTCGCGAGAATACACGCGCCGGCGCGTCAACTCACCGTATTTCCTCCTCTGGGATTGTATCTGCTTCGGCGCTCCGCTGAATACCCTCCTTGAACTTATCGGATCACCGACCCCTCGCCATCTTGCCGTTACAGCTGACGACTTCGATTTTGGCCTACCGATCGCCGAACGCTTGCCTTTTTTTCACAGCTTCATTCACAGAGTTCAGCTCCTTGAATCACAAGAGAAATTGTCCTATGGGGAAGTGTTGAAAGTGGAGGATTTTACAGCAGGTTTGAACGCGGGTTTCTTGAGGGTGCGTACCTACTATTCTTCTCAAATGCAGTTGTTTATTCCCCATCAGGTTCTGAACACGATTAACCGCGTTTTGAACGCACTCTACGAGTCTTATCCTGGTATTTTTGCTCTACCTCATGGGTCAGCCGCAAGACGAGCAAGTCTGATGCAACAACTAATTGATTCAGAACGCGCGCACACATCCAGACTCACAGTTACAGCAGTATGTCACCTTCCTTCCATGAGATATTCTCGTCACCTAGATCTGAAACGGATGATAACAGGACTCTGCTGCCAAATTATACGAAGACCCAGCAGCCGCTCATCCCACCTTGGAAGGCTTCATCATTAACTGCTCGCGACTAATACCGTACCACGATCATGTCTTGAAGATCTTAGGCGAGTCTCTCTCGTCATGCGGGCAGGAAGATTGGAATTATATTTTTTCTTGCCATGTGGGTGGCTCTATTTGGAAGAAGTGTATAATCGTGACCTGTTTCACAGGATAAGATTTTCTTAACGAGAATGAAGATTTCCTATCGATCCATTTGCGCAAATTATTTAACCTTTCACACTTTCCTCAAGACCATGACCATTGCAGTACTGCCTTTTTCCCTTCTGTGACGAAGATAGCGAGCTCATTGACTTAATAGCAACAGTCAAGAGCGTTCGCCAGTGACATTTTACAGAATTTATCGACAATCCTTTCACGTTTCTCTGAATATCAAGATTACCTTCATGTATGCGCTTCGCTTCCTCCCCCCCGAACGTTCCCATTGAACTCATGGACCTTTTTTAGGCTATCCTCAGTGCCACGCCTCCAAAGAGTCGTAGCTCATACGACGCTCTTTGCACAGTTGCCCTTGAAACAAGTGATATTCGCGGCTCGCTGACTGAAGTTGGCCATGAGTTGCGGACGATGGCCAGCTTCCAGCTCCTATGTCCCAGATTTGTCCCAGAATACAACCCGCTCGACAAAGAGCCACCTATGGGCACTTTGTTGCTCGATGATTGCCTCATTATTGACCCTGATTCGGGCCAGTACTACTCAGTCTTCCTTTTCGAGACGACATTACTCTGTTGTGCAGACCACCGACGGAGTGATGCAAGCTCATTTAGCGGGATGCGATACCCGATTCGCCCTTGGGAGATAGGGCCGGCCCTTTCGCAGGAATATCAGCTTCATACCGTCATGTCGATTCCGACAAAAAGTCTGAAAGCGTTACATTGCATCGACGAAGGTAGGCACTATTTCTTACTATGCGAGAGAAATCTAATTAATCTCGCATATAAGGTTACTTTCAGATTACCTGGGGCAACGACTCTGAATGCTGTATAACCTTCTATCCTCTCATGCCCAAGCAATATTCCCAGTGGATCGCGGTCCTGGAGCCATTCGTCTCACACGTTACTCATTCCACTTCCGTACCACACTATCTAGAAGAACCCGACGGCACGAGTGTTTGCTCAGGCGTGTCTCTCGTCCCAACATATGAGGAGGACAAGTTCGACCTAACTCGACGCCGCTCGTCTGCTCGTCCATGGAGCCTCATCGGACGGAAAGGGTTCAAATCGGAGACGTCGTCGCTTGTGGGAGTCGAAATTGAGGTCAAGGACAGGGAGGACGCGTCCATCCTCAGCCCGAACATGCTGCCCGACCTTTTCCGCCCTGAGCTTCCAAGGAGTCCACTCCATATCAGCTTTGTGCCGGACGAAGCCGTACCACCTTTGCAGCTAATGATGGAGTCACCGGAAGAGTATTCGCCGCCGGAATCCATTATGTCTGATGATAGTCTGCCTGATCTTACAGGCCAAATTGTGAAAATCGAGAGCTTCGCTACAGCTCATGGTGGATACTCGGACGTCTGGAGGGCGATGTGGAACAAAGAAGGCGGGGCGGAAACTCGGGTGGCTGTCAAGGTCCTCAGAACAACAGCTTACGATATGGACATGAGGGAGAAGCTTATCGAGGTGGGACAACACCGCGATGCATACTGCGATGCTGATTTTGGTCTGGCAGAGGTTGAACCATGAAATGCGGATATGGAAAAGTCTTTCACACCCACATGTCCTAAAACTTTATGGAACGGTTTCCGATTTTGGTCCTTACACGTCTATGGTCTGCCCATGGCATCGTTACGGGAACATCACGAAGTACTTGGAGAGGTCGGGCGATATCATCAGCATGGAAGACCGTTTGAAGATGGTGTGTAGATGGTTTTGCTCCATCGCCGACCTGCCGTTTTGATCATGATCCTAGATATCTGAAATTGCGGACGGACTAGCCTATCTGCACTCATGTGCAATCGTCCACGGCGATCTCACCGGGGTAAGTCATAGTGTGTCCGCTGTTGTCTTTTCCTCCTTCTTACCCGAATCCATCAATAGTCCAACATTCTGCTCGATGATGACCTACATGTTCAGCTCTGTGACTTTGGGTTATCATCACTTCTTCTGGAAGGCTGTCAGGAAGATAGTGAATCTGTTCTATCAGCCTACACATCCCACCTCGGTGGTTCTGTTCGCTGGGCAGATTCGTACCTCTTCCGCTCCTTCGAAGATGACACGGTACCGGTTATAGGAACTTCGAGTGATGTTTATTCTTTTGGAAGCGTAATGCTCGAGGTTCGTGTCTTATGCTCTGATGACGTCCCATCTTCGTCTTATGGTCTGTCATCTGTTAGGTTTTGTCTGGGAGGATGCCCTATCACTACTTGCGGACTGATCACCAGGTTGTTATTCAACTTCACCAAGGCATAAAGCCTCGGCGACCTGCGACGAGCTTCGTGAACGATAGCCAATGGGACCTCATCCAGCAATGTTGGAAAGAGCCTCCAGAAAGAAGACCATCCGCCGAAGAACTGCGACAGTCCACAAGGAGCCTGCTGGACCCCGCTGTACAACAGGTTTTGCGAAAATCAGCGTGATGATTCGAACATATTTCACGCACTTTTGTACGTACATGCCTTCAGACTGTTGTACTTATTGTCAGTATTGTATAAGTTTTCGAGGTTGATGATCAGACTTGTCGGAAAGCTTCAGTCGCTTAATCTCGGCTTTTTCTGGTTGTCCACGCCGCCTCTAACGATAATCCGGAGACTAAACATCGACTTTTGCGTAAGTATTGGTCAAGTATTGGCTCCAGATGGAAAGATTGAAACTGGATTGTCGCTGTGACAGTTTTAGGCCTCGCTATGAACTCCTGTTGCGGTCCTTGCTCCAGGTCCACTCTCGGCGTCCATGTCTTTCTCCTTCATAAGGACAGCTTTGAATACGACACCTTTTCCTGTGCTTTTCTAGTTGTGTGAAACCTTATAACATTACACAAATAAACTTTCAATTTGAATGTTTCATCGTTTACAATTTACTTTTTCATCTCAGTTCCCGTATACTCCACCACTGACGCCTCAGAAGCCAAGAAGCTAAGACTCCGGCAATCTCATATCAGATAACAACGCTTGGACGGATCTGTATTTTACACGCGTTTGTCCAATTTCCCCTTGCGCTCAACCACATGTAAACCCGACGGCCGACATGGTTCACTTCCCAAAGCTTCAAGCAGATCAGCCCTCTGATATCATACACCAACGCGACTCGTCTGCGAGCAGCAGTTCGTCTGGATCTTCCAGGAAGCGTGGCAGGTGCGACTCGGACACCCAGGACCAGCGTCCGCGGGGGAAGATGTCCAAGGCGTACGACGATGTCGATACCGATTCCGAGATGGAGGCACTCGTGTGCCCGACAAGTTGTTTACAAACCGCAGCGGGATTGAGGTTGAAACGGGACGACAGGTATTATTTCGAGGACGGGAGCTGTGTTTTTCTGGTGGAGGACACTCTATTCAACGTGAGCATCCAATTTTGTAGGCTGTAGCAACTAACTTTCGTAAATAGGTCCATCGGTCAATACTGAGCAAGGACTCCTCGAGTTTCAGCACAATGTTCTCATTGCCCCAAGGAAACGTCATAGCGGAGGGGCTCTCAGACGATAACCCGATTGTGTTAAGTGGAGATACGCCTGATGAGTTTCGGCACTTCCTATGGGCTCTATACGCTCTGTAGGCACGCTGGTTTCTTCGAGAACACAAGCTCATGCAAGCGAACAGACCTCCAGAACTCCTCATAGTCACAACCCCGAGCGCGAACCTGCTACATCTGATCGATATTGCGCGAATATCCAACAAATACTCCTTCAAGTCCCTTGAAACCTGGGCCCTCGATGCCATCCAAGAGTATGTCAACCGCAAGCCTTCCCCCATCCTTAGCGCTATCCCTTCTCCTCAATCCTATGTCTTCATCTCCGATCGCGACGGGCAACCACGGACGCCCACGCAAGAGGAGACAGCCCATCTGCTCACATGCCTCATCCGCCTTGCTCAGATGTGCCAACACGAGCGTCTGCTCAACACGATGATAACGTTGTTGAGGCAGCTCATGGTATCGTCCGTGCAGTACGCATACCTAGCGATGACGCTCGCGGACGAGTTGGACCTGCGTGTGCTGAAAGGGGCTGCGTACCTGGAGGTCATGCATAAGGCGGTGGTGGTTCGGAAACTACGCGTGGATGTGCTGAAGCCGCCCGCACCGACTAATGCAAGCTCTTCGAATCTTGTCCACGGGGACTCAAGTTCCACTGCAAGTGATTCATCCGGAGAAGAAGGCTCACTAGACGAGTCCGGCCGCCTCATCATCACGCGGGCACAGCAATTACGCCTCCTTGCGGGGTATTACCGCCTCACTTCGACGTGGGATAAGCTCAGAACACCGCCGCCGTTCGAGCACTCACATTCTTGTTCTGCAACCTGGCACCAGCAAGGTTGCACCCAGTCGTGGTTGGAGTTCTGGAAAGAGAAGACGAGGAGCGACGCGGTTATGGGCCTCGGATTGGCGGATGTGTTGGGCAGGCTGAGGTTGGTTCAGAAAGAGTACGATAGATGGGGAAGCGCAACGTATATGCACCACGATTGTCGCATGAATGCGAAAAAGGCGATTGGAGAGGTCATTAGGAGGGTGGAAGATGCTCTGCCCGATTACTTTGCTGAGCCTGGTGGGTTTGAGGACGAGTGACGGGGTGAGTGATGTTGGTCCTTTACTTGTACTTGTACTATATAATTTATGCACTGACACAGTCTCGCTGTCTGGAGCTCGAACATCGTCTTGGAATCTGGGCGGTTTGAGTTTCTGCTACGAAATGATCGGCGTGCGCCACACTGCCACGATTTGCTTCAACATCTGAGCAATGTGTCTATCTTACAACTGATGAGGTGCATTGATCATCTTCCGCTGAGGCAGGCTGAGGCTCTGTCTCTGGAAAATGTACAGGGTGAGGTTATAATAAATGGCCAGTCCGGCTGATGCATGCGTCTTTCGGGCGTAAGACGTGATCGTCAGATGGGCGGCGATGATGGAGCTTTTTATGGGACCTTTATCAAGGACAATCAGGTCCGAAGCACAGCGGTTAGAATAAGCACTGCCGCAAAGTCAGGGTGTCAGACGTAAACTATATAACGCGGATGGCCTCCATGATGTGGCTCCTTCAGCGCTGGCCGCCCCTACTTCCATCTTCTACCTAACGCCCACCTGCCGTCGACGCCCATTTGACATGGATCTTTCGCCAGAGAACGAGGAGTATATAAGGCTGTATAAAGGGAGCTTGATTCCTCTCAAGATCGTTTGTGAGTGCTTTATCACTGGCGGAATTGCGGAGGCTGATACAGATCATCACCTCTAGTGGTGTCCTTGGTTTGGGTTCTCCATGATTACTGTGCGTGATCTTCTTTGAAGGATGGTCAAAGGGCGAAACTGACCTTGCGATTCGAATTTCGCTGGTCGTTAGTTGTAACTTTGGAAGATGAGGTACGTCAAACTCATTCCCTCACCTCTGTCATCGTTGCTAAGTGGGACTGGAATAGATACGCTATATCTGGGTCTGTCTGCAACGATAGAGAGCGTGGAATCAGGTTCTTACGTCTCATGAAATTTTGCAGAGCCAGAAACCAAGTTTTGGGCGTTTCATGTTCTTCTGGGTACGTCATCCATCCGAGTCATTCACCACCCTTGGCGAGAAATTTATGTCGCCTACAGATACGATACTACACCATTGCTCTCCTCATATTCGACGTACTTCAAATCCACGGCTTTGCTATTCCAGGTGTGGCTACGAAAGATGTGTACGTCTTATAAGTCCCCCATGATCATCACCGCTAACCACTTCTTGGGATGATAGATGCGTCAAAGTCGACCCCGCAGTTCGCCTGGTGGGGGCTATCAGCCTCTGGTCTGTTGAGATCATCATGCAACTCCGGGTATATGCGCTCTTTGGTCGGTCTAGGAAGGTTCGTCGCGATCCTCCGTGCCTATTCCCTTGCACAGGCATGTTGCTGAGAGGGTCATGTTACAGATTGCTCTATTCAACGCCATTCTCTTTATCGTTTCCATAGCCTTTTTTATCTGGATCATGGTTCTCAATGCGAGGAATCGCGAGAATTTGATTGCGAAAGCCGTACGTTTCCCACTCCCAGGGTGTCCGACAATAAATGGCGGGTCGCAATGGGCACAGTGGATTCCTCGTACGTTGAAAGGACCTTCTATCAATTTCGGTGTCCTGATCATGAGCTAGCCACTATTTACGAGCTGGTCCTATTCTTATTCGTCTTGTACAAGGCCATCACGTCACCCTCTGCTTGCATCAAATTGAATGAGCGTATCTCACTCACCACGGTGTTGTTGAGTGAGAATACCGTTTACTTCTTCTGGTAAGCCTTTGCCTTTTCCCCCCCCTAGGATATGAGTGTCAATTAACATTTTGTTCTTTAGCATCGCAGTTCTGCTGATTTTCAACAATTTAATGGTCGTCGTACGTGCCATCTGTTCGACATTATGGTCTGCATCCTGATATCGTCCTATTAGCCTGGAGCAACGAAAATCCCCTGGTTCGGGCTTGCGTAAGTTTCCTCTAGATGCATTTTTTGCCAACTCAATTATTTCTTTCTGCAGACCCTTCCATGCAGCTGTTGGAATCCTGACCTCGCGGATGCTCATTCATCTTCGCAAGTTCACGATCCACAACCTGGACGGCGACAAAACTCCGGGACGAACGGTAACAACACAAGGTGGCCTAGCATTCGACAGCTTCAACATCTCTGACCTGACCGAGGTTACGCTCATGACTGCCACGCACGAGTCGCGCTACGACGAGGAGAGCATGATTGGCAGCTCAGAGTCAGACGACTCGCACAACTCGAACTCGACTTCCGTTTCCCGTTCGACTTCAGTATCTTCAAGAACAGCGTCAACTTTATCGACCGTTGCGCCATCGGTACAGATTAGATTCGGCGAGCCAGGGCCCTCTCGCCTTCACATTAACACATAGAGGGATCTCTGGATGACCGAGGTCTGAGTTCCTCGACCTGGGGTTTTTTCCAATCGCGGCATTGTCATCCCTTGCTTGAAGACCCGTCAATTTTCGAGGTTATCATTCTTCGTTAGCCGAATGTTGACCAACGGCGTCAAAACATTCCCTGGCCGCAGTTTTCGCCATTCCGGAATAGCGCCCATATATTTAACCTGTCGTTCCCGGAGGATTGGCGGAGCTGTGATCAAGGGGCTGGCGGAAGTGCCGTCTAGCCCTACGTCGGGTGTCAGGGGATGTAGCATGCACTTCAATACTGTATCGTTATGAATTGTAGCATACACGAGTCGCGACAAAAATTGATTGACCACGACAATAGGCTCCTCTTCAGAAAGATTCTTCGCTAAGTCGGACCCGCGTTAATCTTATTGCTTTATTCTAATATTCTAACCCTTGAGATTCGTCTACGCCCGAGATCGTCGCCTTGATGCCAGCAATAGGGGCTTCTCCTTATCAGAGGAACGCGTCTTCTGTTTGGGTATATTTGTGCACGCGTCAACATCGCGTCGTGCATTCCAACTTGAAACGTTATTATTGTCCACCACCTTCATCTTTTCTCGGATTCCTCACACTCATGCCGAAGAGACATCACGCTGAGGAAGAGGAGCATGTGTCGAACGCGTCCTCGAAGAGAGCCAAGACCGTGGACAGCGACGAGGAAGATGATTCTGAAGAAGCGCCACAAACTCAGACGCGTACAAAGCGCGAGCGAGCTGCTGCGAAGAAGGGCAAAGGAAGGGCAACAGCTGAATCGTCTGATGAGGATAACTCTGAAGAAGAGGAAGGGGAGGAGACTAGTGAACAGCAGCAACTAGAAGACGACGAAGAATTTGAGCGGCGTTGGGGAGCCAAATTACGCGCTCAGTTGGAGAATAAGAAAAACGTCCAAGGGGTCTGTTGTATCTTGTTTCTCCCTTTCAACGCTGATTGAATTCTCTTCATCAGACCGTTGCCGACCATGGTATCATTGAGTACATCGAAATGTGCCAGTTCATGTGCCACAAGTTCTTGAAATTTATCTTCGGGCCTCAGATCAACTTCATCATCGGTAAGTGATCCACAAGCCTTGCGTATTTCTGCGATCTAAAATGTCAATTAGGGCATAACGGAAGTACGTTGTGGCTAAGAGCAAGCAAAGGTTGAACGTTGACCAAATTGTTCAGGTGGAAAGAGCGCGGTCTTGTCTGCGATTACGGTTGCCCTGGGCGGCAAAGCGACTTCCACTGGTCGCGGTACTGGCCTGAAATCTTTCATTCGAGAAGGCCAACAGTATGTTCTCCTCTGTGAACTGCTTTTAGTCACTGAACACAATCGCTTAGTACCGCTGAGGTTACCATTCACATCAAGAACCAGGGAGAGGAAGCCTACAAACCTAAGGAGTACGGGAAAACGATCGTCATCACGCGCAGGTTTGGAAAGGATGGGAACTCGAGCTGGAAGATCAAGAGCAAGGACGGCAAAGTTATTAGCACAAAGAAAGATGAATTGTCCGCTATCTGTGATCATATGAATATTCAAGTGGACAATCCGATGAATGTTTTGACTCAAGGTGCGTACTTTCTAGTGACTAGTCGTCTTTCAGTTCAAGTGTTCACCTGCCCCTGCGTAGATGCCGCAAGGCAGTTCTTGAGCGCATCTGTTCCTCAGGATAAATACAAGGTATCTTGCATTCTCGTTTCACAAAGAAAAGTCGTTTAACTGCAAATCGTGTAGTTCTTCCTTCGTGGCACCCAGCTCACCCAGCTGTCCGAAGAGTATGACTTATGTCTTACTAATATCAATCAGACCGCCAAGCTGCTGTCCGTCAAGAAGGAGGCTCTCCCTGACCTCAAAGCACGTCTCCGTGAGGTAACTGCACGTTACGAAGAGGCTGCAAAAGCCCGCGAGCAGAAGAAGAAAGCCGATGATTTGAAGAAAGAAATGGCTTGGTCTCACGTTGCTGCTAAGGAAGAGGAAATGGAGAACAAACTCAATGAAGTCGCTAAGTTGTCGAGGAGGCTGCCTAAGATTGAAGAAAGTCTTAAAGAAGCCGAGGTGCATCAATTGGCTCAGTCAGTTTCGACAAATGCTCATCTTTTGTACACAGGCTGCGTTCCAAGTCGCAACCGATCAGGTCAAGGAGTTCGAGGCGAGCGTTAATGAGATGGGCGACGTCAAGGATCTCGACAACCAGAAGAACGACATTCAGGCTCGAATGCGCGAAAGAAAGAAGCAGCTGGTTGACCTCAACGTAAGTCATTCTTTCAACCTCTCCTAGGTATTGCACTGAATTTTCTGGATAGAATGACCTCAAACAGATGAATGCCAGCCTGACTGGTATTAACAACCAAATCGAGGACCTTTCAAAGCAGATAGCAGATGAATCGCGTCGGATGGCCCAGCACAGCCAAGCCAAGCACGAAGAGACTCAACGCAGGATTGAAGAGTGCAGAACGGAGGTGTCACAATACGAGAAGCGCATCGACGAGATTATTCACCAGCGCAAGGACTTCAGCGTGCAGGCAGACGGGATTCGTGAGACTGGTCAGAGAGCCGACGACGCGATTAAAGCCGTCCAAAACAATATCGATAACTGTGACAGAATGATCGAGAATGCGAAGCAGGCGGAGAAGGACGCCCTCGTTCCGTATGGCAGAAATCTCAAGCAAGTTATGGAGAACATCAACAGGATGAAGTGGCATGGGGATGTACCCCTTGGTCCGCTGGGGACGTATGTCAAGGCGCGAGACCCCCGGACATGGGGCGACCTCTTGAGGAACCAGCTTGTTGGCTACCTTACAGCATTTGCAGTGACAGACGCGAGGGACAGAGATGCGCTGAAGAAGCTCTTAGTGCAGAGCGGCAAGTGAGTCATCCTGCCTCTCTGGCTTTCTGCGTGTCGTTTATCTCATGGTTGACTAGTTCTAATCATCTTATCCTGATCTACGAGAAGGATTTGTTTGATTACCGACATGGAGAGCCACCTCAGGAGTTTCTAACTGTCCTCCGCGCTTTGGAAGTTCGTGCAGTCTGTTCCTTTCGTCTGCTTCAGCTACTCATGTCTGGCAGATCTCCGACCCTTATGTGACGCGCATCCTTATCAATCAGATGCACATCGAGAGCCAAGTTCTAGCGCACACGCGTAAAGAAGGTCAACAGCTGCTCGAAAGACTCCGAGGAGGATCTGCGTGGACTTTGGACAACTTCAACGTCCGTGTCTATCCGTGAGTCTCCTTGCTCATTTCGTGTGGAAACATACAATTTTAACTATGCTTGCTCTTCAACAGGGAAGGAGGCGTGCACTCCGGCGGACTTAACATCAGGAGGCTGAACGATGCCACGAGCCTACTGCTTACGGGCAGGAATAGTACCATGGACATCAAGTATGTTGCGTTGTCCATTTGTTTCTCGAAGCAGAATGCGCTAATGGTATCAGGCACTACCAAGAGGAGAAAGCTAGGCATGAAAGCGAATGGAGCACTAAAAGTGCTGAGGTCAACACGCTAAAGGGGCAGTACCACAGTTTGAGAAAGACCATCGACCAGTTAAATGTAAGTCTCGCTGTCTCCTGCGTGCTTAGGTGTCCTGCATGATTCACTCTCTTCCTTACATTGTCTAGAATGAGGAAACTCAGGTCCAAAGCCGTTGTAGAGCCGCCAGGCACAGGCTGAATGCTCTAGTAACTGAAGCGAACGAGGACATGCCAGTTGGTCTTGCAGGGTTGGAGGCTGCCAAAGAGGTTCGCCTGATCTGCCATTTTGTACATTTTCCTTCTATCTTATCCCCGTCGTCATTCTAAAGGAAGCCGAGGCGGAGAAAAATAACATCATCAATCAGTTCGCTGCTGTTCAACAACAAAAGGTCACCCTCGACGAGGCGCAGCGCGCGTGCCAACTCGAGTTGAACGGAATTAAGGCCCAGATTCAGGAGTTCGACACCTCGAGGACGGCTAAGAGAGTAAGTGTTCTTTTCTTTTCTGGTTGATCGTGAATAACGTTTCGCAGAAACAAATTGAAGATGCTGTCGAGGCACGGATGAATGCCCAGAAGAACATGAAGTACTATGAAGACAAGTACCAGTCTGAGAAGAAGAAAGTTGAGGCCGTCGAACAGACTGCCAAAGTCTTGCAAGAGGAGTATGCTGTACGTAGCTTCCTTCTCGTAAAGGAAATCATTGCATGTGTTGACTTTATGGTGTACAGAACTGGAGAGACAAGGCCCTTGAATACTGTGAGCAGGTGCACAAACCACGCAAGCTCGAGGAAGTCAAACGCCTCCTTGACTCCGTCCAGAAGGCACTCAAAGAGCGTGAAAAGCATCATGGTGCCTCAGTCGAAGAGATGGCGAAGGAAGTCAACAAGGCGCAGGAGAACCTAGACAAGGCTGAGAAGGAGCTGAAGCAGATGTCTAAGTTGAACAAGGCTCTCAAGGCTTCCCTCTTTGTCCGTCTTGCTCGCTGGCAAGAGTTCCGAAGGCATATTGCTTTGCGCTGCAAGCATGTCTTCCAGTACCACTTATCGAACCGTGGCTACTATGGCAAGATTTTGTTTAACCACGTTGCGGGCACATTGCAGCTTCGGGTATGTCTTGCCTTTTCTTCCTGGTTTCCTTTGTTTTGACATTAATCTTCGTATAGGTTCAAACCGATGACCAGCTCCAAACTCAAGGAACGCGTGACAAAGACCCTCGCTCTCTCAGTGGAGGCGAGAAGTCTTTCTCGACGATTTGCCTGCTTCTCTCGCTCTGGGATTCAATTGGATGCCCCCTCCGCTGCTTGGATGAGTTCGACGTCTTCATGGACGCCGTTAACCGTAGGATCAGTATGAAGATGATGATCGATACGGCGAACACGTCGGACAAGAAGCAGTACATCCTCATCACACCACAGGACATGACGAATGTCGCGTTTGGACCCACGGTCAAAGTGCTGCGGATGACGGACCCAGAGAGAGGAAATGGGACGCTGCCGTTCGCTTCTGCGTCTGGTTAGCCGACCAGGGAGGTTGGGATCCTACATGCTAACAAGTTTCTATCCTACTCACACATACAGGATTTTTATTTCGTCTGGTATTGTACTCCGGTATACTGTACATGAAAGTCAATACTGTGCCTGACCGGCATCTCGGCCACCTTACGGTTCAAAGCATATTTCTCAATCGTCACTTATTCAATAATCAATTTAGCACCTTCAGACGATGCGCAACCATCTCAAGTCCATTCGACCCAATTTTCAAGATTTTATGGCCAGTATTTATGACGCTACGAATTTTCTGCTGAGGACACTCGGTTTTCGGCCAAAACCAAGAAGTCGGTCACCCACATGGTCGATCGCGGCAGACCGGCCTTACGTGTTTCCCACGCCCCGCCCTTATCGATCCCATCGGCATTTCGTCCTCTCCTCCCAATCTACCGCATTCTAGCAGGCTGACTCCGACGCCCGGATGGCGCTCCTTGCTCCTGGGCGGAAGAAGATGAAGATTCCAGCGCAGGGTCTTGAGTGCGAGATGGAACTGTGGAGGGCAGTGAATGCTCGGCGGAAGGTGTGTCTCCGAGCCCTGCCTCGGTCGTTCCTTCATTAACGTTCGTTGCAGGGGGCGGTTGTGCCTGCTTTTGTTTGATTGGGCGTGGGCGGGGGCGGGGGCGTGCTCGAGGCTCCTGTGCAGGTGGAGCCGGCTCCTCCATGTCCTGCGCTTCTGCAATTTCAGAATGCTCATCGACTGTTGGAATACGAAAGGTGTCGGTGAGTGTTGAGCCAAAAACCGTATGTGTGATGGCTTACCGGTGTCCATCTGAACGCCCGCTGGAGCCCTTCGCCCCCGACCACGGCCACGGGCACCCCCACGGACACCTCTGGCACCCCCTCGATTGGTAGTGGCAGAGGCCCGCCCTCGACCACGACCACGACCGCGGCCCCTCTCGGTTGTAGTAGGAGGAGCAGTATCTTCAATGGGAGCAGGGCCAACGTCAGCATCGGATGTGCTCGGGGAATCTAAGTTGCCTCGATTAGCCCGACCACGCCCACCTCGAGGAATCCCTCCCCGACCACCCCGACTGTTCCCCACTGGCACCACACCCATTCTCTTTGCCTCGGCAGTCGCCTCTCGTAACATCGGCCCAAACTCAGTCACTCGCAGCCACACCACCTCCCTCTTCGCCTCCTCCCTCGCCTTCCTTCCTTCCTCCCTCCGTGCCATCGCAGCCTGCCGCGAACGCAATTTCAGCCCCCCCCTTCATTTCCTTCAATACTTCCTTCATCACAATCTCCCACTCCCCCCGTGCAAGCCCCTCTAGCACCTCCTCCGATGTCATGTGTCGTGCCTCAGAAGTCCGTCTCACCTCCCTCTTCTTTGACCGTCGACCATACAGCTGTTCGCGCAGCTTCCCGTTCTCGAGGTCCATCAGCTTCATCTGACCATAGAACGCCTTCAGCTCGTGACCCGCCATCTCTAGCAATTTGAAGAGTTCGTCATTCTGGGCCCACAGTGCACTTCGCGACGCGTTTTTGCGCAGGCGCTTCGGGAGCACAATCTCGATGCGCTCGAGCATGGCCTCTTCTTCGGTTTGTGTTATAACTTGTGTGCCGACTGATTGATTAACAGAAGCGGTGCCATTGCCTTCGCTGATGGATGTGGAGGATGGAGACTCTTCGATACGAGACAGAGCCGGAGTTGGTGGGAGAGGAGTAGCCGTGGCGGTGATACCAGGTACAGGAAGTGGAGCAGGGATGACTCGAAGGAGTGATGGCACCTTTGTCGGTAGGGGTTGGGCGGATTGTGTAGTTGTATTCTTTGATGGCTCGAATACAATGGGATCGATGGCATGACGGTCTATTGGCCAAATGCCAGTTTTGAGAAATGCGGCCTTGATTGTCGTCTCCTTGAATGCCTTGTCACGGGCACGGGAATAGTGGGAGAGAAGTGTTGACTTAGTGATAGATCCACGCTGCTTCGACACAGCGTTGACCTCAGCTTTCCAACAGGATGCAAGTGGGCCGAACACGCCAACGTCGCATGGCTGAAGAACATGTGTAGTGTGAGATGGTAGACAGATGATAATGATGCGCTTCTCCGCCGCGAATTTGCAGAAGCGATAGGTACAGTGTGAATTATGGCCATCCAGAATGAGGAGTCGGTAGCCATTGGTCTTGTTGCGTGCCGCGCTCATAGGTTCGAAGTCGCGCTTCAACTATTTTTCGCCGAGATCTTGATCGGTCCAACCATTCGGAGAAGTCGAGATACTTGAAGAAAATGAGCATTTCGAAGATCCAAATTTATCACAGCTCGTACCTAGCATTACACGGATTGTCGCGCCCCCACTCCATATTTGTCCGCTTTCCTTTGAAGATCACTGAGGGACGTAGAGCAGTTCCATCAGCACACACCGTCTCAATAACGGTAGCAAGTTCTCGATTGCCATCCTCAACATTGTAGACATTCTCCTGGGTGCGGTCGATGATCACGTTCATGCGCTTCCCAACGCCTAGCTGAATGCCCTTTTCATCCATGTTATATATATTCTCTGGCGGGATATTGAATTCGTTGACGAGATCCTCGTACATGTCCAAGAAGCCAAACACGGTTGTTTCGTTCGCATTGTTTGCGCGGCAATCCTCTAAGCTCTGAGTCCAACGAGTCTTGAGATCAGGATGCCGATTAAGGAACCGAGACGCCCAAGTTGGGCCAACAGCCTTGCCGGCAATAGCCTCCGCGTGTTCGATAAGCGCCGATGGAGAAAGCGGCACTCCACGACGGCCTTGCACCTTTGCCCACTCAGCAAGAACTTCCTCTTCATCATTGTTGAGGGTTTGCCGGTGCTCATTGGCAGCATGACGAGTAAGCTTCCCATTGAAACGATCCGTGAGTGTTGAGCGCGGAACCTCGAAGTCAGCAGCAGCACGACGTAAAGAGAGGTTGGTGCGGCCGTCGGGGGTAGAACCACTGTCGTGAACTGCCTGTATGGCAAGAGCTATTTTCTCCTCTTGAGAAAGGCCATTGAGATTGGGTATCGTGTACTGGTAAGGCATGTTGAGGGAAGAAGGGGACAAGAGGTAGCCAGTCAAGGGGTAGAGAGTGGGGGAGGAATTGGACGTTAATACGTGCTCTTCCTCGATATTTATTACGGGTTTTATGTGGCAAGCTACTATGCCGCCTGTACGGTGTGGCTGAGGCCTTGCGAGACGTCGGGTGCTCATCATCATATTCTTGAAAAACGTGGCAAATGTTGGACGCTGTAGCAGCACATCTTATGCATTGAGGCGCGTACTTTGCAGCCGAGAACACTAATAGAGGCTTTGCGCAAAGCCAGCTGGAGCCAGTGGTGGCTCAAATGCGTTGCGCTGAGACCTTTAGCCAGCAGAACCTGAATATCAGCCCGATGAATGCCATATATTAATATTACTTACATCTCTCTATAACCTCGTATTTCCTGGAGAGCTCCACGCGATATCAGTCTGTGGGGGTGGTTGATCAACCCCAGTGAAAAGTCCGTCGAGAGGAATCGAGTGTGATCGAAGTGAGGTTTGATGAATCGAGTCGAATCAAGGCTGGTCGAGCGAGGAGCAAAATTTGATGGAAATTTGATGGGCGTTGGATACAAGTAGTTGTGAGACCTAATTGAATCGAGAGAAATTGAGGGAGATCGCAAGCTGAATGTCTTCGTCTAAGATGCTTAAGCTGTAAGTGCCTTGGTCTTGCTTACATAAATTGATGAACTTGACTACGTTGGACTTGGGGGATTTCAACTTACTTTCAACCACAACGACGATATGCGCACCGCTTCTTCCCTCCGAGTCCCCCTCTCCTTCCGTGCTCTTTGTCGTGACATAGCATCGAAGCCCTCTGTACGTCTTTTCATGCCTAATACCCACTCCTGGTCATCCCATCTGCCCTTTCTCCTGTAGACAGGCTTCATCACGGTCTATTTCGCCGTAGCCCATCCACATTCACATTTCCAATTGCCGAAGGGGATGTCGATTCGTGAAGATCACTTTGGTCAGTAGATTGGCCTCGGATCTGCTCAGCATGGTTGCTCATCGTATCAATATTATCCATGCAACGCGTCGTCCGAGCACCCATCGTCCGAGCACCCACCTTGTTGTTCATCAAATCTATTTTCGAAAGAGAGGGCAGGGGAGAGAAAATGTTTTGCAAAATGGAAGGTATGTCTTGATTCTTACACTACTCCTAGTTGTATGCTCCAGGTGCTGGTGACATTGACAGTGCAAACCGTGGGTGCCAACGTCGCAGTTCCGGTGATGCAATGGTGAACGAGGCTGGGCAAAAGGAGAGGTGGTAAGCAAACCACCAACTAACGAGTCTGGAGATAAATTGCTCACCTCTATCCGAGTCTAGAGCCTGCACAACAAACCCGCCACACAAAAAGCTGAGTCCCTACTCCGCGGCGAAACTCCAAAGGAACAAGACGTACTCCCATATGCAACACACAGCACGCGGCCTGGCGCCACTGTCGCGAGGCGACACCAAACATACACCACGATACCACGATAGGGCTTGCCGTCAAAGACGACCGTGAGCACCTGCAAACGATGGTGCGAGCAAGGATGGTGCGTTCCCCCGATGTTTGTCTTACTGTGTTGCTAACGCTTGTCGCAGCCGCCCGTCTGCCAGGGTGCGAATGTCTACCCGACCCAGGATGGGTCATTCTGAAAGGTATTGATGACAATGTAACGGTGTCTCTCGCTCATCCTCCCCCTTCCCCGTCCTTTCGCTCGACGCCATGTGCCCGTTACGGTACGAGAATGTGAGGGAGCGGCGGAGGCTATCACGTCTATATAGAACCACACACTCCGCCATGTATATTATTACTACGAGATTCTAATGAATACATATATACATATAACCATTCTCTGTGTACAAGCTGGAATGAGGGATATCAAGAGAAATTGAATGCCTGGACAAGCGGGTAGCATAATTTTGCGGCACTTTGATGGCTCGTATGGGCTTCGAGCTGACTCGATCTGTCTCGATGATGGGTTCACATTTTCGAGAGAGCTCAAGTCTGACCGAAGCTCCTTGATTCTCTGGATTTCTCTTGATCCCTCTCGACGGACTTTTCACTGGGGATCAACGGTTGATCACGGTTGATATTTTCTGCTGGCTCAGTTTCCATATATAGGTTAGTTTCTGGAGATTGTCGTAGCTGCACGGATGAATACAATGAAATACTTGCATTGTCATTGAACTCCCCTGGCATCCAGACATACATGGTACTACATAAGACTAAGTTAAAAGCATAGTCACTAATTGGCCGCTACTGGCTACACGACACAGCGCAACGTTTTTGAGCCAGCACTGGCTCCAGCTGGCTTTGCGCAAAGCCTCTAATATGGAGCCATCTCCATACAATTAATTCATAAACATGCATGCTCTGCTGCATTTTCGTCGTCCAGAAGATTTCCTTCTCCGGCTCTCCAAATTGTCCTATCAAACTACACCTGGCATTTCCGAGCTACAAAAAATCGTAATAAATACCAAATACTCAGTTAACTCAAGCTGAACATGTTTAAAGCTGTAAACAGTCGTTATTTCTGGCAGGGGATTGCAATTGAAGGCCTAAGACGCTTCACCACACGCCACCTTCGTCTCGGAGATTTTAGTGGCCGGTCGTGATAGATCCACATAATTATGCGTAAATATGATGTTATATGGGTGAAATAGGCTACCATATGAGAGATGAAAAGGCCCCATTTAAGGCCCTCCAAGTGTTCTCTCTTCAAAGATAGTGGAGACGGAGAAAAGGTGACCTCTTCTCTGTCGGGCTGCCGGGCCAAATAAGGAATTTCGGTGATCTGTCACTCGGTGGTCCATGTTTCCTTGACCGAGTAGCTGGTGTGACCGAGTGACCGGTTATGCACAGTAGTTTCATTTCATTCTTTGCGAGATGATCGCTTAGATTAGATTTCTCGTCCTGGTGCCAATCTCCATCTGTCATGATCATGATCATCGACTCCGTAGGCAGTGCACCAATGCACCCTTGTTTCAATGCAAGCCCCATCCAGTGTCGACCGTTCACCGAGGACATGCCATCGCCGCACACACACGCCCACGACTCTTGACTGTGAACCACGACGTTGACCGTCCGCGTTCACCCACTACCAAACACCGCACGGCCAGGTGCCACCACCAAATCCTACTGACTCTGCGAGTTTGCGCTGGTTCGCCAGGATCCCGATCCCCAGAGTTCCATTGCCAACTATATCTCGAAAGCATTACACGTGTTACAACCATGATTCCGTACTCTCGCCAAAATGCTTTCCTAGCTCTCCTTGCTCTTGTCGTCAACCTCTCGTCCTTCGTTCGGGTCGCTGCTGCCCCATTTCCGAAGAAACACTGGACGCATGAAGTCGGGCCTCAGTGCGTCCAGTCCTGATCCTCGACTACTTGATTACATCTAACTGTGGCGTTCGCTCTTTTTTGCAGCTCTCAGTGCATGACGCACGTCTCTTTGGAAGATCGAGCCGCAATCGAGGACGGCCTAATTCTAGCTCGTAGCCTCTTTGAACGCGATGAGGCAAATACCGATGGTGACCTTGACGCTAATGCGGACGGCGTTACACCCGTCGATATTAGCAAAGAAACGTTCGTGTTCAATGTCAATTTCAATGTAGTGTATACGAACGAGACGCGCGAAGGAGGGTTTATCTCGTGAGCATTGTTTCTTATCATTTTTTCTCTCATGGAGGCGGGATTTGGGCTGGAACGAGTGCCTGAATCTATTCGTTGGTCGATGGTTTTTGAGAGATCGCCGGAATTTTTACTGAGAGCAATCTACTCGGTCCTCCTTAGCCTCAACGATTCGGGGCTGTTTCCCTCTATTGTGCTTTTTTTGTATTGAACTTGCGCATATATTCATCCTTGATCTCTTTCCAGTGATGACGATGTTCGTGCCCAGATCACCACCCTCAACTCTGATTTTGCTGGTTCGGGGATCTCGTGGGTTCTTGTCAACACCTCCAAGATCCACAATCCCGAGTGGTTTGTGCATGCCTACCCTGGGTCGTAAGTGCTTGCCATAAATTTTCACGGTGAGCTGGTGCTGATGCTTTGATAAAGTACTCAAGAGAAGGAGATGAAAAGCCTGCACAACGTCGGCGATGCGACGACATTGAACGTGTACACATTGACGTGGGTTTCATATTCGCCTTGCATTCCATCCACTTTTTCTGAAAGTGATTCTTCCACCTTTGCAGCTTCAACGCTACTACCAAATCTCTTGGCACCGCCTCCATTCCATCTGCCTACTACCGCGACCCAAAGAGCGACGGGGTCATGATTCGGCACTCAACGGTCACGAACGGCTTCCGCGAGCACTTCAACCTCGGTCGGACGCTTACGCATGAGGTCGGGCATTGGTTGGGACTGTTCCACACGTTCGAGGTAGGTCTTGATACTTTTCTGTATTTATACCTGTCTATTCCTCTTCGGACTAAACTCTTCATTTATGCAGGGTGGATGCGACGACGGTGTCGGTGACAACGTGGCGGACACACCTCCGCAGGCCTCAGGTTCTGAAGGGTGCCCCGTCGGACGGGATAGCTGTCTCGGAGATGGGCCAGACTTGATCAGTGAGTGCATGCGCTCTTTTCTCTTTTCTTCTCTCGTCCTTCGCAATTATTTACTAGTACTTGTGGATTCACAGACAACTTCATGGACTACTCGTACGACTCGTGCATGAGCGCGTTCACGAAGGGACAGATTGTGCGGATGCACGAGGCCGCACGGGCGTTCAGGCGGCCGGGTGGCAAGACGGCACCCCCACCCAAGACCTCAAGCTCTGCATCCATCACAACATCGCTTTCGACAAGCATGACTGCAAGTGCGAACACGACGTCCACTTCGGTTGTGTCGACCACGCAGGCCGTGACTTCGATCGAGACCGGCTCGATCCCAGCCGTGTCGAGCTCTGCAACTACGTCTACGGAACCAAGTACGACCTCTGCGATCTCGACTACGGACGCAGCTCCGCCTGCGCCTACAACCACCTCGACTGCAACCACCAGCGATACTTCGAACGAAACAGCCAGAGACACAAATACACCGACTCCGATGGCGACTAGCACTGAAGAAGCTTCAACGACACTAGCGGCACCCTCCGAGAACGAGGCAAACGATACTAGCGAGGCTGCTGCTTCCGAAGACTGATTGAATTCTGATGTTGCCAATTGACAGTGGGATGGACTTTATGTACGTATGAACATGACATGCAATGGAATCTCTTTTCCTGTGCCCCATGCGATTTGAGAACTGGATTGTTAACGCCCCAAGAAATACGTTCTTTGCCATTTGCTAGTGAGTTCTGGCTGTTGCATCCTGCTCTAAATAACCTTACTGAACGTCAAACGTTCCAACGTCGGGTTGAACCTCTAGGCACTAGAAGGTCTTCCGTGGAGTGTCGTGGAGAACAGATTACGCTACGGCGAAATCGCGTTTTGATGCACGGAATCCTGCTCCCACCTCGGGTACAACTCGGATGCTTACATACGACATCTAGCAGGACCTTGGGGGAAGGTTAAGCGGAGTTTGTGGCGACTATAGCCATTTATGATACGGGTGCTCCGACAGGTGTCCGGTTGACGAATTCTGGTGTCTGGCGGCATCATTCGTGTGTTGCAAGTTTCGAGTTTTGATTAGCCCAGTGCTTGGTGCGTCGTGATTAATTGAGCTAAGTAGAGAGCTGACCCAAATCCTTACTTTTGAGAGGCTTCGTAACTGCAATTGCTTATCTTTGGAAGGCCTTATCGTTATCGCTCGACCAACTCTTGGCTTGAACTTGAGCGCTCGACGCGCCACGGCGCTTGCTTGGGCAGAGACCACCTGAAACCGTAACAGGCAACCGCGCCTATGGTAACCGCAATATCTGCACTGATGAACAATCATGAACAACACCTTGTTATTGCCATTTTCTTCACAGAGTTGTCTGTCTCGGGGCTGTCATAGACTGCTCAAAGCCGAATGGGGTGGGAATAACGGCACTCCTATCGTCTCTACCGAAATACAGTCTGGCGAGAAGCATGACAAGAACGCGCTCGGTTTCCTAGTAACGACGTCGGAGTAGAAGAGCTTCTGTCGTTGGAAATTTGCAATGTCTTGCTAGGCGAGGTGTGTTTTTGAGCAAGCTGTCTATGCTCCAACTTGAAAGGTCTCAAGCTTCTCAAGTTTTAACAGTGGGATATACTTATGGTTGTATCGCACGATGAGCTGATATCGCGGACGCCGGACGAAGATTGGGGAACCTCATGGCAGGATCAGAGTGACCTGATGGGAACGCGGAAGGAATATCCTTGCCGACCACGTGCGTTTTTGTTGTTTTCTGTATGGCATTTCAGGGTCCCAAACACCCTTGCTTTCTCCCTCCACAGACCACCCTTCGTCGTTCAAGCCGTCGCTGGCTCTCTTTCCATTCCTTTCGCAACTCACACTCTTTACTAATTTATTCAACTCTGCTCCTCCTCACATCATCCTTTTCAACCTCAAGAGACATTTAGAACAACACCGACTGCTGCCGTATCTGTAGACCAATAAAATGGCACCCCTCGCTGGCAAACCACCTTTTGCAACTGACGAACCCGACTCGTTCTACGAGTCCTCACCGCAACCCCGCCCGCGCGTCCGTCAGCAGCCACCACAGGACCCCAACGCTCGCACCTCAGCTTACGACGTGTACGTACATACCTAAAAACGGTACTTTGTTGCTGATTTGGGCACAGGTACAACAACTACATCGGCGACGACAAGAACAAGCTCGCTGTTCCTAATAATGGTGCTGATGCGGCTAACCGCAACTCGGGAATTGGGAACATGCTGCTGAACATGGGCGATGACTCGGATTCGGACGACGATGACGACGATGTGGGCAGGAAGCCAAGCAATCCGCCCGGCATAAGCACGTCGGCGTCGAAGAATGCTGCGTTGGCTGCTGCGGTCAGCACACCCACAAGGCCCAGCCCGCCGCCTGCACCTCAACCGCAGCAGCAACCACCCCAGATGAGGCAACCACCCCCGCCGCCTCACATGCGCGGTCCCTCGCCCCCTGCGCCACAGCCTATAGCCGCCCCTCGGCCAGGGTACGCAGCCCCACGGTACGCAGCCCCAATCGCGTGCGACCCCGTCGCTGCACCTGCCGGACGTGGACCACCTCCACCTCTCACCTTGCAGAACCCCTTTGAGCCGCCCCTTCCAGCTCCAGGGCGTCCAGGATATGCTGCCCCAGCCTCTCCGGCACCTTCTACACCACACCCACTCCTGCCGCCCGTTACGCCCATTGTTCCGGTGTTCGTTCGCCCAGCGAAGAGCTCCGAGGCAATCAACGTCAAGTTTGAGGAAGGTGTTGCGGTGCCCCGTAAGCCCAAGCCAATTATGAGGGGCAACTCCGAAGAGACGCTCCTCCCTTCGAGAGGCGAGAAGGGTGACGATTTCTGGAGGCGGTTTAGTATCGTCGCTAAGGAAGAGGGCAAGATGCGCGGCAAGGAGAGGTAATCGATCATTTCTATTTTCTGGTAGTTTTCATTCTCACGAACTATTTTAAAAACAGCTCATGGCTCCAAAAGACGCGCAATGGTGCCGCCCAGCACTCGCGGTGGGTCTGGATCGTTGGGCTCTTCCTTATTCTCTGCATCGCTGGCGGCATCGGCTTTGGCGTCTACGCCTCGCGCAACGCGCCGGACCACCAACAGCCCACGGCCATTGGTGGCTCAGCGGACAATGCTGCCACTTTCGCCACTGCAGCGACGGCGGCGGCGAGTGGTACTGCGGCGAAGAGCTCAACAAGGCTGCATGTGAGCCCGACGAACACGGTTGAACGACGTGAGGCTGGGCCTGAGCCAACGGGTTACACGACACCCAGGCTTATGTATAGGCACGAGGTGAACATTTCCCGGAGTCATAGCAAGAGGAGGTTGGGTGTGAATGCGCGGTGATTTTTCTATCCGATATGCCCAACTAGTTCCTCTGTCCGCCAGCGACCTTGCTTTCTCTATTAGTTTATTGGTCGCACTGCATTTTGCTTTGCTCTCCTCTCCAATCACCGCCAACATCATTGGGATTATTTTCACGCTCAGACTTCAGTTGATCTTTTCCCGTCCGCTCTTTACTGTTCCCTTTTTCCGGTCTGGCTTTCTTCATTTTCCCTCTTCCTCATCCAGTCAAGCAACTAAAGGATTATCAGACTTTGCATGTATAACAACCACTTTTCCGTTTTCCCCTCTGCATTCTGGATCTCCTTGTTTATTCGTAACGTTGGTTATTCGTTTGTCTTTTCTCATCTTTGGATACCCACAACCCGCCACACACTACCCCCACTGCCCGCTAGGACCATCCGCACCCGTCTCAGCATCTGCATTTTGGATCTTACATCTCTTCCGCCATTCGCATCGACGCCCTCACCCATCCGCACCTGTGTATATTCTTCCCGCCCACACTTCCCGCACTTGTGTATACTCACCACACCCGACACCTTCATCGATCGCTCACGTCCAGGCTCTCGTCCTAGGTTCTCTGCCAGACGTTCCATCTGACGGGTAACGACCAACGGACGCGACGCCTTGCTCCATTTCCCCATCCTTGACTCGAATACTTACGCCTGCCTGCATTTTACGTTGCATTAGTTTTTTTTTCTACTAATAACGTACCCATATACGTCGCTACATGTTTGAATCGAATTTCTTTTTTTCCCTGACGGCTGGTGAGTTAAGCAAAAAGCGAATAAACTCGATAAGCAAACACTAGCGGACATGGTGATTGGGGGAATAGAATTGTGAGTAATAGTGGAGACCATTGTACATACATCAGTGAGTTCCAATTTCTTTTCCCTTTCTTCTCGCGATCGTCATTATCCTTGTGAGCGACCACATCCTTCAGCGTACAGATCTCGTCCTCTCCTAACCAACCAGGCAATGCCAAGGTCCACCAAGGCTGGCTGACGTTTGCCACGGTTTCCTGTTCGTTTCGATCTTTACCTTGTCCTTGTTTAACGCGTCATCTTCCAGGGCACGCTCGGCGATGGTGATGGCAGAAAGAACAGTGTCTGGTGGACTTGTGAGAAGACCAAAGCTGGGGTCCCCGTTCAGAGCTACATAGTCTACTGCAATCTGGATGATAACGTCCAGAAGACGACTGCGGACAACATTGAAGACCAAGGCAATGATCGTGGCAGATTCTACAAGTGGACCTTGGCGTCGATGTTTGCCTCTGCTGCTATCGCCAGCGAGGAGTACAACCATCTACGACCCATGTCAAGGTTCTCTGTCGTTTTCTGTAGTGGAGAAGAATAGGAATTTTCATCGCCCGTTGTTGAGCAGGATTTACAGTGGGTCGTACCCTGAACTTGTGACAAGGCTTTCTTGGCTCCCAACAAGCTTCTTCACCGCTCCAGGACCCAAGCCTCATCAACGTTCTGCGCGTCACCCACAAGACTCTCGGCCTGCTCTTGGGCGAGAGAATTTTCATTCGTTCCTATGAAACAAGCCTTGTGGACGCTTATGTGCTCTTGGGAGTGCCCGAAAAAGTACTCTCGGCCTCTTGATTCGTCTTGAGCCCGCGCTCTTGGTTCTTGGACGGGACCTAGCGTTGGGGAAAATCAGAATAGACCACAAAGGGATTGACGGACAAGCCAAGACTGCTACTCCAACTTAGCTCTTCCCCGTCATCCTTCTTCACAGCTCTTTTTGTCTGCACGACGCACTCTCCTTTCGCTGGACATTCATTAACCTACCCACATCCTACTCGTCGCCCACATTACCTACCTTCCGGTAAGGCGAGCATGCCTACATCACCTTCAAACAGGCGAAGCCTGCTCCCCACCTCTCTCCTCCTCTTACTCCCTTTCCTCTTGTTTCTCTCCGCACCAACGCCCTCCGCAGCACAAGTGACCGTCTACGGCCAGATCCCGCTTGCGCAAACGATCTCCATAGACCCGTCCGCCACAGACGCCCCAGTTGATGTCCAACCTGTGCCCACGCTCGCTGCATATGACGAGACACTACTTACCCCGCCGCCAATTCCTAACCCTCCTCCGGCGACGGCATATACACTGGAGCTCCAGCGGGAGGCGGCAAATGTGAATGGCCTGAGCATTCCTCACGTTGGAGGCGGGTTCTTTGGGTACTCGGTGGAGATGTCAGTTATTAATCAAGTCAGTGAGTACTGGTTTCAAACGAGACTTTGAGGGGTTCGATATTCTGACGATGGATGTAGTGGGCAAGAACTCGTCTTTTATCCAAGTGCCTTTCCTCAACTTGATGGCGAACATTGAGGAGCGTGCTGGGTCGGTTCTGATTCGTCTCGGAGGAAACACGCAAGAATATGCCACCATGGTTGACGAATTGCCAAACGGCAATGCCCTCGCCAAGGAAGACTCCGGGACAAAAGCGACTGTGAGTCCGTCTTCTTGCTTTGGTGGCCAACGAATATGGTTTTGAAGGAGTGTCATTTGATGTAGACGGAAACTCCAGCTGTGCTGTATACGAAGGACTTGTTCTACATCGCTGGGAATATCTCGACAATGGTTAACGTCAAGTGGTTCGTTGGTTCGTGCCCCTCTTTGTTAGAACGTATTGCGTCGGCGTTGATCATACTTGAGGATAGGTATTCCTTTCAACGATTCAGCGAACTGGCGTCTGGCTATCGCGGAGAACGCTCAGGAGGTCCTTGGTGACAATTTGCTCGCGATGCAGGCAGGAAACGAACCTGACCTCTACGCCCGGTAAGCTACACACATTTTTTCTGGTATTTTCTTGGACTAACTCATGCCTCAACCCCCAGCCATGAGAAGAGACCCTCAGACTACACTTTCTACGACTACTTCGGTGAAGTTGGAGACCTCATCCAGCATATCGACGCCAACGACAGGATCCCGGTCAAGAATAACCTTTTGGCGCCGAGCTTGGCCACGGGCGACTGGAACCCTGAAGATATCTGGAACATAGGTTTCCTCGAGGCTTACATTGACAGACTATGGGCCATCACTATGGAACAGTGCGTAGTAATATCTCTTGGCCTACAATACGCCTTCTGAGCGATTTGAACAAGCTACCCAACAAACAATTGCTTCGCCCAATTTGGCGTCGGTTCCCCCCAAGACCCCCAAACTAACTTCCCGAGCTACCTGACGCACAACGCCGGCATCGAACTCATACGTATTTACCTCAACACGTCGCGCATCGCCGCTGAAGCCGGCAAGCCGTTTATCATGTTCGAGACGAACACCGCGTCTTGTGGTGGGTTCCCGGGGATCAGCGACTCCTATGGCGCCGCGCTTTGGGCATTAGACTATGGTATGCAGATGGCGTACAGTAATTTCACCTACGCAATGTTGCATGTCGGAGGCCAAAATGTTTATTACAATGTGAGTTCTGAACATTTTTTGCCCTGGAATGCGGTTATTGATTGCTTATTTGTAGCCCTTCACTGGTATGCTTCAAACACTGCGTCATTTTTGTGGCTTCGGTGTCTGACTCTTGTATCTTCCAGCTCCTCCCACTAACCAAACCGCTTTCAACCAATGGACTGTCGGCGCCGTCTACTACTCGACACTTATCATGGCCGAGCTCTTTGGCAAATCCAACACCTCGCGCATTGTCGACCTCTGGGGCAACGCCGGCAACGTCTACACACCGTCATACGCAGTCTACGAGAACGACGTTCTCTCTAAGGTTGCTCTGTTCAACTACGTGGATGACCCAACAGGAGGCAGTGACTTGACTGTCGGGATAAGCGTTCCTGGAGCCGGAGTTCCGAATACCATTAGGGTTAAGTACTTGGAAGCCTCATCTGTCTCAGTGAAGACCAACATCACCTGGGCCGGTCAGGTGAGTTTTTCGCCCGCCAACGAGTTACACAGAGTGCTTATTTGTCGTCGTCAGACATTCGGCAACAAATACGAAGTCGACGGACGCCTCCGTGGCGAGCTGAACGTGACGACCATTCAATGCGACCGTGTCGCCAACGTCTGCCAGGTCCCTGTGAAAGCGCCGGGGTTCGCACTCGTGTTTATGGAGGACGATGAAGCGATCAGCATCGGGCAGGCTACGCAGACGTTCGCCACCACTGCACGCACACGCTCGCACAACACGGCTACAGTCGACCAGCAGGTGCTCGCGACCTCGAACGGGCATTCGGGGAAGGACAGAGCCCTCAATGGGATTGGGAGCACGAGTGTAGGATCGGTTAGTGCTGCGACGAGGCTGAGGCTCTTGCAAGGAGGTGTGCTGACTGTGGTTGTGGGGATGGTGGGGGTGTTTGTGTTAATCATGCGGTAAATTGTGAGCACAGGGCCCGATGTACCCTATATACCTTCTGTAATTAGACTCTTCAATGGACACTGCTAACAGGATGTCGACGAAGTGTTAAGGAGAGAAAAAGAAAGAAACCTAGTAAGTTCTGACCATCGTAATATGCTGAAATGAATCCTGTTGCATAGAGGGGGATAAAATAATAAGATAAGGAACAGTGAGACGCATGAATGCGAGATCAGAAAATCAGCTAGGCGAGTATGAGTAACTGGTCTGGGCTGCTTGACAAAAGAGTCTTTCAGCGCCTGAAATTCTGCAGAGTTTGCAAATGGGTTTTTTGGTGTCCACATTTTTAGTCTTGCTCCAGTGGTGGCATCAGCAGAAAGGGGGTTAGGGTGTTGACGCCCGATTTCCGCATTTGAGATGGGGAGGGGTTCAGTCTGCGTAGGAGTTCGGACTGTGTCAATCCCAAAGTCAAAGTAGAATGATGTTTTATTGGAGAGATGTGCAGGAGATGGGCTTAATGTATAGATATCGAGGCTCAGGAAAAGAGGAGAGATGTAACGGTGGATACGACATATGAGCGTGTTGAATCATGGGTTGAAGGCGGGCATATTACAACAGAGTCCGTAATCAAGGAGTGCAAGAGAGCAAGGACAAAACAAGAGGAAAGTGCTCAGAAATGTGCCGGACCTTTCAGCCAGAGCACATCACGCATGCCTCCTTGTTCTCTAGCGAGCATTGTAACTTCGCATCCTCGAGCTCGCGCTCGTGCTTCCTGATCAAGGCAGCTGCGAAGTCAGGGTCCGCCTCTGCCGCCTTGCGCGTCTTCTCGTCGAGGGCGAGCGCATCGAGTTGCACGGATATCGGATCAACGGCGGTGGCTGCCGTAGAGGCGGAGGTCGCCGATGATACGGAAAATGTGCTGGTGCTGGGTGCAGGAGAGTCGAACCTCAGTGGTGCAGGTGAGATGGGCTCTTGCTTGATGGCGATAGGAACAAATGCAGGGGCCGGGGTTGCCGGTGCCGTCGTAGCAGCAGAGGAACGGACCGGAGAGGCTGAGACCGAGGACGACGGCGTAGGGATGCCATTCGGACGCACAGCAGGTCGGCCAGCAACAGCGGCCCTGTTCGCAGCTCCCTGCTGCTGCTGGAGTTTCGCGTCCTTCAACACGCTCTGGTCGACTGTGAACTGGATCGCCTGTGCCGCGGGGCGTGTACGGAGGTAGTACATGCCCGTCTTCAGACCCTTCTTCCATCCGTAGAAATGCATGCTCGTTAGCTGGCCCATCGTCGGCGCCTGCAGGTGGACGTTGAGCGACTGCGACTGGCAGATGAACGCCCCGCGGTCCGCAGCCAAGTCGAGCACCTTCTTCTGCGAGATCTCCCACACCGTCTTGTAGATGGCCTTGACGTCGTCCGGAATCGTCGGGATGTTCTGGATCGACCCGTTGTGCGCGATGATCATGTTCTTCATGTTGTCGTCCCACAGCCCAAGGTCGACCAGCTCGCGCAGGAGCCATGGGCATACGATTTGGAACTCGCCTGCCAGCACGCGGCGTGTGTAGATGTTGCTCGTGTAGGGCTCGAAGCATTCGTTATTGCCAAGGATCTGGCTTGTCGAGGCGGTGGGCATGGGTGCAACGAGAAGCGAGTTGCGAAGACCAGTGCGGGTAATCTGCTCCTTCAGCGAAGCCCAGTCCCACAAATCGGTGGGGGTCACGCCCCAGAGGTCGTACTGCAGCTGCCCTTGCTGAGCAGGGCTACCCATCCACGTCTCGTAAGGACCATCACGAGCGGCGAGCTCGGAACTAGCTTCGAGGGCAGCATGGTAGATGGTCTCGAAGATCTTGATGTTGAGCTCCTTGGCGGGTAGGGAATCGAAAGGCATGCGAAGAGCCATGAAGGCGTCAGCAAGACCTTGCACACCAATGCCGATGGGGCGGTGGCGCATGTTCGAACGGCGGGCCTCGGGGATAGGATAGTAGTTGACATCAATTATGCGGTTGAGGTTGTAGGCGACGACTTTGGTCACATAGTGGAGCTTCTTGAAGTCGTATTCACCGTTAACGACGAAGCTGGGAAGGGCGAGGGAGGCAAGGTTGCAGACGGCAGTCTCGTCGGGCGAGGAGTACTCGATGATTTCAGTGCACAAATTAGAAGACTTGATGGTGCCTAGGTTCTTTTGGTTGGACTTGTCTGAAGAAAATAATATCAGAATTGGATGATAGGGCATTCGGATTCAACACACTGTTCGCATGATCCTTGTAGGTGATGAAGGGTCCTCCAGTCTCGATCTGGGCTTCGAGGATAGCGTACCAGAGCTTCTGAGCAGGAATAGTCTTGCGAGCACGACCTTCCTTCTCGTAACGCTCGTATAGAGCCTCAAATACAGCACCGTACACATCTTGCATGCCAGGAGCCTCATTAGGGCAGAACAGCGACCAATCACCGTTGGCCTCCACACGTTTCATGCTGAACGAAACGCATTAGACCTGAACTATGACAGAGAAGCTAGACGTCCTTACAAAAGATCGGGTACCCAGAGAGCGAAGAAAAGGTCGCGAGCACGGACCTCTTCCTTTCCGTGGTTCTTCCTGAGGTCGAGGAACTCGAAGATATCGGCGTGCCAGGGTTCGAGGTAGATGGCAAAAGCGCCAGGACGCTTGTTACCTCCTTGATCGACGTAGCGAGCCGTGGCATCGTAGGCCCGGAGCATTGGCACGATACCATTTGAGTAGCCATTAGTGCCAGCGATGTAGGATCTGTAGGCATTCTTCAGCATGTATTGTTAGAAAAAGTACAAGTGGCTTCGCTCACCCCGTGGCACGAATGTTATGAATACTCAAGCCAATTCCGCCAGCTGTCTTACTGATCATTGCACAGTTTTTGAGGGTGTCGTAGATCCCTTCGATCGAATCATCCTTCATGCAGACGAGGAAGCAAGACGACAGTTGAGGGTGAGGAGTTCCGGCATTGAAGAGAGTCGGTGATGCATGGGTGAAATATCGTTCGGACATAAGATTGTAGGTCTCGATAACACGGTCGATGTCTTTGCCGTGGACACCGACGGCGACTCGCATGATCATATGTTGGGGACGTTCAGCGACACGGCCGTTGATGCGTAGGAGATAGGAGCGTTCAAGTGTCTTGAAGCCGAAGCTATGAGAACCGTAAGCCATTCGGTCTTTCAAGGATGAAGAACAAACACACTAGTTGTAGCTGAAGTCGCGGTTGTAGATGATAGTTGAATCGAGGAGCTCGGCATTATCTTGAACAACTTTGTAAGTCTCCTTCGAGATCATGCCAGCTGGTTTGCCGTTCTTGGGATTTACTGCGAGATATTCAGCTTGCGATAACGGACAATAAGAGGCAACGCACCATATTCATACAGATCCTTCATCACTTGTGAAAAGCTCTTCTTCGTCTCTTTATGCAGGTTGGAGATGGCGATGCGAGCAGCGAGGACCGCATAGTCGGGGTGCTTTGTTGTAAGGTAAGCTGCAGTCTCAGCAGCAAGATTCTATTACAATCATTTAGATAAGGTAGAGCAACACATAGGGAGTTACTCACGTCGAGTTCGACTGTTGTCACTCCCTGATACACGCCAGCAACAACCTTCTGTGTAACCCTTTAAGAACATGAGGCTGATCCCAACGAAGGACAGCGACGAGCACTCACCCGACAGGATCCACGTAGTTTGTATCGAGTCCGTACGAAAGCTTTTGTATTCTCGCAGTAATCTAGGGTGGCGGGGTGGTCATCAATGGTTCATCATCGTCGCGACATGATGTGGACCGTACCTTGTCGAACTGAACGCGTTCCTTACGTCTGAAAGTCAGAAGTCAGCATCGTGTCCCTTCGTCGACGCGAATTTACGCGTCATTGTCTGGAGAGACGTACCCATCTACAGGAGACGCGTGGTGAGCAAAATTCGTTGAACAAGCCACCAACTACTGACCTCGTTTGAAGACGTATGCCATTGTATGTCGTTCTCAAGGGTTTCGATCGCGAATGGTAAGGTGTTCTGGAGGAGGCAACGGTATGTTGGGGTGGAGGTGGTGGTGGAGAACAAGGAACGAAACACGAACACGGGGAATTTTATCAACCAACTGACTAAGCAATTAATGTTTGGCTTCGCGTCTTTCCCACATTTCGTTCACCACGACTCTTTATTCGATTTCGCCTCCTGTGACCGGAGTAAAAATATACACTAAATTATATGGGGGATTACAGTAGCTCTCTATTACTTCTTCGCTCTAAGACGTAGCGTTTGACCGGCGCAATCCACCAGGAGGTTAAAGGCAAGCTGCAACCAAGGTTAGGGTTAGACGCGCTTAAATTAGAGACGCGTCAACAAGACGCGTTGTTTGCTCGTATAGACGCGTTTTCGTGTTCGTTGATTGATCTCGGCGCTCGCACTTACCATTGGTACATCTAAGCCCTGCCCTTTCCGGTCCCCGGTGCCCCCTTCCCTCTCGACGCGTTGAAGCAGGTTTTCCGCTCACGCGCCGCCTCTGAGCGCCTAACGACAGTGTATCCAGTCACGTAAGTGCCCAAATCCTGGGACGGCACGCTACGAGATATTCCAACTACAGGTGTTCCACCACTCCTGCTTTAAGTAACTTGAAGTTTAAGGTGACACCCCATCTACCGGATATGCGCAAATCTCACGATTTATGGCAGCTGAAGCGGTTGGAAGCCCTTTGTAGCTCTGGCGTTTAGCTGGCCATCTCGCCCTTGTTTCTCACCCCTGTGGATTCCCAGTGTAGCCCATCTTGTATCTGAAATTTGGATCATTTCTCTCGCACGCTCTGTGCGCCTCGAGATGCTCACTTTTGATTTAAATAAATGCCGGATACCCCATAAACCCCAGTTAGGGGATGGTATGGGTTTCTGCCTCAATTCCTCACCGCAGAGTTGCCCCTTTGCCACAGATGTCTATTAGGATGAACTTCATGTAGTTGTAGTACTTTACCTAAAGTAATATTTTGGGGTCTCTTGAAGAGGCGGAACACGACTCTGAGTCTATGTACCACTGCAAAGTATTATCACGTGAACACATTTTCTCGACGCGTCCGAGTCGGTCCCGCCGCGTCGCGCACACTCGCGCGTTCCTTTTTTGTTGTTCGCAGTCACCCGCCCTCTTGCAACAATCAATCTGTGCGACAACAAAACAACGGAAGATAAATTCCAAATTCTACACAGGACGTAGATCATGAACTACTCCAACCTCAATCACCCGATTCCCGAAGAAGTCTACTCACCAGATGCAGGTTCGTGACATTTCACTTTCTGGATGTCCTAAGATGTGCCAAAAAACGAAGGCAACGCCGAAGATACTCAAGCCGGCGAATCACAAAGGACGAGCTTCTGTAGAGTCTGGTTTCCTCCTCTCGAGCGGGGAAAGCGGTGACACTGCGATGCGCACTACCGGGACAAGCTAGTCAAGACCTGGTATGTTTATCTCGCTGTAAGACCAATAAATAATCTCACCTGAGTTTCATTTAGAAATCTCATTATGCAGTCTTTACCACTTAGGCTAGGAGGTAAAATTATTGACCTGCTCTTTCTGAAGGAGTGCGCTGTGGGTTGACTCGGACCACTGATGACACGAAAACATTGACCACGTCTGTCGGTTTTGTAGCCGCCAGCGACGATATCTTAGCCCACCTTGACTTCTATCGCGAAGTGAAACTGTTGGTCAACATCTACGGCAAACACTGTACCGCTTCCGAAGGAAGACCCAAAATGCGCAGTTTTATTCAGTTTTACCCAATTCTACCCACCAACTTTCAATTGTCGATAATATACATACCTCATGTCCAACATGGGAACAGCTGCTCCCTTTCTCCTTTCCTTGAAAGTTGAAGGCGACCTGCTCAAGCCAATCTCCCTTATGTGGGCCTGGCACTGGAAAAGGGGCGAGGAGCAAACCCCGGATATCGCAGTCGCCGGACCGGGCCCAATCCTTGAGACGCCCAACCAACGTGACCTGGGGTACTTCAATCACTCCCCTCGGCCGCCTCCACATTCCCCATCCAAGACTGGCAGCAATTGCCCAGGATAGGCCCGCGAAGCCATGGGTCTTCCATCACCTTCCAACCGGCTGCCGGGAACTTCAATTGCGGCTATATAAGCCTCCTCAGAAGAGCTCGGATACTTGCTTTCCTTCCCCATCTTTCTGGCGATATATCCTTTCCAATCGGTGCTTAAAGACCCTCGCCATCCTACTACCGTATCGCCGGAATCACTTCTGTAGTCGCTGCCGAGTACCATGTATCTCAAATCCCCGTATCCGGACCCCCCACCGCTTCCCGAAGTCAACGTTCACCACATCTTGTTCAAACGTCCGGACCAGGAGCAATTGCCAGACTACACAGTGCACATCAACCCCGAGACGGACGAGCGGGTGTCCTTTCGTGAACACCTCGCACGCATCGAGCAGCTGTCGACCGCCCTAGGAGCGCCAGTGGCGGAGGGAGGCTTAGGTTTGAGCGGCGAAGGCAGCGACGTGGTGGGCATCATGAGCGAGAACTCTTCGGTGAGTGTGACGTCGACGTGGTGCGATGCAGTGCCGAAGCCATTCGATCGATGCTGGCGTGGGTCGGCCCCCAGACCTCTCCAATCAGGGTGCTGATGTTCCATTTCTCAACCAGGACTACATCACGCTGGTTCATGCCTGCCTACGTATCACGACACCGTTCGCCCTTATCTCGTCCTACAGCACGCCGTTCGAACTCAAGCACGCGCTTTCGCTCACGAAAGTGACGCGAATTTTCGCCGATGCCAAATTCCTTAAGACCGTACTTCCGGTCGCGAAGGACATTGGGCTCGCGGATGATAAGATATATGTTATGAAGGACCCAGTGAAAGGGAAAGGTGCGAAGGAAGCCCAAGGACGGAAGAGCTTCTGGGGGTTTATCAACCTCGCCCGCAAACGCAAGATGCCTATTGTCGACGTGCGCCCTGCAAAGAAGGACACGCTCGCATACTTAGTGTTCTCGAGTGGGACGAGTGGGCTGCCAAAAGGTGCGTTTGTTTGATTGAGTCAGTGATTGACATTGATGTTCATGAACATGCAGCAGTGATGATCTCGCACGGCAATCTCATTTTCTCCATCGGCCAGACGATTGTGATGGGCCAGCTTGTTGCAGACGTCTATACAGTGAGTAATACGCGTTTGCTAGGGTGGAGCCGATCTTCTTACTGTTACTAGCCCCCAACACCGAAGACTCCTGAAGGTATTCCTGTTACGCTTGCATTCCTACCGCTTCACCACACCTATGGTTTGCACGGCTACTGCTTCCGCTCATGTCTGTCGCCGAATACCCTTGTCCTTCCTTCGAAGTGGGATATCCATGCTTGTCTCAAGGCTATTCCGAAGTAAGTCAACTTTGACCCACTTGTCTTCCGATGTCTGACGTTTGTTCATTTCCAGATACAAGATTACGAATTTGACTCTTATCCCGTCTGTAGTGCACCAGATTGTAAACCATCCGGGAATCGAGAAGGTGGACTTCAGCAGTGTGCTCAGCATGGGAAGTGGTGCGGCATACCTCCCTCCCGAGCTCGCGACCAAGCTGGAGAAGCTCGTCCCGAGTGACACGAAGTTCAACGAAGGTATGTCTAACATCAGCCGGAGCCCAGCAGAGTCGCCCTAACACGTTTTTCTATTTTTACAGGTTATGGCATGTCCGAAGCTGTATGTTGTTGTATCTCCTTTCCGACAATCCTGAGGTGTTAACTCCTCTTCAGACCATTGCCGCGATCACCCAGCCGTTTAACGGCATGCTTGGGGGCAAACTGCGCCGGATCAATGGGTGTACGGGCGTGCTCCTTCCGGGGATGGAGGCACGCACTGTTCGCGAGGACGGCACGGAGGCAGGGTTGAACGAGCCTGGCGAACTGTGGCTGCGCAGCGGAAACATCGCGATGGGCTACTGGAACAACGAGAAAGCGAATAGAGAAACGTTCGTAGACGGATGGCTGCACACGGGCGACACGTTCCGCATCGACGAGGAGGGGTACTTCTGGTTCGCTGATCGCGCCAAGGTGAGTTTCGCTCATCGAGTTTTACTTTTATTTCCGGACGACGCAACTGACGTGCCTCGCAGGATACACTGAAGGTCTCCGGCGCCCAAGTTTCTCCTGTCGAGATTGAGAATTGCCTTCTCGCGCACCCCGACAAGCTCATCACCGACGCGACAGTCGCCGGTGTCTCTGGCGGTCGCACGTCTGACGAGAAGGTCCCGCGCGCATGGGTCGTCCTCAGCCCCGCTGGCAAAAAGCTCGGCAAGGAGGCGGTCATCAAGGCGCTTCAGAGCTGGCACCAGGAGAACCTGAGCAAGTATAAGCACCTGCGAGGAGGTATTGAGATTGTTAGCCAGGTCAGTGTTCCCCTTGGTAGTTATAATTTGGGTTTGGGACATTATTGCTGACCAGATTCTTGATTCAACCGTAGATACCCAAGTCCCCAACAGGGAAGACGCTTCGTCGCGTGCTACAAGAGAAGTACGAAGCGCAGCTGAAGAAAAAGGGAAAGGCAAAGCTGTAACACGCTTTGATCTTGTCTCGGACTTGCAGGCTGTCAACTTCTCGCCACCATCACCTTATTTGGCATTGCGCATATTGAGGTTGATCTGACGATTTAACGACGCTTGGGAACACTGATGAAGGATTCTACTATGAATTATGGACATGAAGCGATGGCCTTGAGGATACCCACGAATTCATTTGAAGGAAAGAGCATGCGACGGATGGGAGACAAACATGAGCAGCGTGCTACAATCATAGATACAATGGGAGAATTTAAACGTTCATGCGTCGCGATGCAAGTAAATTAACTTCCCATCTACGGGTCGGATACAGGTGTGATATTTAATAATTCAATTTAGGACGAAGCGGTGTTGCCAGACGTGACTCCATCGGCGTATTGGCGGAGGTAGAATGCCATAGTCTTGTCTGAACACAGAAGCCCAGTTAGTTTCTCCAGCACGGTTTGGGTATCAACTGGCGACTTACAAACGCTGACGGCTTCGTTCGCGGCGATGTTCAGGTATTCCGGCATATCCTGTCAAGAATTTAAATCAGAAACCTTCCTCACCATACTTTAATGATGCATTGATGTACCGCATCCTTAGCGCCATTCTCAAGCCACTCTCGAATAGTGAGCGCGTCTTTGTGGGCCGTCGACCATACAGCAGAAAGTACGTTGATATTCCTGTTGAAAGCTGCGAGGTCACCAGTTTCCGCCTTGGTCAACTGCTCGCGGACGGAGCGGAGCTTCTGGATCGACGATTCGATGTTCGCGATTTCTTTCTGCTTGTCCTGGATTTTATTGCGTTTGTCTGTGGTCGGTGATAAGCAGGAGAGGGTAGAAGAGTAGAAGAGTAGCTTACTCTTGATGATGAAGCCGAGTACGAAGATCGAGGTCCACGAGAGGAGGAAGCCGACTCCAATGACACCAAGCTGAGAGTTTTGGGTAAGGCCACACAAAGTCTAGGTTAGACAAAGGTGCATACCATAATCGCCATCCCTAGTGGTCCTAAACAAAGTCCAAAGAGGCCAATTACAGGGAGGCCTACAGTGGCGAATATTGTGAGACCGGTAACCGCGTCCTCGAGTTTCTTCAGGTCTGCTTTCAAATTTGCGAGCTCCGACTTCGCGTTCTCCAGCTGCTTCTCTTGCTCAGCCTCGCGAACGGTGGCCCAGTTGACGAACGACTTGACGAAGGCAACGAAATCAGCTTTGAGCAGCTTGAACTCTTCCTCGGTGGTCTTGCTGTTATCGCTGAACCTTGTTGCGTCCTATGATCGTCTTAGCATGAGCGAGTGAAGGATCAACAAGGAAAAGGCTTACTGCGATGAAGTCGTCTAATTTCGCCTTCTTCTTGTCGATGCTGAGTGACGGGTCATTGCAGATGGGGATGATGACGGTCTCAAATCCTGAAGCCAACGACATAAGCATTCTGAAAGATCCATTCAAGCAGATCGCTTACGAAGGCCGTAGGTGGCAATGACGACAGCCAAGTCGGTGCTCTTGTTCAGGATAGTACGATATTTCTGCGAAAGTGGTAGGTTATCGACAAAGCAAGGGATAAATGTAAGTCGAACGCGTACATCATGAACAACCTTCAACCTGGGAACGAATGGGCCCTCCTCTGGAAGTCTGCTACCCTGGTCAATCTCCGCAAGGTCGACGGTCAAGCGCTGGAACATCTCTTCGATCTCCTTGGCAGCGTTCACTGCGTCTTCAGCCGCAGCCTTGAAACACTCTGTTGCCTCTGGGGTCGAAGCGGCCTTGGCCAGCTCGACGTTCAGAGCGACCTTCTGGGCATCGTCGTTGTTATACTCAGGGAGCTTGTCGGTGTTGGCGAGAATGACGTCGATGTGGGTCTCTGGGACGGACTCGGCGACGGCGAGCATCTTCTCGGCCGTTGGGTTAGACCCGAGCTTCTTCTCGATGGTGGCAATGACGGAGGCATATGAGGGAGGAGCTTCCATGTTGGTTGGACGACGTGCAGCGAATGAGGAGTAAAAGGAGGCGATATGGCTTTTGGAGAGGAAAGACGATAAGATATTATACCCGTCGACGAACTGGATAAAACAAGGATACCTTCCTATGTGAAAGTACAGTGAACGAGCCTTCGGAATTGGAACTCTAGCACACTCCCTTTCCGTCCTGCGGCGTTTCGATCATCACCCGCAGAAGGCACGCTTCATGACAGGACTTATGTTCCTGCTGCAACTCTGACAAAAGCCAGACTATTAAGGCGACACATCCCGCACGTGCGACGTCGAGATACACAATGGAAGGAGGCCAAGTGATAATCATCGGCGATCGTCGGGATCAAAATTGCCCGACTGTCCAAAAACCGCAATACTTTCCTATTCTGGATCAAGGACATGAATGCTGGCTGTCTTGATAGAGGCCACGAGTTCAGGATTTGCATTTGCTGCAAGGGAAGAGGAGAGGCACAAGGGGTACGCGCTAGCGATAATGGAGTATGGAGCATCAGAAGGCACAGCGCGGCTGGCAGGTCGGACCTAGACTTCAAGCTAAGTGTATGCCGTCGGCATTCTTATTCAAAGGAACTGCGGGGACTTCGACGCGATGTGGGTCTTAAACGAGTATCGCTGACTCGGTAAATTCGTAGGAGAGGCACACAGTAGCGATTTGACGTGAAGAACGGGCGATACGTCGCTTTCGGTGCATTCTTGTCTCCGGGACTTCGAGACCTCTTCGTACATTGATTTGACCAAAGCTCGGAGAGTGACCAGGAGAACTCTGCAGAACAAGCACCGTATAAGAGTCGGACGCGTTCGGACTTGATCAAATTCAGCTGTTCGGGCTACACTCACTTCCGCTCTCGCCTCTCGATTTCATCCTTCCACCACCATGAGCGCTGATGTTCCTCCCCCTTCTTACGACTCCGTCGTCAAAGAAATCAAACAACACGTCGACTCCAAGTCCTCCTCCGATGAGATCGTTGCCACCGCCCACAACCTCACCGACGAGCAGATCAAGGCTGTCATGGACAACGCTGAGAACGCCAAACCATTCACGAAAGAGGAGAAGGATGCCTTGATCAAGCAGCTTGGGAGGGAGCTCTCCTCGAAAGAGTCTCTTCCATACCTGCAGAAAAGTGCTGCAGATGCGGCTCGGGCATGCGGTAATCTTGAGGAAATCTTCTTGGGTTTAGCGGTGACGTTGGCATCGATCGACGCACAGAATGCGCATCCAAAGGAGGGGCCATTCACTCCTCGGTTGAAAGACATCCACGATGTAGGTAGTTTTCCCGCTTGGTCATCTTTCGTGACATTCACTGATAGTTGAACATTTCAAGAGCTTCCGCCGAACATTGCACAAGAGCACAGATTTGGCCGTGGTCATTGCTGCCTATGGTCTACGTAAGTGACATAGGTCTGAGGCGCTCGTTGAGCTAATGACGTACCATATTCAAAAGGATTCGAGAAGGTCATCATCCCGATGTGCCAGGACCCAAGGCTGACGACGAAACAGCGCGAAGACAAACTCGGCCAATTCATTAAAGTAAGCTCCTTTCATTGAGCCATTGCGCTCTCTTTACTGATATGCCTTCTGTAGGATGCCGAGAAATTCAAGGAGAAGTCTGAAGCCATGAACAAAGAGTTCGAAGACCTCAAAGGGACGTTCGGCGTCTTCGTCGGGTCCTTCAACCATTGGTCCTCCGACAAGGAGGAGCAGTTGAGTAAGGAGCTGACGGAGGCGAAGGCGCAGCTGGAGAAGGTCAAGCAGGAGCTGAAACGCTTGGAGGATTTCATGAAGCAGATGTTCCAAGGCGGCATGTTTTCGGGTGGCTGGACCAACCTCATGGAAATCTTCGCGATCGTCCTATCGACGGGGGCTTTCCCGACGATCTTGTTTGTGAGTTGCGTCGTGTTGCTGATCCTTTATTCTTGGTTGACGATATCGACAGTCGCTGGGCATGCTTTTCGGCCCAGGTATCGGGGCTATGGGTCTTCGTATGGCAATTGAAAGTGAGTGGCATGTTAATAAGGCCTTTGTTGGTGTTGTTGACTCTATGGTGCAAGACCGTAAGAAGAAAGTGGATGAGAAGCAAGCTGTGGTGAATCACCTGGAGGATAAGATCGGAAATATCCGAAAGGCTCGAGAACGCTTGAACAAGATCGGAGAAGGCGACCTAGCCAAGTTCAACGCCAACATCAGTGTCCTAAGTGGATTCTGGCAGTGCGCGAAGAACGACGCAATCGAGGTCAGGGAATGGCTTGAAGGAGGGGCGAAAGATGCCGTGCGTAGACTGTCTTCGTACTGGTCATCGTAATTTCAGGTGCTAATTGCTGCTTGACTTCTAGGATATCCCAGAGTATATGATGGTCTCTCTCGACGGGTCTATTCGAGTCTGTAAGTTCTCAAAATGAGTTCTCAAATGTATCGTTTTCTGTTCTGAACACCCATTCTGTACTTCTAGACGAGAGAATGGCGGCGTACCTGCGTGCATATGCTGACGGAGTTCAATCTGTGGGCGTTCCTGTCCCACAGTAGATTGCTTTTGTCGATAATTGTAGTTTGTAGAGTAAGTTCGGGCATATAGATTTGAATTTGCATTGGAATTCGACTTCGTTTCATTCAAGTCGATCATGCTCGTGGTTTATAGGTGCAAAGAAGAAGTTGAAAAAGGTTTCAATGGAAGGAGCGGGCCGGGCCAAGCACAAACAAACCGAATTCTGGCGTCATCGAATTCCAAGACGCGTCTTTCTCCTTCCTCCACTCAACTTCGACATAACAAATTTGAACAGAGGATATCTCATCATGGTTTCACAAGAAACAGCGATGCTTTTATACCATGGTAAGCTGTCCAGAAATCTAGGAGAGCTACTGGCTTACCTTTGACAGAGGGGCGAAAATGGTTCACGATAGGTTCCGTGCTCACAGCGCCGGTCCTCCTGGTTATAAACGCGCCATTCGGGCGATTTAGCCCACAAGACCAGTCGAGCAAGCTTCTACTTGACGGTATCAAATCCTGGATCGTCATGGAGCTCGTTTCACCCGTCATGTTCACCTACACTTTCCTTACATCCCCGCTCTCCGCGACACCACCTCCTGTATCGTCCCTAAGCACCCCTCAAGTTGTGCTAGCGGCATGCTTCTTGATTCACTATGCCAACCGAGCTCTTCTATCTCCCTTGCGCACTCCTTCGCGCTCCAAATCCCACTTCGCTGTCCCTGCAAGCGGGACAATCTTCAACGTCTTCAACGGCTCCATCATGGGCGCGTATCTCTCCTCACCAGCCGCAGGCACGTACCTCGCCACTGTCAGGCCGATATTCTATATCGGGCTCGCGTTATGGGCGGTCGGCTTCGTGGGGAACGTCTACCACGACGAGATCCTACTCAACATCAGGAGAAAGGCGAAGAGCAAGGCGAAGGCTCCAAGTGGGAAAACTCAGGGAGAGCACTATTCCATCCCGTACGGCGGCTTGTACTCCATCATTTCCTACCCCAACTACTTCTGCGAATGGATCGAGTGGTTTGGGTTCGCACTCGCTGCGAGCCCTCTCCCGTTCACCCTGTCCGAGATCGCCGACATCTCCATCCCATCCGTCTTTTCATCGTTGTTCAACCCACAAACATACTCTCACATCATCGCTGCACCTGGCAGCCAGTTCTTCCCCACCCTATCACCACCTTGGATATTCCTGGCCAACGAGATTGTGCTGATGCTCCCCAGGGCGTATCGTGGCCACCAGTGGTACCAGAACAAGTTTGGAGATGCATACCCGAAGAACAGGAAGGCGGTCGTTCCGTTCGTATTTTGAAGATACATGTGACTGGATGGACTATAGGCTTCATTACACACAAAATATGGCGATCTGACTGTTCCTCCCGTGCAATTGAAGACCGCTTATGGGTGTTCATCAAGGAAAAGAAATTGACTACTTCTATCTGAACACGAAGGCGCGAGGACGGGTATTATCTCTTTGCACAGTGGAAAAGGCTGTGGATAGTACCCTAACGCCGGCCACAACGCAATCCGCCCCTCCTGCTGGCAATGCGTCATTCTTTCACGAAGGACCTCTATTCGCACGATCACATAGTGTCCTCAACGAGCGATGACTAGCCCAAGCAATAGGCTTTCTTATTCTCGCCACGCAGAATGTCCTCTGCCATTGTATCCTGAAGCTTGAACGTTGAACCCTTATCTTGCCATCATATATCTCCAAAAAAAGTTTATTAAGCAAGTTTCGGTCGTGGCCATTTCTGCTTATAGGGGCCAATGGAAGAAAATGATCCTGGAGGCCTAAGCCATCGTCTTGGTCGACGACAAAAAGGAAGTGTAGAAGGTGATATTCAAGTTGGGCGTTCTGAATAGATCTAATGCCTAATGTCCCCCAGTAACACCCCTCTTCGTGTCAAGATTCTCATAATCAAGTAATGCTACTTGGGTCAGAAAAATAAGAGTCATACACATTCAGTTCCATTCATTGTAATACAGATTCAAGCCCCCTCCAAGTTCCTCTGCATAAGCACAGTGTTGGTGGCGAATCTCGACTGACCTAATCGAAGTCCGAATCTGAATCTGAATCCGGATTCGTGTCCTCCAATCCGAAAAGTCGTTCATACACCGCTTTAACTATCGCTTTCCAGGCCCTGCTGCTATCGGAAGTCTGGCTTCCTGGCATAACCCACGGAAAACAGAATCGGTTATGGGGTCTACCATCGAATTGGTGGCAATCATCGAATAATACTGGTCCTTTCGCCCTGCATACGAAGTCGAAATAAGTCTGGCATTGGTAGCAGGAGAGGCCAGGAACGACTATGTATGGAACTATGCCAGGCGTTTCAAGCAAATTCCTTGATGTCAGATGTTCGAGTAGGACAACTTCAGCGTGAGCAGCCGCTTTGAATACGATAGGCTCTGTATGCTCGCCAAGGTGGTACTCTTGGGTGATTTCTCCCCAGAGCTCTTCAACTTTGCGGGAAATATCATGTTCTCTCGCTTTGTGGTCGCTTATATCCGGGAGTAGAGAAAACGTCTCCCGTGCTGCAGCCTCCCAATCGGCCTTAGATATCGGCAAATTCACATGGGAATCGAGGGTGGAATTGGGAACGAATTTGACGCGGTCGAAGGGAAGTGAGAATAGCTTTCGATTGTTCTCGGCCATCGGTTCCTCGAGAATATCACTGAGACATCTTTTGGCCTTTGTGATCCTTTGGATGATGTCAAAGAACTGTCGGGACTCGTCAACTCGAGCTGAGATAGTAAGTAAAGATATTCGCGCGAAGAGATGAAGGACGCTTACCGGCGGCCAAGTAAGATCGCACGTTTGAGAGGAAGCATATGTCAAGCTCCTCTGTCTTTAACGAGACCTCATTGGGACTGAGATTCCCTTCGCGTAGAATGTTGAGTATTTCTGCGGCTTCTTTGAGAGCGTGGATAACATCGACCGTAGCACTTCGCGTCGAAGCGGGTTTCTCGAGAGTTGAGATGAGAAGTTGGATGGTATCGTGCTGTTCTCTAATGTATTTGATAATCACCGGAGTGGAGTACTTTTCCACCACCTCTTCAAGCTCTTTTTTGATGTTCGTAAAATTTCCTTTGTGATCCTTGGATGATTCCCAATAGAGCCGAGATTGTTCTTGTAGGTATGTCCAGACCTTTTCCACAAATAATGACAGTGTTGTATGGTTGTCTGACTGCGCTAGGGGTTTCGCGTTGACGACGAAATATACTTGGATGCCTTTCTGATCACAGATTCTGAAGGCTAAACCGGCAACCTCTTCAACTATATTAGAAGATAGGTGAAGAAGGTTTAGCATTAGATGTGAAAGAGCGGTGCCATCCCATCGAGTCAGGGAACCATCGGGCTCGTCTATGTTCTGATAACTGTGCGAGGTTGGTTTGCGTGCTTCAGCGTTGGACGGGAGTGCACCGAGGGCGCTAACGACGGGGGAAGCAGATTCCATGTGTGGAGTCAGAGAGACTTCAGGAGTTGGGCTGCCCATGAATGGACTTGGCTCTTTATATACGTGTCAATCCGTGGCGTTGTGTGGTCGTGGTCTTTCTGTCTGTGGCACAATCGTAGCGCTGCCAAGCCATCGCAAGACAATCAGAGTGAGTGCTGATCGCGTGTCCAACGGATTGCCTATTTGGAAATGAGTGGCGTGATTTCGAAGATATGTAGGTCCAAATTACAAATTACCAACAGGTTGACTAATTGTTTGACTGACTTTCGAGGGCGTCTGTTGTTGGCTATCAAACGCCACAAGATCCCGCATAGAGAACAAAAGGAAACAAAAAGAAACAATAAACACAACAACAGCAGCTTAGGCTGTGCTGTGTGCGGCGGCGGCTGACGCCACCATACAACAGGAGCGAGGATATAAGAGGACCCCTTGCCGGGGCGAATTAAAGCAAGAGAGCCTCTACTTGCACTGAAATATGCTCTCGTCGACTCCCAGCACCCAGAACATAAACGTTGGCCCCAACTTGAGGCTCGCAATCTCTTATGCCATAGGGATGGCTTGGGCAGCAAAAAGGACACTGCTGGAAGAAAAAGAAGCAGTGTTGGAAGAATCTGCCACTCAGGAGCCCGGTATCGGACACAATGTTTCGAAAGAACAATTTGCAGACTCGTTCGCAAGTTGCTTTGTTTTAAGTGGAGACAAGGATGTTGTGGCTGTTGCTTTCCGGGAAAACTCTAATGGCATCACAATACTCATGGCCAACAACAAGCCAGACTTGGATGCTGATGCTAAAAGACATGTCCAGTTGGTCTGGTTCCTGCTGAGACAGCTGGCACAATCCCGCGGAAAGGAGGGAATTTCCAGCATCAACCCAGATCCAACCCAAAAGGCTCAGCGTCTCAAGGAGTCACAAGATACAGCCAAATTAATAACCGATCTGCAGAAATCACTTTACAAGCAAAATCTCGACAAACAGAAGAAAAGAATCAATAAAGGGCTCTCAGGTTTCAAGAGTTTTATTAAAGACTTAGGCGAGATCCAGGATCAGAATCTGAAGGAGGAGATACAGGGCGAAAGGATTTTAGAGAAGCTTCATACGCTTCTCATGTTACTTGAAAAAGTTTCACGCAAAGATGTCAAGGCTGATGATTCTGTTGTTGAAGACATGAAACTTATTTCGAAGTCATCCTATGACCTGAGGGACTGCAAATTCTCAGCATATCTATCGTGCTTCATATCGGAGTGTCAAAAGGACCCTCGGTACGTTGTTGAGCTCACCTTCTCCATTGATGTGGTCTCTGATCAGCAATCATATCTAGCTCCAAGTTGTATGGAAAGGAACTGCGAAAGCATGCTAGCTTCCCGATACACCGCTATCTTAAGAAGATAAACGCCATCGGCTTGCACTTCGCATACTTGGTGCATTTTTCAACTACACCAACAAGAAGGCCGCTCTTCAAGCACAAAGAGAAATTAGAGAGCTGGCCACAGAAAACACAATTAATTCGAGTCTCTAAAGATACTGCAGACCCAGAATGGCAGCAATCTCTTAAAATTTTAGGGGCACAATTCCCCGACGATGGCAAATTCCAAGAAGCGCTCACGACCGCAGCGAGAAACTTCGTTAACACGCTTTCCGAGGACCCCGCAATCTATTCTGGCCTCACCCCCCACTGCGAGGTCAAGATTTCGGAGAAAACGGAGAACATCAGATCTCAAGAAAGACCCACTTACGTAGGAGTCAGCAAACTCTCTTGCGCGGGTTGCAATATATACTTCAAAGTCCGCAACACGAAAGTCCGGACAAGAGGTGCTCATGGAAAGTACTATTTTCCGTATGTCGTTCCGACATCCACCAACACTTTGAAACTCCGCGAAATGGTGAAGTTATTGATGGAGGATTTCAGAAAGCACATCCGAAGAACTGCATTCTCGCCTGGTCGATCAGAAAGTACGATACCGGGTGGAGAACAGTTCGATATGTTCAAATTCTTGGTTGAACTTCAGTAAAGCCAAGCAAAGTAGAGGAAACATCGATATTTGCCCGGTGGTAGTTTCGTCTGTATGGTAGGGAAGACAAATATGAAGGGGATCTGGACCATTTGTGAGACTGTGACATACCGAATACTTAGATACACGCAGGTAGTTGAGGATTTCCCCGTAATGTGAGCCGTCTCATTCCTTCAAAAGAAGGCGGAAAGGCAGAGTTGGGACGAATAACAGTATTGGGCTAGCAGAACTTTCGTTGCCAGCAGGATGAGTCGGGAGTAAGTATGCATGTAGCAGGACCGCGCGTCTAAGTCAAAGCGGATCGGGCCGGGTCAACTTAAAGATTGCGTCATCTTTTCTCAGCCTGCCCTAAACGCTATCCACAGTATAGATACCCCCGTTCCTCATCTCCTCTTCTCTGGTTTGCTCAAGGACGAGCCCCCCCAGTGCCAGGTGCCCGTCTCCTCCTTGGTGAATCCGTTGATCTTCTTTCCCCGAGATCCCTTTCTGATTCCCGTATCATCAGGATTAAGCCCTCCTTGTCGCGCGTAGCGAAGGGCGGGAAAGCTCAGTACGTTTCCTTCCCACTCAGCGCTCCGCCTAGATGCTGACAGCATGGGCATGTTCAGGGGATCGAAGGAGTCGGGCGAATAGCCTCTCACTGGTCGTTGGCGCCGGTAGAATCCCTTCCGGTCCCACTGGTCCGTCCCTCCCACCACCTTGCCAGCTCAATCTGACCCTTGCCCACAACTAGATATTCCTCTGCATTTTTGGGACGCCCCGATTCTGCACTGGAACAAGCTCCCCTGACGTCTTGCTTCATTTTGATGAGGTCAGCGTTATCGGGATATCTTTATGTCGCAGTAAAACGGCGAGTACGCCGTTTTACTGCGGCATAGCACCATCAAATCAAATAACCCAGGCCATCTTATGTTCATCCCCCGTTGGGCACGGTATCACGCACTTATCGTACTCTACGCTTTTTTGGGAGGTAGTTGGGATCCAGTCAATTCATCCTCGTTGTCCCCTCTGCCATTGTGTGTACTTGAGATCGGAGGATCCACTGCCCAGGTCTTGAGTGACTGATTCAGACCTGTCTTATAGGTTTGATGGCTGTTGAAGTTTCATTCTCTGCAACGTACGGCGAGCGCCTAACGGTAGGATCGCGCTGTCCCGTGTGGATCAGGTTATCACTTCTCATGCTACTTTCTAACTCTTTTTGCAGCATTTGAGGACAGTAGCTTTCGCAAGGCTAGGACAAGCCTAGGAGGGGAGTCCACTCATTCCCTCTTCCCGAGACACACGAATCTAACAGCGAAATGGGGATTCCTTTCAGGTTCGGACGTTCGAATGACTCGATGAAAGTCATGACGACTTTTTCCCTATAAAACGAGTAGGATCTGCGAGAGCTACGAACAACTTTTGGTATCCAACCATGCCTCCTACTACCACCCAAATAAATTTCTCCGAAACGACCCTCACGCACTACGCCGGCTTCTATGCTACAGTCATCGACGACGTCTTCATACCAGAAGAGTGTCTGGAGCTCATCTCCTTGGCCACTGCTTCCGGATCCTGGATACCCGCGGCCCTCAGCGCCGAAGGGCCTGTACAGACTGTTCACAGCAACTTCAGGAACAGCGATCGGATTCTGTATGTCGATGACGCTGTTTCGCAGAGGATCTATGAGAGGCTTCGGCCGTTCATTGCAGAGGATATTGGAGAGATCAAGGCAGGCAATCGATGGGATGGGATTACGGGCAAGATGGGGCGGAAGCAGGGGCCTACCTGGAGGCTTGTAGGGTCAGTCAATTACAGCAAATGGATTATCATTCTCGAACTGACAGGACGTTGTATGGGCAGAGTTAACCCCCGTCTAAGCTTCCTCCGGTACGGCCCAGGGCACTACTTCAAGCAGCACTGCGACGGCCTGAACGATCTCGTATGCGACAACGGCCGTGTGCATAAATCCTTCGTCACCCTCCATCTCTACCTCAACGGCTCGGACAGGCCCTTTTCCGACTCCAACGATCCCGACACCAACACACCCTCTCCCTCTGACCTCAAATTTGTGAAACTAGCAGAAGACGACCCCGACGAACCTCTCGCTGGGGGTGCGACACGTTTCTGGACCCCAGATAAGAAGCATTTCCTCGACGTCCTCCCGAGGGTGGGCAGGATGCTGGTGTTCCAGCAAAGGATGTTGGTGCATAGCGGAGAAGAGGTGACGGCTGGGGTGAAATACACGATGAGGAGCGATTTTATGTTTTAACAGGTTTCATAGGACATCTTATGGGCTGCATGTTGGTTTACATTTCAGCTTCAAACTTCAGTCGAATCAGAATCAGTGCACCAGAAATTCAAGTATCATGTAAGTACAACATGACAATATGAACGGCAGCTATAGTCGGCTGGAAAAAGGACCAATCACGTCCGTGGGGTTTGCCCCAATCTTTCAACTCACCCACTGCGAGTCCGAGCTCGACACGTTTGTCGTTCGGCAGCCACCCCAAAACTCTAACAGACAAGGTCATGGTTATGTATGTTGCGAAAAGCATCCAGACCCTTCCGTCCCGAAATCCGTCATGATTTGCGGAATCAAATCTACGCGGACCTGCGACTTTGACCAACACCACGTCCAAACCTTCTGGCAGCGCTTGCTTGAGGCAGCCTCGAGGCACCGTCCTGCATCTTCTCCCACCACGAACGACGGGAGATTACCTCAAGCACACGTACACTGTGGCTCTCAATCTCTGACGACGTTCGGCTTGAAACAAAATACAACATGTATCTCAGCTCGGTGCCAAATGGACCCCTAGGCCTGCCATCGCACTCAACAGCTGCAGCGGCGATGGTGCAGGTCCTAAGGCAGGCAGAGAGCGACTGGGACTGGCTCGTGCGAGTGTTAAGGCACTTGTGTACGTCTTCGTCCTCGTTCTGAGCTTGCTGAAGGCTGAGATGAATTGTTGCGAGTGTTTAGGGGAAGCTACATTACATGGGCTGCAGGTCATGGAGTGGTGGGCGGAGCACCTCGCACCGTCGTTGTGTGCGTGGATATATGCGTATGTTTGAAGGGGATTTGAGGCTAATTAGGCTTTGTTTTCTGCAGCATGGACGATGCAGCATCTCGAAGACGCGTACGCATTCGGTATGTGTTGCCCCTAACTTTTCGCCCATACGCGTCTCACCTGCTCCGTCCTGTCTCTTCTCCAGTCCAACAACATCCTCACCCATTCCACATCCTCGCCTGGTCCATCTTCTTCGGGCCCATCATCGTGCTCGTCCCCTGCCTCCTGCTACTCGAGCTTTTCATCCTCTCCCTCTTCCACCTCTCCTCCATCACGCACGGGCTCGCGCCAGGGTGCGTCGAAGACCGATTCGAGGGGCTCAAGGAGCACTTCATGGATACAAGAGAGTCGCTATTCGCCACGGTTGAGAGATGGACTGCGGTGTTTAATAAATGGACGACGGAGTGTCCGCCGTTGCTTGTGTTTCGGGTCGTAGCGGCGCTGGTGGGGACGGGGATCTTGGTAGGGATTTGGTGTGAGTGGGAGTGATAGAGGTTTCTTCTGCATGAGATGGTTTTTCTTATGTAGAAGACAGGCTCTGAGCATCAGGTTTCCAACTTATAACATATAATTTAGTTTTCGCTGTTGTTCCATGGAGTTACAGGGACTCTACCATCAATCCTCGCAAATTTCGATCTCCTAAAGGAATCACTGGGGTAGGCCGAGGAAATGGTCTGGCAGCGTATTACCCAGAGCGTGAAACGTTTCTGCAGCATATTTTCTATACCCACAATTACACCTTGCAGCGTCTCTATTGCCAGACTTTGTGTACTGCTTTCGGTACGATCTTCGGAGACTGCCGACTGAGTCCAAAGGTGGGTGATGGCTACGCACAGTCTAGGTCACGATAAGTCCGTAAAGCGGCAGTACGTCGGCAGACTGGCGATCAGCGCGACCAGCTGTCCCTGTCACGGCGTGGGAAGGAAGCAAGCCCCTCCCCGTTGTGAGACGATAACCCCCCTCAACACCAGTTGGATCGGGGTCCAAATGACGCTAGCTATAATATATGTCATGGAATCCTCGGTTGTCGAATTGGGAGTGACAAAAGACAAAGAGTGAAAAACTAGGTGTACACCTTTTGGCCTAGTGGTTCAATCGCGCTGATAGCTGCTTTATCGTGTGAAATCCCACAAAGTCAATGCTCTAAGTCATCGGTTCAATTCCTGAGACCTACAAATTCCAGTGGCGTAATAGCTTCCTTGCCTAGATTGTATAGCTTCACCAAGGGGTCAAAATTCGGTTTTCCGTCGCTCATGCACCACATACTCGATCACGCATCCAAGCAGTAATTACTATGCTCGACGCCATTGTGGCTTGCCGGCGGCGTCTTAATGCTGTCCCAAAACTGAGAGAGCGACCAGAAACCGCGGAGGAGTCGAGATATTTGTTCGGGAGTGAATGAATTCGGCGGGAAGGAGAAAGCAGTCGATTGGGGTTCTTTGAGGCTTGGTGACTAGCAGCTCTGCGTAGTATACCTATTGTCAATAGACGTAGATAGGCGAGTCAAGTACTAATTCAATAGCTGTTTGATCTCACGGTTGGAAGCGACTCAAAGGAGAACTTAGTTCACGCGGGAATTTGGGGTGTAAGAGATATGAATTGTAAAAGGTGAGGAGGCTCGCATTCGAGGGCTCCTTATATACATCTCATGTACCTAGAATAGTTCTACATAATTCTACATAATTCCTGTTCCACCCCGATGAGAGAACATACTAGAAAATGAGAGACGAGTGTCGAAGGTTCGACCTCGGTCATCTCGGCGAGAGCAGCTGTGCTCCCGGCTTGCCGGATTCCAACAATACCCAGCCCTGCAGCCTCCTCAGGTTGTGAGACTCGGCAAAGTCGAGCATCTCCTTTGACGAAATGTCCGAGTCCCGAGAAGCCAGCCTGCGAATGCACTCCGTTGTTGTAGCCTTCAGGACTCCGCCGAGGTTTCGTTTCGCGGAAAGAGAGAGGATCCGTTTGATTTCATCGAGAGGACGTGAAATAAGCGCCTTGCAAAGTGTATTGACAGCTTCATTTGCCCAACGCTCGTGCTTGACAAACGTATATTTCTGGGCCATGTATAGTAGACGAAGCATCCTCTCGAAGTTGGCCTTCAAGGGGTCGTTTTGGTGAGTGATTTCTTCTGGACTGAGAGGTTTGAGCAGGCTTATGACGGGCGACGAGCAAAGTGGATGCTCACTCTGCAGTCAATCCCCAGGACAAAGCGCGGAAGTCCTCCACGTCCTCATCGACCTGGAGGATATCCCGTTCGTTGATTGAGCTGATATCTTTATCTGCAGGTAATTGAAACAGCTCTCGAACTCCAGAGCAGTGCCTCAGAAAGAGAAAACGAGGGAGCTAGACCAAGTGTATTTAATGATAGAAGAGAAAACAAAGGAACGGAGACTACCTTGAACAGCGTATTCCTAACGACGATAACCCAGTTTCTTTCATAATAGTACTCTCCGTCGCGCGTTCGTCGTGGTTCTTCGACTTGAGGAGAATTCGGAGGGGCATTGGCGCTGACTGCTAATCGCTTTGCTGGCCGTTGAGCGGAGACCTCCGCAAGGTCTTCTGGGCTTCTGGCACGCTTGTAAGATGAAATCTCTTCAATCTTCACTGTTTCCTCTTCGGTTTTCACTTTTTTCTCGTGGAGGATGTTGAGGGTTGGTACGGAACACGAATCCAGGAGAATGGTAGTACTGTTGAGTGCAAACTCTGTTAACCCAGCGACGAAGAACAGAGAGGACAAACTCACAGTTATGTCATGGTCAAGGTGAGTTGTAGTGGACCCGGGGTGTAAAATCTGTTGCTTCGACTGACGGGGACAACGAAGCCGCGTATTGGTACTTAGGAGAACAACTCGTTGGGAGATCATCGAACGGGTTTAGATAAGCAGAGTAGAAATCTGTAAAATAAATCGAAATTACGGTATCTAGCTCATACAAAAGAACAGAAAAACCCAGCAAGAAATACAATGCGAATTGACTCAGAGAGAGGAGGGGTTTGCTATGAATTTGGCATGCCGAGAATCTCTCGCGTCCAGGCAGCATCTTCGGCTACTCGGGACGCAAAGAACGGTCCCAGGACGTCGTTCAGCTTGCTGAGGATAGCATTGTCTGCCTCTTTTGATGGATCGAGGCCATCCGCCATGTCTGATGTCGGTTGAAGCACGCGCAGAGCGTCCTGTGGTCCGAGATATCAACACTTGAAGAAAGAAAGAAAGAAACGGAGAGCAGAGAATGCGCACCATGACAGAAGTTACCAGACTATAAGATTGGTTCCCACCACTATTGCTCTCCCACTCCGCCGCGACGACCTTCGCGCCTCCTCCTTCCACCAGGCCCTTCCGAACAGCTTCCTTACCGACGCCGACGAGCCCGCGGATGGCGCCTTCGCGCGTACCGTAGCCCTTTCCTGGCGAGATGAGCGCGAGGAGGAGGGTCTTCATTATACGTGGCGAGAGGGAGGGGTAGGTCGTTGAGTGTTGGGTGAGGAGCTTGGAGAGGGTTTGCGAGGCCGTTGTGCGGAGTTGTGTCGAGTGGCTTGCGGGTAAGGAGGAGTGTAGGAGGATGGAGAGGATCGGGGGGAGGAGTTGGTGCAGCTACGGTCAGGTTAGCTTTTTAAGTAGCGGAAAATAGAAGATCGGGACCTACATAAGGCTCGATGAATAGGGTGTTGTTGTCCAAGATCGCGCCGATCACATCCAGCAGCACCTCTAGCACGTTGCCCTCTGTCTCGCTTTGAGAACCTTCCTTCAGCGCCCCAACAACGCCCTCACCTACCCATCGCACAAGGTAAGGTAGCAGGGCCTGCAAACCCGCATCGTTCCTCAGACTTGCAAGTGCAGCCGCCCGCTTTGGTGACGTAGGGTCCGTTGACGGAGGCAGTAACGAGCCTGTGAGACGCGCGTAGTACAGCTGCAGCTCCTTCGATAGCACCTGCTTCACAAGCTGCTGGCTCGCCGTACCTGCAGCAGGCTTCTTCGCACCAGCACCAGTGGGCAGGTTGCTCGCAGTCAGCGGCAGGCTTGAGCCATTGACCCCCACGCCACCAATGCCATTGACCTTCAGCAGGTCCCCCTTCGCCGTCGGATCCTCCGTGTCTCGGGGTATCGCTGGCGGGTTTTCTGGGATTAAAGGCTGCACACCCTCCACCGCCAACCAATGCGCCGTCCAGCTGACACCTTTTGGCAGCGCGATCTTTTCTTCGCGCAGGACGCGGTCAAAGTCGATTTCTTCATCCTCGACGAAGAAGACGGGGCCGGCGGCTTGGACTTGTGGGAAAGGCAGCGCGCGTCGGAAGGTTGTGGGGTTGTATGAGGAATGCCCGTAGAGTGGCTCAATGTTGAGAACGCGTAGTGCTTGTTCGATATCGGCGGTCGTCATCGTCGTGCGCCTACCGTGTCGCATGAAGCGGGCTGCTTCCTAGGTGCCGTTTCGTTGGCGGGTTGACGTGAAAGACATGAATTTGACCACACCTCGATAACTTGGTTGATTCGGTACTCGACATCACTAGCGAGTGCGGAGGCAACACTGTCACTTATCGTAATCCCTACGGAATCTGCAATGTCCTGGAGAAGGTATATTAACTTATTCGTTCACCAGAAAGTAGGGAAACCGCACCTTTATCGAATCGACTTTGTAAACCCCGGTTTGCGCGGTCTGTTGCGGCTTTGGCTTCGGTTTAGCGCCGTTACTTTGCATAATGCCTGAAAGTAGCTTCGAGGGCGTCTATTATTGAAACATAGACTCCCCGGGGTGTAGGCCTTTGTCGGTGTAAAGGTAGAAGTGCAGGCGTAGTACAACAGGTGGATCCGAAGTTTCGGCTTATGGTTAGGGTTACGATTAGTGGGATCCTCAGGTATCCTCTCCTCTTCCTTGTTCACAACGTTCTCAACTAACGACACGACCGTCGCCCAGATTGCGCTGATCCCTATACACTTCTCTCAATTATGCTTCAGTTTTGAGGTGCCTGTGAAGGCGATCTCTCTATAATTACTCTACAGGCTCTTGACCCCGCCGTTGCCCTCCCTGTAGGCTGAGTCGTGCAGCACTGTCAGCAAATCATGATGAACGACACAGCAGTCGAGACACAACCCTCCGCGGGGGGCTCGGTTCCTCAGAAGCGTCCCAGAGATGTCAAGGATGAAGATCAGACAAACACAAGCGAACCATCTTCAAAACGAGCAAATGTTGCAGCGCCGGTGGTCGCAGCTGTAACTCCAGCGACAGTCCTAGTGGCGGTCTCAGCTGCAGTATTACCAGCAGTTCTAGTGGCAGCACCAGCACCAGCACCAGCGACAACCCCAGCACCAGCAACCAATCCCTCAGCAGTAGCAATAGCAACACCACTCACTCCCGCCTCAACGGCACCTCAACCAGCAACAGCAGCAGCACCGGTCCCGCCGACACCCAAGCCAGCAGCAGTGCCCCAAGTTTAACCACAGCCAAAGGCTTCCCCGCAAACGACTCCCGCACGGAGAACTGCTCCGCCAGGTGTCATTATCGACAAGGACTACTTCTTTCCAGACGGAAATTGGGTCTTCCGTGTAGCCAACACTCTGTTCAAGGTATGTTGTTTCTTTAAACTACAGTCGTTCCTTCTGTTTAAACCCCCTTTCAGCTCCCCCGCTTCCTTCTGATGAGAGGGTCCCCCAAGCTTCATACAGCCAACATGTTCAACCTCTCGCCAGGAAGAACTCTCGAAAGTATTACAGAATCGGATATCCTCGTTGTGAACGAAAGTTTAGAGGACTTTAGAGCCCTCTGTTGGGGATTGACGGCGACGTAAGTTGCTTCTATTCCTTGTCCGTTACATCTTTTGATGAAGACAGGGTAGTCCAGACGAAACTGAAAGGCAGACACACCAGTCGTTGGTGGACTTCAGCAAAATGCTTTCTCTGCTACACATGTCCCAGAAGTATAAGTTTACCAAGCACGCGAATTGGGCGAGTAAGGTGATCACGACGATTGGATGCGGAGAGTAGGAGCCCTTTGCTCAGGAAGTGCTCAATCAATGGCCTCAAACGCCTCATCATCCTCTACCAGAAGAAACCCACGGACCAGCTCCTTGGCCTCGTCTATTGCGAATGGACAAGCCGACTCAAAGCTAATTCCACGCTTTCGACCAAGGAAGCACTCGACTTCGCCGAGTCTCTCAAACTACAACGATTCCAAGGCCAAATCTACTACGCAGAATTAACCCGCACGAAAGTCAACCAGAAACTCGGCTCTACCGCCCATGTTATGCCCCCGAACAATTTCAACGACAAGCAGATGCTCTGCTTCTACCGGGGCTTCTGGTCTCTCTCTCATTACTGGGCGGGTATCAGGACGCCACCGGAACGCGAGAAGCATAGCGATTATTGTGCGAGGGCTTGGGAAAGTATGTGGGACTCTCCCAGCGAGGATGGGGGACCGATTTTCCACCGTTGGGGGAGCTCGCAGAGCTTAGCAGAGCGTTTGCTGACATACCGGCGAGTGCAAGAGCGTCACGGTCATGCCATTGTGCGTACAAGCAATATGCGAAGGGGTTGCGAGAAGATTTACTTCAATCTCTTGCCGATCACTTCGTCAGTCAAGACTGAATGTTGAATGTCGAAGATTCAAATACTCGAACACTTGCGAAATTTCGGACGACCCTATCTCGAGTTGTATGTGTGTATTTCTGGGTATCTCATTATTGATGTATGATGTGATTGTGATTTCTTCTTTCTCCTCCCGGCAGACTACCAGCTCATTCCAAAATTATACGCATTTTCCTGTGACAAACCGGCAACTGTTAGCACGTCGTCCGCAATCGTGTGTTACTACTATCGACATACCTGCGCGATACACAGCCCTTCCAGCAGCGTTCACCTTGCTAGCCAACGCACTTCCTCCGCACGTCAAGCCACGGACAAACGCCTGCGCGACAACGTTCGCACCTGCCGGCGACGTATGGGTGTTGTCCACAGGGAAGTACGTGACGACCGTCGACTGCCCAAGGGCCCCGTATGAGTCGGCGACGTAGGCGAAGTGATCGACGTATGTCACTCCGGTGCGGCTGGCGGAGAGTCGGGCGTACTCGACGAAACGCGGTGGGGCGGAGATGGCGTTGCCTGTCCAGTAGTTGGAGGGCGTTTGCGAAGAGACGATAGGGATTGCTCCCTTCGCCTTTAGCGCGTTGACGGCGTTTTGGATGTAGTAGCTGAAGGTGTGGATGACGATCGACGTGCCGCTACTTATTCCAAAGTAATTGAGGTAAGGAAATCACGAAGTTCATCCACAAAAAAACGACACTGACCTTGACGTCGTCACAGTCGCCGTTGTCCCATAATCAGGGCCAAATGCAACCTGGCGGCCATTATCCGTGGCCCCCGACAAGCCGTCGTTGTGTCCAAACTCGAGTACGACAAAGTCGCCTGCCTTGACTGTGTTGATGAGGGTGTCAAATCGGCCTTGGTCCGTGTATGACCGCGACGACCGACCGGCGATGGCACTGTTCACGACGGGGATGGAGAGGTACTGCCCAAGGTACTGGCCCCAGCCGTCTGAGCCTGAACCGCCTCCGTTCCGCGCCATGGTCGAGTCGCCGGCGAGGTAGACGGTCTGCCCCGACACAAGAGCGGCGAGCGCAGTGCAGATGCCAGCGAGGTGGAAGGGTCGCATGATTGAGGATGTACAAGAGCCGGATTCGAAGGACGCGCTGCAGATCTCTCGAGGCACCTTTATATTCGCAAGCACCTTCGCGGGCCGCCCCTATACGCGACCCCTTCCTCTAACTCGAATCATACGCCCCAGGACTGCATCCGGTGGCCGTTGCCGACCATACCAGCGATCACGTTGCAGATTTTTCCGAGCAATATACTGCAATATCGCGATTCTTGCGAAGCTGCGAAGCAAGGGTGGACCAATGCCCCGCGCGCGCTTGATGATCAAGTGACACAAACTTCGGACTGCACTGTGGGGCCCGCTTTGGACAGCTGGATTGAAGCAAAGGTCATGACGCATTGGGAGGGCTGTTACAGATGATCACGAGGAGAAATGAAGACTCAGAAGCGTGCCGTACGCGTGGGGAGGCACGGCGGCGAAGAAGGGTGTAAATTGATCCGTCGCTCAGGTGCGTTGCCGTGATACTCTCCCTTGGCTTCGAGTTTCAGGTCTTCAAAACGCAGAGCAGCGAGAGATTTGCTCAAATGCCTAAGTACTTGACTTTTAAGCAGACATAACTTCGTGACCAGGCTGAGGATGATGAATTGTTCCTGCAGTCTTTCTCGAGCTCTCCTCTCTTCAAGCTTCATCGCCCGAAAATCGTCAGTTGCAAGTCCCTCCAACTACCTTTCTCACCAATTTGCGATTCATTTTGCGGAGGACGCTGTGAAAACCATGGATACCTGTTGAACGGATGGTGCTCGTGCCTTTTCCCTTAGCACGTCGTGAGCGCGACAACCATTCCTTCACCGTGATACATTTAGCACCTCGACACTATGGTTACTGCTGACACTTTCAAGAGCGCAGCTAGGTTGCTGTAACGGGACTTCCTCCTGGACGAAGAGCGAGCAAAATTAGCCTGGGCCTAGGTCTAGAGGAGAGTTCATGATTTTGTAGGACATATTTGATATCTTCTGTATATAACAGGTGTACGAAAAAATAATTGGTTGTTATCGGAAGAGGCATCCGCTGTGCGTATTAATCGCGTTTCAAGAGTGTCTTTAGGGAGTCAGTGTAGGCTTGCCAGAATTTCGCGATTTGCTTGTCTGTTGGTGCAATTATTTCTTCGTCGGCTTTCTGGGGAACGAAAAGACTAATTACTTACAGAACGTTAGCGAGCCAGTGGCTGCCTTCTCGGGAAGTTCTAGCTTCCACGTATCAAAATGTTAGGTTCTGAAAGGGCGAAAGATAACGCACTTGGATATCAGCTCCGTTCTCAACCCATGCTTTGACAGCCATGGCCCAGTCGTTCTTGAGGAAATGCAAAAACCCGTCGGGGACCGTCGTGTTCTCGGTGAATTTAATAAAATCTTCCCCACGAATCTTGTCCAGAAATTCTCGAGCCTTCCCAATATCCCCGACATTTGCTTGAAGAATGTCTATTTCAGCCTGCTTCTCTGCAGTTTTATGCCGGGAAATAGATGGCTTACATAGCGGATAGCGTTTATCCTTGGACCAAACGGGCTGGATGGCTTCGAGTCCCAGTCAATAGCGCGCAAGGTCGCAGACAAAACACCAATGGCAGATACCAGGTTCCCGCAGGCCTTTGAAGAATCGGCGGCACAGGCATCAAGAACCACGAGTGTCTTCTCCCGTGAGTGGATCTCTTGCCCCTGGAAGTCATAGGGAGCGCTGCCTCCGCAGCATCGATAACCGCTTTGACTTCTTGGTCGGTCAGGCTCCGTGCAGCGGCTTGGATCTCGTCGTGAGAGGAGCCAGAGTCGAGAAGATATTGAATCATCCCGACAACCGAGTCGTAAGCCGAAGTCATACCGGAGGTAAGGTGTAATGGAGATGAGGTGGAGAACAAGCAAAAGGTATAAGCGAAATGGGTTATGATTCGTAGCAGGAACGGCTCACCTTTCCGTATACGATACTTTCTACAGCCAGAACGCGAATGAGCGCGGTAGTCGGAATGAAGATTGTTATGCTCAAAAAGGAAAATATTACGATTTTGGGACAGCCGGGGAAGTCTTGATCCCGACTATCACTAGCTGTACCTTTCTCGATTGCTGTGCCTCCCGGATATTAAAAGGCATTGAGGTCTGATTGGACGACAAGAACTGTCAGATCCAGGTCCATCATGGGGCATTATGTGGCCGAACACCTGGAGGTAGATTACAACTTATTTGCCAACTGCAGCTGAATTCTTCGAAACGCGAAGTACCGTTGGCGTCTTTGAAGTAGTCCTAGAAGCCTCTAATGGTTCGTAAAGAAGCTCACATTCAAGTCTAACCAAGTACATTATCACAGTCCCCATTAAATTTAGACAAGGGGTTGGCTGTCGAGACTAGAGAAGCATAACGGATTGGTGGCTCGACTCGTTGGAGAGTGTACTTTCAGCAGGATATAAGCCAGACTCTGAAAAGGCCCGCCTCCGGTTCCATCCAAGCAGGTAAGTCATCAACAATTTTAGACAGAACCCTACCATTATCTGTTCCATTGCAGACAAGAAACTACTGATATCCTCGCATCAGTATGCTCACAGGAGACTCTGATCGTCTAAGTAATATGAGGGCAATTTGCTCTTGAGAGGTAAGCATCGCTGCCGACTCTGCGTCGTCAAGAATTGCTATCTTGGTCGTCGTCAAAATTCCGTGCGGCAGTGGACATCCTCGGCGTAGGACCTGCTCCGTTCTTATAGGGTGCCAGGCTCTTCATGACTCCTGATTTGTTCGCTGCATCCACATCCACGTCCTTTTCGTTGAGATCCGGGGACAGAATGAGAATCAAGAAATTGATTACAATGACGCAGACTCATCGGCATTAAGAATTAGTGTCACGAAAAAAAGTATCATTTCCATGAACGCGTCAACATCAGCAACTGGACGAAATTAAGCATGTTGCACCAAAGGCATGAAGCAGGACTCACATTCATTCACAGTGTGGATATTCGACATCAGCTCATCAGGACCTGCACTATCGGTATTGTGGTGGTTATACCGGAATATGTGCTTGGAAAGCCTCCAATAAGAGCACGTATCGGTATTTCCAGACATCATGCTAGGCGCAACGATGATCGCGTCGGGATTGTCGAGAGACCGGTGAGCGTTGAAAGTCGATTTAATTGTACCCGAGAGCAGCTGATACGGTCCTGCGTCGTTGCCTGTCGGAGTGATAGGTGCTGGCTCCAGGCCAGCGTATGTGGTGCTTAAATTCAAAGCGCCTTTTCCCGTGGCTCCTTCTTCCGAGATGAGTTTGCCAAAGGCCGTATAAGTCAAGTTGAATTTCTCGGCCAGAGGGACAAGAAGGTCTGCATCGCGCGCCTTGAGCTCAGCCACAGAACTGAGCACGGAGATACGGTGGTTGACCAGGGCCCATGCACGTTCTGGGAGTGCGTTCGACTTTACGCCACCGTTGATCATGTCTATTGCTTGCGTAGTGCTGACAAGACTGCTGAGAGACGCGTCTGAGCGAATGAATGCTTGCAATGCATCGAGCGCTTTGGAGGACGCGATCGAATTCTTGATGGTGTCACGAAGCTTTGGAGGAACCGACTTTCCGTGCTCTGCGAGGCACTGGAGGGTGTCGAACATCGGCTCATGTCTGGACTTTTCCCAACCAGTATTAGATGCAAGGTAAAGGAGAAATAGGATTGACAGACAATTTCGACCTTCGGAGGCTGCTGTTCGAAATGCACCAGAAGAGCAGAGAGAACTCCGATGCTCTTCGAAATATTTGAGGAAATATCCTTTTGAATGCCAAGCTTGAACATACCGTATGCGCAGGAGGAATACTCGAGTGCCCGCCAGGTGACGTCACTTCGACCAGGACATCGAGATAACCTTTCTCGGCAATTCCTGGCGTGGCGATCACAGTGCCAAATTGCTCCTCAAATTCTGCTGCGTACAATCAGGACATGCCGTGTTTTTGGACAGAGCAGACCTACATCCTTCGTCAACGATCATGCCGATGCCATTTTCCCCGTACACGTTCTCAAGATGTGGAGCTAGAGTACCAGCGCCTTGGAGCCCACTGGCCTCCTCATCGAATCCAAACGCAAGAACGACAGTTCTAGTCGGTCGGAACTGGGCTGCCAGAAGGGTTTCTATGGCAGAACTGTGGAATAGTATCGCTGTCAGTCAGCGGGAGTTATAATGCGTGGTTCCTGCCTTCGTGCGTACAGAATACCAATGAGACCGTTCTTATCATCAGAACTTCCGCGTCCCCAGATTCTCTTCCCATCGAAGAATCCCGAGTAAGGGGGGTATTTCCATTGTTTGACAGTGCTCGGTTCGACAGGGACTACATCTTGATGAGCGGCCAGAAGCAGTGGTTTGAGAGACGCGTCGGATCCCTTCCACTCGTAGTGAAGGCCATAGGTGTTGATCTTCGTCAAATTGAGCGTGGCGTGGCTACGTGAAGATAAGCAACCGTCGAAACCACTGTTTCAAGAGCGACGTACACGAGTGGGAAGGCAGAGAAGAGGTACTCGTGGAAAGGCTTGAAGGCATCCCATCGAGGATCGACACCGACGTCTCCCATATCATCGAATGACTCGGTTCTAGCCAACTGTCACTATTTTTCTCCTAGGAACGGGTGTGAGAGCGACTGACGGCACTCGAACCGCCCCCGCGAGCCAGTTTACCGCGCTTTCCTGGAAATCCAGCGTGCTGATCTGAGTGTTCAAAACCTCCCACACCTCCCAATTCTTCTTCGGAGTAAGAACAGCGCTTTGAGGGCATTGTGGTTCAAACTTTTTGCTCGAAAACCAATCGAAGTTGTTGACAAGTCGTGCACAGGCGTAGAGGGACATGACAACCCAGAAGACGACTGTCAAACGTCTGGCCGGTATTTCGGGCTTGATGGAATTGAATTTCTCGTCGGCAGACATCTGGTTCGCAGCAGCACTAGTGGTGGAGAACGACAAAGGAGCAAAAGTAGCGTGATATGGATAATTGCCACCGCCGAGAGCGGCCCGGTGATTAGATCGAGCGTGGTTCATCAAAGCGGACTCGGAAGCCTCGATGATGAATATTGCGAGTCGTTTTTCTCCCGCTGAGCAGCATATGACGGTTTCAGTGAGATGAAAAAAATGAACCCTTGAAATCTTTCCGTACCTAAAGATTTGACAGTGAGATCGCGGCCTGTTCCGCTGGCACCCCGACGGCGTAACCTGAGATTGGCTTTATGTCCCAAATCCAATGTTCGACGTGAAAGACGCGTCTACTTATATAGAAGACAGAAAATTAGACGAAGTCGCATGTATGGATCGATACGCGTGAGATGACAAACTTGTGGTGTGATGTACCTCGAAGGGAAAAGGACAGAACGTAGTTCCAACTATCCTGAAGGAAGTTAGTCACAGGTGTATTAACATTGGGTATACTTTCACTTGGAAATCCCGTACAACATCAGCAACGTGATACGAGTGTACTGAAGTGCGGCATTGGGTAATCATGGCAGCACCAAAGGAAGAGGAGATGCGGACAAGAATTGTCATTAATCATAGACGCCCCGGGCTCCCTGAATGAGAATAATATGAGTCGTCGGCTTCTTTGAGAAAATAAGAGGATCCTAAGCGACAAGTCAGGGGCGGTGGCTGTCGGGTGCGGATGTGATCAAATAAGTCGATAGCTCCCATATCAGGGAAGACGCCTTAAGTTTGACATTTGTGGTGGCTATGAGACCACTGGAAATAGTGGAAGGGTGGCATGATGACTTCAACGGAGCACAGAGACGACGATAATAAGACGAGATGCACCCCAAACCCTCTGCCCTCTGAAGGGAGCAGCAGCACATCAGCGCTCAACTTTGCAACAGGAGCACCTCATTGCACATCCAGACACCACCACTCGGAGTAAATTCTTTCCTGAAGCTTTCGAGACTTTCAACTAACGAGCGCCGGAATCTCTGCCATCAGGTGTCTTGGTGAACTGGGCCTTTTGAATTGAATGATACCCACCTAACTGGAGCCCCATTTTTTTCCTGGTTAGATAAATATCCGGGCCCAGCACCGGACAAAGTGTGGCCGGGAGGCTATCATCAGGAACTTTTCTCTACCGGACAGAGACTTGGGCCTAATCAGCACCCGAAGCGCCAGAATCGGAGAATCAAATACTAAACAAGGAACTACTGGCGCGCTTCCAAGAGCCAGCCAGCTAGTTGGACCTCTACAGGACCCGTTGAAGGAGTTGAGAATGCTGAAAGCCTTCTTCATCAGAAAAGCCAAAACACTCACCATGCGTATTTTGTCTAAGGAACTTCAACCCTGAACATACTTAGCTCAGTCGGATTTGCCGGCATTATCAAAGGAACGAAATTCGGAGGGTACTGATTTTTCATTGATGGTCAACTTTTGTTCATCTACGGACAGGAAGAACGCAATAAGCAGCTGCCGCGTGGATCGATGATTTCATAGTACTTACACGGGGCTTGAAATGGCTAAATTTTATCCTTCCTATGGCGTTCTATTATGCTTTTTGTTGTCCGTCTTGAATATTTGGCCCTTCTTCGAATCACCTTTTCCCCTGCCCTTCACTGTTGCAAGAACAGCCACCGCGAGTGAGCCTCCATGGCAGGTGGTGATGTCACGTAAGAAGGAAACCCCAGGACACACGGTTTCATCGAAGGTGTTTTGAGATGAAAGAAGTGCCGTAAAATGACAAAAGCGCTACAAAGACCGCCGTAAGGTCGCGTCCAGGGGCACGAGCACGTGACCTTTTGTCGAAAAATTGAAGCGACTTTTAGGTTTATCACCTCTTGACCATCGATTTATACCTGGCACCGTTGGATCCCCCCATTACCCTTCAAGATGGATCTCCAAACGCTCTCTAATCTGTTTGCCACCACCTACAACCCCGACCCCAATGTGCGTAAGGCCGCAGAACTGCAAATTCGAAAGGTAATGCTGTCTAAGAAGATCTGAACCCTGGGTACTGACTTCGAACGACCTAGATCGGCAACGAGGAGGGCATGATCGCTGCCGTTCTCCGAATCATCGCCGCAGATACTATCGATGTGTACGTGTCAGACGCGTCTCTTTCACATTATCACTCATTCGACCAGTGCAACGCGGCAAGCATGCTCTGTGTGGCTCAAAAACCGCGTTTACTCCTCCTACTCCGTTGAAGTTGCTAGACGCCCGGACCAAGTCCTCATCTCAGCCTCGGAACGTGAGGCTCTTCGTATCAACATCCTTCCACTTCTCGCCGCCTCCACCACCAGGAGTATCTCGCTCCAACTCGCAAACACCTTAAAATCCATTGTAGCACACGACTTCCCGACGCGATGGCCAACTCTTGTCGACGAGATCAAGCGGTTGCTATTGAGCTCCAACGTTGGCGATGTGCATGCTGGTTGTGTTGCGACTCTTGAAGCAGTTCGTGCTTTCAGGTCCGTGTTTTCTGTATTCCAGTCATGCCTTGTCCTAAAAACGCGCCGATAGATTCCGTCAGAAAGCTGATATCCTCCCAAGCCTCATATCTGAGCTCTTCCCGACCCTCGTCAGCATTGCAGGTCAGATGGTGGCTCAACCTCCGACCTCATCGCAGGAGATTCCGACGATGCTCCACCTCATCCTCAAGGCTTACCGCACCACGATCGTCATCAACCTCAGCGAACACCAACAAAGTAGCCAAAGCATCGTGCCCTGGGGCAACCTTCTCTTTGCTGTAGTCAACTTAAGGCTTCCAAAGGAAGCCGTTCCTGAAGATCTTGAAGAGCGAGAGAAATGCGAGTGGTGGAAGGCAAAGAAGTGGGCCTACGCCGTTCTAGGCAGGCTTTTCCATCGGTGTGTTCTCTAATTTCGCGCCTTTGTTCAATGCTAATTCCCGCTACAGTTACGGAAATCCCTCTCAGATGCCTTCAACTCTGAGGAAGGATTATCTCCAGTTCGCGCAACACTTTGTGACGGCGTTTGCGCCAGAGATTCTCAATATCTATTTACAGCAAGTGGAGCTCTACGTGTCTAACCAAGAATGGCTCTCGAGCAAATGCCAGTATCATATCTTCCAATTCTTCACCGAATGGTACGTTCCCCCAATGGCCATTGTAATCGCCTTTCGCTTATATCCTTCCAGTGTCAAGCCTAAAGCTACCTGGGTACTGCTCAAGCCACACTTCGACAAGCTCATCTCAAACTTTGTTTTCCCTCAACTCTCATTCAACGCGTCGCGTCGCGCCTTGTGGGACAGTGATCCCGTTGACTATGTTCGCATCTCGGCGGATGAGTACGAGTCCTTCACCACTCCTGTCGCGTCTGCAACGACGTTCACGCTTGCCCTTGCTGGAAATCGCACCAAGTCAACATTTTTGCCCATCTTGCAGTTCATCACGTCGATCCTTCGCTCGCACGGACCAGCCGAGCAACGTTTTGGTGCCCTGAATATGACAGCTGCTCTCGGTCGCCAAATCATGCTGCATCCCGAAGCCAAGAACAACATGGAGCAATTCATGCTGCAGTACGTCAGTCCTGAGTTGGAGAGTTCAGAGCCGTTCCTGAGGGCAATTGTGCGTATCCCGCTAGTTTCCAGGTTGCAATGTACTGACGTTACCCAAAGGCTCTCGAGATCCTCGGCACCCTCACTAAACAAGGTCTCGTCTGGTCATCTGAGGACATCCTTAGCAAGCACTTCCAGGCGACGTTCCGTGCTCTCGACGACCCAGAGTTCCCTGTCCGTGTTCAGGCGGCGTTAGCACTTACTGAAATGATTATCGCTTCCGACTCTGTTCGCACCGCTGTCGCGCCAAACGTTGGAAAGGTCATTCAAGACCTGTTGAAGATGTCCGACGAGACCGACCTCGACATCCTGAATGCTAGCATGGAGGTTATGGTTGAACGGTTCCAGACTGAGCTACTCCCTGTAGCTGCTATGCTTACGGCACGTCTGGTATGGTTTCTGTTATCTGTTTTCGTGGTCCTCGCTATTAAATCTTATCTCCCAGTGCGAATCTTACATGCGTCTAGCGAGAGAAAGCGCAATCCACGATCATATGGAGGAAAACGCGGACCTGGAGACCCTTCTCCAGGATACCGACGATGATAAAACCTTTGCCGCCATGGGTGTCTCGAAGACTATCAGCACCGTATGTCTCGCATCTTTCTTTTCAAAATCTGGGATCTTTTAGTCTGACTTCTAATTGTTCCTAGATTGTCTCGTCCATCGAAAGCTCGCCGGAAATCCTGGCCCAGATCCAGGAAATTGTCGTTCCTATCATTGTGTTCACTCTCGAAAATAGATTGCTCGGTACGTCTATTTTCTCAATAAGTTTTCCCCAGGTGGAGCATAGATTGACATGCTGTGGTCTCGGCGCAGACTTGTTCGACAATATGTACGAGTTGGTCGACAGCCTGACATACAAGCTTCGTTCGATCGCACCTTCGATGTGGCCTGTCTTTGAGCTGACATACAAGCTCTTCAAACATGAGGCCGTCGACTTCCTTGAAGGTGTGTTGACCATGTTATACTTAGCTTGAAGCCCTAGGTTGACGGATCTCTCACGATAGAAATGCTGCCTTCTCTTGACAACTTTGTTTCTTATGGTGCTGAAGTAATCAATGCTCGTCCTGAGTACAAGCAGATGTTAGTCGACATCTACACCACCTCCATTACCAACGAACAACTTGGCGAGAACGATCGTGTAAACGGCTCCAAGTTGGCTGAGTCAATCTTACTTAACCTTCGTGGCAGCATTGATGATGTGCGTAGCCGTCCTTCCGTTATTTCATTTTATTCTGTGAGAAGTTAATGCCTTCCCGGTTCCATACATCATTTAGTATCTGTCTCGTATCATCTCTACAGCTCTCGGCCTATTGGACAAGACAGAGACCGCCGCACTCCGATTGGCCAACCTGGAAGTCTTGATCAATGCCGTACTCTATAATCCTTCTGCGGCTCTGAATCTCATGGCCGCTAATAAGCCCGGTCTGGCGCGTACCTTCTTCGACCATTGGTTCGTCGCTATCAACACCGAAAATCGTTTGCCCAGGGTGCACGATAAGAAGTTGACCATCTTAGCGCTCTGCGCGCTTATGGAAATGGCCCCTGAGTCAGTACCTGAGGAGCTCCATGCTGGCTGGCCCGCAATCGTCGGCGGTGCACTCAAAGTCCTCAAGACCCTTCCCAAGGCCATCGAGGGTACGTGTTGTTTCCCATTCTACCCTTCTTCCATGTTCTGTGTTAATTAACGAAGCTGACACGACATTACGTCTAGACCGCAAGCGGCTTGAGTTGCTTATGCAGGAAGAGTCTGAGTCTGAAGACGACTTGGATGAGAAAGTTCTGAACCTGCAGGAAGATGATGGTACGTCTGTCGCGCATACGGCTCAGCCTCGTTTCTTGATTAGTTCGGCTTGTTGACCCGGGTTGACAGAGGATGTGTGGGATGAAGATTCCGCGTACATGGAGATGCTCGCAAGAGAGGTTTATTTATTTATAGCTGGTTCTCATGTTTGCTTGCTCACCCCTTAATCGATTCAGGGTGCCCGTCTTCGAGAAAAATCAGAAGGTGTCACGAGCTCGGAAGAGGAGGAAGAAAGTGATGACGATGAGATCGATGAGGAGCTGGGCTACATCAGCCCCTTGGATAACTCCAACCCCTACGTGTCCTTCAAACAAGCCCTGACGAGTACGTCCTCATCCACGTCATACCTCGTTCCTATCGCTGACTTAGCGAATGCAGCATTCCAAATGAAAAATCCTAACAGCTATCAGGCAGCTACCACGAGTCTCGACATCGAGCAGCAGACACTCCTCATGGAAGTCATGAAGATAGCTGACCAGGAACAAGCTCCTCCTTCTTAGACAACAGATGCCAACGTTGATTCCCGCCTTACGATGTTTTTAGTAACGTCCCTCGACTCATGACCTTCACGCCTCGTCAAATGACTAGTATCTCTTTTGCTATCTCGTACTCGTACTTGTATTGTGTTTCGATTATCTCTTCATGTCCGAGTAATATCACCAATGGAACTTGACGACCGTGTTAACCATTTTTGTATTTCATTATTGCGTGTTGCGTGCATAGAGGACATCGATAATTCGTGGATTTGCTTTTTCCCTGACAGGCTTCTCGCTCTCGCTTCGACCCGGCGCAGCTAGGAATGCCGGCGCTCAAATTCTCCTGCGTACGTGTCTGGCTCTAGCCTCTAGGCGTTCAGGAAGGCTTTCACGGATTCCTGACCAATGAAAAACCTTGGGACATTGACGATCCAATTACTGCAATGCAGCTTCCTTCGGCCAATGTGAATTTTTCATTATGGGACAGCCGAATGAACGGCAACCAATGAGTGTCAACGGCGATGGAATGTGGGTCACTCGCACTCCCGTCTGCCCTGCCTTCCGAAAGTCCAGCCCTGGAGGAAACAACCTATAGTACGGCGCGGGGAGGCCAACGGAAATTATGTGCAATTCCGTTGGCTTTCCGGTTCTCTTAGATTTTTGTCGAACACATCTCGGCGGCGTTGATTATGATTATGGCACGGCTCGATTTGGGATGTCACAAGGGTCAAATTAGCGCCCACAACCCGGATGCCAGATATTGGCCCGCTGCCTCATGGAAAGTATATTCCGACAGAGTTGGTTTCTGTACTCACGTCAAGTACTCTAGGCACTTTAACCTCAACCTGTGGAATATACTTGCCGACACCGAAGGGTATGCCGATGAGTAAATTGGCCCTTTTGAGACGACCCTTGCTTTGGTAAGATGACAGACCAATACCTCCGTTCGTGCGGAAAGGGCTTCAATTTGGACCTAGAAAATGTGCCTCTTGGGCGTTGTAAGGTTCAAGCTTTCGAGTCGTTCTACTGGCAGAAGAGAGTGCTGAATAGCGCTTGAGTGTAGACATTTTTACTGGTCGCCTCGTTTGGGAATTTCAGAGCCACCCCCGGTTCAGATTGAAGGTACGGCTGTTTCACACCTATCACGAAGGCTCTATCCGCTGGCCCATCTCCGATATTCTTGTTCCATTGTGATATTACGCAAATCCTCAACAGCCTATTATCTCGGCCACCATGAAAGGAAAGGTCGCAGCCCGCTATTTATATTTTACCGATGGAACCAACCACGCTGTCGAGGCATTCACTGCCCTATTTGAAAAACAACGGTGTGAACCCTGGGCCCAACTAATGAAGATCATATTACACGACTGCCTCACCCGACGGGAACGAGCGAAGTATTTGTGTTATGTATCTACTTATCCGTCTTGTGAGATAGTTTTTTTGACGTCGGTGGACGAAATGAATACCGACGGCGAGACCTACATTATTGTTTCTGACCCACTACAATTAACAGAACGGGATGCAAGGGACACCGACTATCTTGGCCTATGATTGGATTCAACGTCATCCCAGGTTACCCAACACCTTTGAGACGGTATGAAAACCTGACTGTAGGCTCTCCAATTCGTTGCCCACGATCTCAAAGTTCTATAATCGAGCACCACCCACGTACTCGCTTGATCTGCGCCGTGATTAGCCTCGCGAAGGTGTTCGTCGCTGGCGGGCAACCTCCTTTCCTTTCTTGAGTTCCATGGTCGAAGCAAGGCGCGCTCGTTCGAATTCTTCGAGTCCTCGTCCTTCTCCCTCGCGCCTTCCCTCGTTTCTCGTTCATAATTCCACGCGCGCGTCCACGAACTCAATACAAGAGCCTCGTTCCCTGGAAGCCCTCGGAGGCTAGCCGACAAGCATCGCTTCCTCTTCCGGGAGCGGATCGCAGAGCGAGAAGGTGGGCCCAGCGCTAGGAACAGGAAAGTCCGGGCGTTTCATTGATATCCATCCTCGCGGATGGCGGAAGGGCGATGGAGCCGTCATTCGTCGTGCTCGTAGTCAGACTGAATATGAAGGGGAAGGGGGGAGAAGTAGTAGGTCCCGGGCGGACGTGCCCTCCGCGCGTTCGTGATCGCGTTGCCTAGTCCGAAGAGCGCTTGACGCTTCTAGTTCTGGCGCGACAACGTGTATCGTGTCCTCTTTTTACCGCGAGAATGCCTGAAGAAATCAATGAATGCGTGAATCCTGCGTAGAACTGAGCTTCACCAAAATTTGCTCGCTTTACTCGTAAAAAACCCGTTCGGGATGCCAAGACCCAAGTCAAATCCCATGCATTAGGAAGAAATATCAAGGACTCCGCCCTCGAGCTATCTTTATGCTCAATGGTGGGTGTATTGCATCATTTCATGATACCAAATCATATATCCTCGGGAGTGTGTTCCGTCGCTCTCTCCCATGCCACATATACAACTATGTAGGGTGCCGACAAGTAAGGTAATCCGACCTCCAAAACTCAAAATCCTCCCGGAGACCAAACCAATGGAAGCGATTTGAAAGAGAACGAACCTAGGGTTTGTATTCGTCGTGTACGGAAAGCCAAAGGCTGATAAAAGATCTTCAAAAGCACCGTGCAAATCTATGACATTCTTCTCACTAAATACCCTTCCAAAACTCACTCGTCAATTTCGTCTATGACTCGTTTTCGCGTAGTACCCGGAGCTTGAAGATTTCCCAGTGCAGCATGCACCATCTAATTGAATCCTTAACACGCCTAGCGAGCAGCGTGCCTAGAGTACTTCTCGAGAGTCGACACACATATCCGCCTGAGAAGCCAAGCGTAAATCAGGAATCCCAATCACTCATCCCAGGCAAAGTCGACTCTTGCTCTCCTGACCTACCACACAAAGCTTCGTTGAGTGTCCACACAGCCCCGCCGAGCCTGGACTCGGGGTACCTCTCCAAGACGGCTGGTCCAAGCAAAGGATCTCTCTATCCCTTCTCGAGAACACGAACACCTTCATTCATTACACTCCAATCAGTAGGTTGATCCCACCCTCCGAAGCTGAACCCCAGGGCCGGACCCAAGAAGTCGAAACTCGAGCTCGAAACGGAGCAGTAAGCAAGGCAAGGCAAGCCGTGTGCGTTCTCGTTCTCAGAGCCTTCATCCTCGGCGGGTGCTTCTCGCCCGAGTGGGTTTAGCGCCACTTGCTGTCGTCGTCTGGGGACGATCGTCTTCCCTGTCCTTCTCCTTCATCGCTGCCAACGCCAACGCCTTCCCTCTGGCCACCCGTTGGCTGGTGCCAGTGCCAGTGCTGTAACTACTGCCCTTCGCCGTGGCGTCCTTCGCGTCTTTGCCTCTTTCGGCGTCCAAGTAACGCCGGGCCTGGATGCCTGTCGCCCAGGTCCAATCATGGCGGAACTTCCTGTGCGCGGCGCTGCAACCGCTCTCGAGGTACTCTGCCCGCGTCACGGCGTGCTGGGACATAAACCCGTCTTGACTAGCACGTATACAGGCCGATTTGTACGCTTCCGTGACAGGACTGTTGCGTTCGAGGGACGGAAGGGAGGACGGAGTAGATTTGGGACGGTGAGGGTCGGAGTGCATCAGCACCGAGAAGAAAGGTTGGGGTACATGAAAGGAAGGACGCAAACGGCAAGGGCCAGAACGGATGCACGGAAGGAGATATCGATGAGGAACGAGGGAGAGAAAAAAGTTTTTAACGTTTCTTAGTGCGAAAACATATCTCAAGATGAATTGATAACGTACTCTTCGCACTCGTAGATTGCGACTTCGAACTCGACAGGAGCCAAGGTCTGCAGCTCTGAGAGTCTAGACGGCGTAGCATAAGTCAGTCAGTCAGCTTGCTTCTCGTGCGAGAGTGTACAGGCCCATCGCCCATCGTATCGTAGATGAAATGGGTTCATGGAATCAAGTGTCAAGGAGGGAGAAGGGGGAAGTAGGGAGGAGCGCAAAGAGGAACATAGAAGCGCCGTTATGACCGAGTATCTCTCGGGTCGTGGATGGTTCCCAGCGCGAACTCGAACGGGAAGGTAGGAGGGGGTACGGTTACAATTACAGTAACTGTAAAAGAGCCCAAACCAAAAAAGCGAGGACGGACTCACAACCGCGCTCGAAACCCAGGAAGCTTCGTATTACCCCCTATCAGCCCGATGTTCGCCCAGAACATCCCTTGCAAATCGGCGGGGAGGAGGGATATGGAATGGGCAATCGTCCAGGCGATCCCTGCCTGATCCATCCCTATAGAGAGAACAGGTCCGCGAGCAGAGCAGGCAGAAAGAAGAAGCAAACCAGTCAGTCAGTTTGGTCAAAGTCGGGGTCGATAAACAGAAAGCGAGGACAGAAACGGAATGAATGGAAGGGTCTGCCCAAATCGCGATTCATCGGTGTATCGAAAGCTCCCTACTGCATACTCGCCCGCGGCTGCACTTTCACGCCCCTCGTGCCGATAACATTTAAGGGCCGTGTCCACCTTTGGTGGTAGGCATTTAAAACACAGGAAAAAAGAAGTCGCCGTGCACCCTTCTTCTGCGTATTCACTTCACGGCCGCCAATGTCGTAAATAAAAACAGACGAAGCGTCGTGACTCACCAATATCGTCAGGTCTGAACAAAAGCTCCGGGACGGCAAACCTCTCGTTGTTCATGAGCAGGATTTGGTCCGACTCGGCGAGAGGCTCTTCCGGAATGCGAACGCGGCCTTTCCGATTCGTGGACATGTCTGGGAGGATGTATTCCTGAACGATGGGGTTGCGCTTCGGATCTATTCTGTGGGTCGGTTAGATTAGATTACATACTCTGGGCTGGGTGTTCATTTTTGTATCACGAAGGAAGAGGAGGAAAGGGAAAGGGAAAGGGCCGAAAAGAAGGAGCATAACATGATACAAATACGGAGGGACAAAGGACAAAAAGGGAGAGAGAATTCGGGAGAGAAGGAATGAAGAAGGGTCGAAAAAATTACAGTGAAAAGAAGGAACGGAGAATTGAGAATTGAGTGAAGATTACTTACCGGCATGTTTCGATGTCCTGCTTGTAGTTGGCCGACACGAAGCAGCAGGTCTCTTTTACTTGGTTCATAATGTAAGTCTCTTCCATCATGTTCCATTGACGAAATGAGACCAGTTCTTTCAGGTGATTCGTGAGCAACTTCCCGCCCATATCGAGCCTTTCGGGGTCGGGGACCGTCGATCAAGTTTAGAACACAAGAAGAGGTTGAAATTGAGCGTGAGTTTGCGTTCGAGTATAAGCTGACGGGATGCACAATCAGACAAAGGAGTTGATTTGCTTACCTCTTGACGGCGTTCCAGACAATTTTACCGTCGATCAAGGGTACGACATGAGTAAAGCTAAATCCTGAATCGACAACGATGGTGCATTCCGCGGGAGGCAATCCTGGCTGTGCGAAGAGCTGGCCATATGGTATCAGTGATGCCGCTGCCAGTCGGTGAATTAAATAGAACGGAACACGGGGGTAGGCGAGATAAATTTGCAACAGTAGCAGCAGCACCACGATTGACAAGCCAAAGAAGGGGGTTCGTTCAGCAGCCAATTAGTATTTTGTACTCTTGACAGGCGATGATAGGGCCAGGGGTAGGTAAATGGATGATGGAGCTTACTTACGGGTACACCGATAGTACGAGTTGAATTCGTACTCCTCGAACACCAGCTGATCACAGTCGTCTTGCAGTTTTGGGAGGTTGAAGTAAGGCTCAGTCATGAGGAGGGCGGCTTGGGTGGTGTCTACCTATGCCGAGTTGCACAGTCAGCAATGTCCACCCATCGCGGAGTAGCAAATGTGCAGTCCGAGTGAAATTCTTACCCGAAGGACTTGGTCTGAGAAGATCCCGTCCCAGACGCACTTCTCGATGTCCCAATCAACAAGGTAGCCCTATGGGTGAAGGAGCAGTCAGCCATGAGGTCTGGTAGCAAAATTTAGAGCCGAACACGTTCAAATGGGAGCCTGAAATGCAGCGAAGAGTAGTCCCTGCACTGCGCCAACTCATGGCCAAAATACGTTTTCTTGTCACCCTTTGACCTCACAATGGCATTTGGGATGATCCTAGGCGACATCAGCGCGTTTTGTACATCAAATGACGCGTACTTACAGCGGATCTTGGTGCTGACCGACGACGCCAGCCTTGACGGAGTACGCGCCGTTGTCGAGGACGATTGTGGGCATGGGAGAATAAGGCAAGGCGTGGGCTGGGCAGGGGCGTGGGAACCGTCGGGTCTAGGAGGGAGGGCAGCCGCTTTCCCGCGCTAATCAACTTGCACCCGTAAGACCACGGAAATTGTCCCTCCCCCACCCTCGGCGACTGTGTGGCGTACCACTAATACTATGTGTATAGGAATTTGGAGCCTCGAGCACCCAGAATACGCCCTGTACGTCCATCTTGTCCGATCAGCATGCAGGCATTTGCGCTAACACTAATCCTGCAGTGTATTATGCACCAATCGCGACGAATTCCTCGATAGGCCGACTCAGAACGCCCATTTCCATTCATTCGAAACTCAGGATCTCGACAGACCCGCGTCCGATGGCCATATCCTATCAGGTCGCGATGTCCAGGCTGGAGGATCGTGGTTTGGCATCAATCGGGCCGGTCGAGTCGCCCTGCTGCAAGTCTACTTTTCCAGGCGTCGCGACAGGGAACCCGCGTCTCTGACAATTCATTTCATTTAGGACAAACATAACGGAACCAGCGAGGAATTACAACACCTCCCGCGGCTCTCTGGTTTCCTCTTTCCTTTTGTCGCAGTCCTCCCATCCATTGGAGGACGAAGTGGGGAAGATCGTACCCGAGGATGCCAACTATGCCGGCTTTAATCTCCTCCTTTTCGCGCCATCGCCTTCCCTGGAGGTTGACAGGTCCGACGCATCGTCCATGCCAATCCATTACGATGCGCTACTCGTGACCAACCATGGCGGCGGAGGTACGCTGACCTCCCGACCTTTCCTGCCAAATGAACGCGTCTGTGGCGGGATATCGAACGGCGTCGACGGCGCAGGAGCCGACCCCTGGCCAAAAGTGCAGCACGCGACGCAAGACTTTGGGGATGCCGTCAGAGGACTGCCTGCAGGAGCCTCAGAAGCCGAGCTCACAGAGCACCTCTTCAACCTCCTTGCGTGGGTACCCATTTCCTTTATTCATATTTCTCTCTCCCTCTCGCACCGCTGTGCATCTCGTCCATCCATTCCCATCCATATTCTCTCCCATACGCCTCGCCTCTTCCTAAATTACCGCCCCGGTCCTAGACCTCATCGCCCGTCACGGTAACTACCCAAGCCTGTCCCCTTTCTCCTTCTCTTCCGCTCTTAATTCCCTTTTCCGAGATCCCCATCTCCCGAGAACTTCCAGTCATACTAAGACCATGCTAACGTATGTTCCTGTCCACGAAGCTGGCATCCCCCACAGGCGATCGTGCACCGCTCAGAGCTCCGAAATACGGTCCACGTCCTCCCCGTCCCGATCATCCTCGACGGACCGGCAAGCACACATCCGACGCCGTCGTACTATGGCACGCGTCTCTCGACCGTGCTGCTTGTAAGAAAGGACGGTGAGGCGGTTTTCATCGAGAGGGATATCTGGCAGCTCGAGAAGGATGAAGATGGGAAGGAGCGGCCGGTGAGATCTGACCCGCCCACCGAGCGACGCTTTCGGTTCAAGTTGCAGCTCGATGGGAGTGTAACATAAGTCCACTGCAGTGCGATCACTCAGATTAAAGTGAGAGAGAGTTCAGAGGAATTTTATTAGGACGTGTACAATACACTACCGCAGTCGGAGGAACGAAAAGAGCGATCTATATAAAATAGCATAAAAGAGAGAGGAGCTTCCTGAATCCATCCCCTCGTTTGGAATCATCGTTGGACAGGGTATGCAGCATGAGTGATGCGAGGATGACAAGCACTGCATTTTTTCGTCGCATATCATGGCCTGGTATGTGTTTAGTAGGTACCTGGTAGGCGCAAGCAAGAAAGAACGTAAATGAACAAGATGGCGTGGTAGTAGCACAGTGGGTGGCGTGAAGGAGAGGAAAGGAACAGTCCATATACAAAGAGAGGATAGATAAAAGTGGGGATATAAGTAGCGACGATAATAGAGAAAAGAGAACATAAAAAATACACAGGATAGTTCGAAGGAGCGGGGACGTGAACATGAATGAATAAAATATAAACACGACAGCTCGACCAAAAAGCGGACAGCGCGAACGGGGTAGCACAGCGAAGAAAGAAGGGAAGGAGAAGAGTCAATCGTCTCCCCTAGGTCATCACATGGTTGACGCTGTACACGCCATGGTGGTCGGGAGCAGGGAAGTAGGGGTTGAACCCTGCGGCGGCCATGTGGTTCCATTCCTGCGGTGAGACGCCGGGGGACCCTGTGTGGAAGGAGGCGTGCCCACTCGATGCGGACAGAGGCGTCATGATCTCGTTGTCCGAGGGTGGGCCGCTGTCGTACGAGGCTGCTACGAGCCCAGGATTGTTGTCGTTCACACTACTGGGAAAAGAAAAAAAAATAAGATAAATATCAGGAAAAAAACAAGAGAGAAAGAGAAGACACGCACTGTAGCGAATGATTCAGCTCCACGATTCTCCGGAAGAGCGTGCAATGCGTGCCCGGAGGGTGGTGGCTGTACTGCCGCAAGGAATTCAGCGAGCTCTGCAGGGTCTGCGAGAGCGTCATGTACGCAATCGCCAGCGCAGGGTTTGAGCGGCAACCACAGGGCGTCGACGCCGCCGCATTCCCATAATGCTCCCCGTACCCGCCATGGCTCCCATCGTCGCTGCCGGACATCGCGTACCCGTTCGACGCCCCGCCACCTCCCCCGCCGTCCGAGTACCCTGACGACGTCTGCTGCTGCTGATGCTGTGAGGAG